TTTACTTTTAATCTCCTTGTGAATGGATGGTGTAGAGTCTTTACGCTATCTGGAGGGCGCCCAAAAAACTATACCCAGTAGAATGGGAAAGATGTCAGGAAGGGAGAAAATTGGAGGTGAAAATTAGCAGAAATAAAGCAGTCAAAGGCAATAGAGGGGAAAGGTAAAAATTCTATGGAATCCGACAACAAGCAATGTCACAATTCTGCTTGCGGTTCAACTCAAAATTAACTTGGTAAATTGCTGTGCTCAATTGACCTCCGCGTTTTCACCCACAAAACATACAGTCACTGCATTTCACAGTGTATCCTGTGAATCGCTTTGAGACGTCTCGAAGATGTGATAAGGCGCTAAAATCAAATGCAAGGATTCTTATTAACTTTTGCAACAAAGGCAGGACAGATCGAAGTAAAACTGGTACACTTAAGAACAAGTCAAGAATTTGTGGTTAACAAGTGGAGGAATCTGATGAATTGGCTCACATAGAGTTCATCATATACAAGTAAACACAAACACAGAATCCCCCTATGCATCTGAAATTTCTCCTATAGCAATTCATTTGCTCAAGGCAAAGGGTAATCATTTTCAGAATTTTTTTTTTTAAAAAATGCAAATACCTAACTTAAAACTTCCATAAAGAGACCTCTACACACAAATGGGAAATGTCATTAAATGTCAATGATGACACTTATCCTGGGTATTCACACCTTCAAAACAGTGCTAAATTGCACACTTATTTGAGTCGGGTCACATTTAACAGTTTTATAGTGCTCAACAGCCCGCAGAGGAGTTCTGCAATAGTGCATTGGGGTACTTTAGAATGCAGAAACTATTCTATTTATATTTCAAGGTGGTTTCCACAGCAGCCAAAACAGAAGCAAGTAAACATGCTCACTTTACATCAAGATTCCAAATAATTGTATATCCTACTACCGTACTGGTCCTCAGGATAACCAGAAAATCTCCCCCGCCAGCAAACTTGTTTCACTGAGCACGCACGCCTTCCGCCACCAGCAAAATTGGGTCAGCCGGGTTATCTGACACGTGCGGAAACCCGTCCCCGTGCTTAATAGTCTCCAAAACAAGCCGAGAATTCCATGCATCCCACCGACACTTAGAAATCCCAGAGATAGATTGTTGGAACGGAATGCGCACTCTCTCCCCGGAGGGAAGCTGCTTAACTAATTCCGGAAAGTATTAGGCACAGGTTGGCAAGAACCAAATGCTTAGGGCCCTTGGAGTGTGTGTTGGGGTAACTGCTGGAGTCTAACCAGTTAAAACTGCATAGCGTGCCATTGATATTGCTGTCCCGCCGCTTGTCCAACTAAGACTATCAACTACCTAACGACCCTTAGGGCTTCGGCTTGCAGGCTTAACAGAAGGAGCTGGGTGGGATAACTCCCTGCCCCCAGCTCAACAATTTATCATGGAATCATAGAATTATATAGCACACAAGGAGGCCATTTTTTGAAAAGAGCTATCCAAATCAGTCCCACTCCCCCGCGCTCTCCCCATAGCCCTGCAAACTTGTCCTCCCCAAATAATTATCATCTTCTCTCTTAAAAGTTGGTATTGAATCAGCATCTTCCACCCTTTCAGGCAATGCATTTCAGATCCCAACAACGCGCGGTGTGAAAAAATGTCTCCTCACCTCTGTGTCTTTTAACAACTATTTTAAATCGGTGTCCTCAGGTTACTGACCCACCCTCCAGTGGAAATAGTTTCTCCTGTTCACCCTATAGAATCCCCTCTTCATTTTGAAAACTTTCATTAAGTCTCCTCTCAACCTTCTCTGCTCCAAGGAGAATAATCCCGACTTCTCTCACCTCTCCTGATAACTGAAGTCCCCCATTCCTGCAACCATCCTGGTAAATTGCCTTTGCACCCTCTCCAATGCCTTGACATCCTTCCTAAAGTGTGAGCCCAGAACTGAACACAGTCTCGAGCTGAGGTCTAACCAGTGTTTTACAACTTTAGATAATGACAGATAGATAAAGCTCTGAGTTTGTATTAATGTGCCTAGCAATGGAACCATGTCAGGAAGCCATCTAGACATTGATGTTGCAACCTCTAACTTCACAGGTACAACAGCACAATGTGTGCCTGAGGTGCAAAGGGTGAAAACTATCTGCAAAATATCCCATAAAATCAGAGATTTAAAGGAACTTTTTCAAATAATAAAGAAAAATTGAATACCACAACCGCTAGCACTTCCTTAGAACTACTGAGAACTTGGAAAAGAAATCTAAAAATACAAACCCATACATAGCCAGTGTAATAATAATCCTTGTATTTGATATTGCGCACTATCAAGTCTTGGGAGACATCTTAAAGCGTTTCACAGAATATACTGTAAAGGGAAATGATTGTATATTCTATGGGGAAAACAAAATATATGAATTGAAAGTGTACAACTTTCAATTGTACACTATGAATTAAATTCATAATGTACAACAAATAATTGAAAGTTGCCAATTTTCAATTCAGTGCCAGCCGTTTAAGTTATCCACAATTGCGGAAACAATTTGTTCAAGTGTAAGCAAAATGTAGCTTTTTACAGTACTAAAAGGAAATAAAGACATCTAAATACAGCTACATCCTCTCAAATACAGTATTTCTTAAAAATATTCAGATTTAGCATTACTCTCAAATTTATTTTAGATACTTGATCATTGTCCAGAAATAGCATAATGGTTGCATAGCTTAAACTGCAGTTGTAAACACTAAAAATTCAACAGAACAGTATTGGCCACTCAAACAAATGTATACTGTATCAAAGCAATTAATCTTTGTGTAAGTAAAAAGGCCAAAACCATATTGTAAGCCATTTGTGTTCATACACACCAACATCAACAGAGTTCAGCAGGATTAATGTGTGAAGAAACTAGTATTATGTGTCATGCAATCGTTATACAGTCATACACTCAGAAATGCATCAATCCAGGCTGTTCCTTACAATAGCATTTTTATTACAAACATCACAAATGCAACCTACAGGAAGTTATTTTGTACCAAATAGTTTGCAATTCTATGCAGACTTTTGCATCAAAACCTCAAAAGCCATTGGGGAAAGATACCAGCTCCCACTCACATGCTTAATGAGATTTAAAGCACAGAATTATTTAACCAATGGGCAGAAATTAATACATCCAACAAACAAATTAGTCTACTCACAAAATCACTTTGTTAACAGAAAACTTGTGAGCCGACCCAGTTATCCTAACAAATAGGTAAGGACATAAATTAGGTCACCACGCCTAAAAAGTTTGATTGCGTTGATTCAAATACCAAAATCCCCTAAAATGTTGCACGGTTGCACAACCCAGACAGCCACTCTCTGCACTTGTGACAGGATTGCTAACCCTCGCACTGAAACCAAGTAAACAGTTACCAATCACTGAGCAAGCAAATAAAAATCCCTGTGATTCAGTACTACAAAAACAGACTTCAACACAACGTCTTTCCTTACCTCTATACTCTGATATTTGATCACTTTGAAACTATAATAAATGTGCAGAGACAAAGCAAGAGTTTTTTTTCAACCATAACCTTCGGGGTCTGCCTCCATGATCACAAAACGTCAAAATTCTGGAAATTCTTCCCCCACCCCACTTGGTGATTTAAATCAAGTCGAATACACAAAGCGGGTTAGATTCTCGCCCCCACCCCAAAAAAAAGATAAAATAAACCGCAATTAAGTTAGTTCCTGAAAAGACATCTGCACTTCCTTACCAAGCCCCCCCACCCAACACACAAAGAGCAAAGGGAGGCCACCAGAGGGAAGAGAACAGGCGAACAACCCTTCCCCCGCGCCCCCTCCTCCTCCCTCAAATCACATCCAATAACCGGATTTCAAGTGAACAACGCACTGAATTCAATTGAACACAAGCTGCGTTACCCACTTCCTTAACCATTTTGCAATTTGATTTATTACACCGAAGACATTTTAACCAATATAGAAAATAGGTCACATGAGAGAGTGTGAGAGATTTTGAAGTGAAGGCGGTGGCACAGAGGCTGCTTGAATCCTTCTCACCACTGCCCATTGACATTACCCTACTTCAATACAATTCTACTCTGATCACTTTATTGACCTAACAATATAGAATAAAACTCTCACACACACACATGGCTGAGTTGAATTATGGCTGGAAAGCACTGCCTGAAAGGCTGGCGGAAACCAATTCGATAACAATTTTCAAGAGAGAAGTAATTATTTGGGGGGGGAAGACAAGTTTGCAGCGCTATGGGGAGAGCGCGGGGGGAGTGGGGTTGATCAGGGCTATGGGGAGAGCGCGGAGGTGGGGGCTATCAGGGCTATGGGGAGAGAGAGAGCGCGGGGGGAGTGGGGGGTGATTTGGAAAAGCTCTTTTAAGAGAGCCGGGCACAGACACGATGGGCCGAATGGCCTCCTTTTGAGCTGTATGTGTACGATTCCACGAATCCTACCCACGTTGACGTCGCATGAGCTCAACATCGTTTTATTCCATCACTTTCTCAACACAAGACAGAATGAAACCCTCTCCCCCACACACACACACAGAGATACACACACACACAGATACACACACACAGCTGAGGTAGGCTTTCAAAATGCGGCTCCAATCTCTAGGCCGCAGCTTTCGGGGTTGGCCTAAGACGCATTTAAAAGCCTCAGTCGGTCAGTCGGCGCGTGTCTGTGTGTATCTGGAGGGAGGGAGGGAGGGAGGGAGAGGCCGGCGCTTAGACCGTCACCGACACGGCCTCTCTTGTGTGCGACTCTCTCTCTCACACACACACACACACACACAAAATGGCGCCAGGAAGCCGTTTCCCGCTCATCGCCGATAACAATAAAACAAGAGAGGCGATTCCCTTTCTCCTCCCCCTCCCCCCCACCACCCCCCGTGGGCCTCTCTCTCTCTCTCTCTCCCTCTCCTTCCCTGCCTCCCCCTCTCACGCCGACTCGGGCTCGGCTCAACTCACCCCACCCCACCCACCCGCCCGCGGCCGGCACTCACCGCGTCGCTGGGCCTGCAGGGCCCGGAGCCCCGCGCTCCCTCTCCATTGCCGCTGTTTACAATCCACACGGGACAGAAAGACACACACACACACACACAACAGACGCGCACACACGCGCGCGACAGCCGAAGCGGAGACGGCCCCGGGCCTCCCGGTCAGCGAGTCACCGAGGCCTCTTATGTTATTTCTTTCGCTCTGATATCCCTCGTCCTCTCCGTTTTATATCTTGAGGAGAGGGGGAGGGGAAGGGGGGGGGAAGGGGTTGGGGGGGGGGGAGGAGAGAGAGAGAGAGAGAGAGAGAAAAAAAATACCCCGAACACGAAGCGGGGGTGAATGAAGCCGAGCCTCCGCTCCCAGAGATGGCGGCCCCCGACGACACCTTATATACCGCCCGCCATTTTGCGCGCGCCGATTGGCCGGCGCCCGCCACGTGATCCGAGCGGCGGCCCTCGCGGTTGGCCGGCCGGCCGCACGTGACGCCGAGCGCGCCCCCCCATTGGCCGGCGGCCTCGGCGTGAGTCATGCGGACGAAGTGGCGAGGGAGGGAGGGAGGGGGAGAGGGAGAGAGAGGGCTTTTTTTTATTTATATATAATGTGCGACGTCGCAGCAAAAAGGTCGGCGGTTTGACCGGGTGGGGGGGGGGAAAGAAGAAGCGGTGCTCGGTCGATGGAACTGGTTTTAGTTTTTTTTTCCCCCCTCTCTCTCTCTCTCTCCTCAGCCTATGTTTATATTTGATCGGACGCTTCATTTTCTTTGTGTTTTTGTCGGTCGGTCGGTGGGCGGGTGTGTGTGTGTGGGTGATGGAGGAAGAACGTAAAGTAAAGCGCTTTCTTTCCCCCGTTAAGACGCGACCTCGGCACTTCCTCCTCCGATCCCTGGCCGGAAGTCGCTCGCCGCCATGTTCGGAGGTGGCCTCGCTCCTCCGTCACGTGACGAGGGCAACCGGTTTCCGCTCTCCTCCCACCGCCCACACACACGCTCCCTCCGGAGCGATGACGTCAACGATGACGCCCAATTGGACGGGTTCACGCCCGATCGGGCGATTTTTGAGGGTTCGCCCTTTGCGAGGGGACACGACCCACTTTGGGCGGATTCACGCCCAATTGGGCGGGTTCCCCCCCCCCCCCCCTCCTCTCTCGTTTGCCCTTTGAGAGGGAACAAAACCGCTTTGGAAGTGAGTCTTCATATTTTTTTAAAAAATCAGACCTGCCAAAAGGTTCCAAGACCCTTTCGTGCACTGTTTCCAACGCACTTGCCCTGAATCGGCCACTCTGCTGTCGCTGCTCTTCCTGTAGTAATAATAATAATCCTTGCATTTGATATAGCGGTTTTCACATCTTCTCGACGTCCCGAAGCGCTTCAAAGAACACACTGTAAAGTGAATTGACTGTATATTTGTGGGCGAACGCGGCAGCCAATTGCGCACAGCGATGTCCCACAAACAGTCGTGGATTGAAAATGACCAATTTATTATTGTTTTGGGTTTTGGAGGGATTATTATTAGACGTGTGGAGTAAAGAAACTTGCCCAAGGTTTCGCCCTGCCTGGAATTGAACTCAGGTCTCTCACTTGCTCTAACCACTGAGCTGCAGGACTCCACTGTAGGAGGTGATGCATACTATTGGGTGGACTTTGGGCTACAAATGTATATTTAACTTCTGGCAAACTCCCTGGGGAAGGGAAACTGCCAATGTTCCACCTTTCTCGCCCTCCCTTTGCCTGAAAGGAGGAATCATATGCATTCCAAGATGAAACACCCAAATGAGAGGGGGTGGGGGCGCTTCCAAACATAAAAACGCAAGGACCCAAGTTAGCCATAATAATAGTAATCCTTGCATTTGATATAGCACCTTATCACATCATTGAGACATCTCAATCATCACATTATTGAGACAGAATATACTGTGAAGTGAATTGATTGTATTTTGTGGGTGAAATGTAGCAGCCAATTGTGCACAGCAGCGTCCAACAAGAGGTTGTGCGTTGAGTGACCAAATTTTTTTTTATCATGCCATACAGATAACTTCTCCACTGTATTTTAACAAAGATGATAAAGACAGCCAGGTCAGTTTTCTGCTGCTGCTCTAATTGAGACTACGATTCTTACAGATTGCTAAATTAATATACGTTTGTAAGCCAATATCACACATCCTTTACAGGCAGCAGCAGAGCGACAGGGTTAGCACTTGTAAAACTGTTAGAAATCATAATAACAATAATCAACCTTGCATTTGATATAGTGCCTTATCACGTCTTCGAACTGTCTCAAAGCGCTTTGCAGAATATTCATCCAAATGAAAAATAGTTGGGCTGCTCTCAAAGTGAAACATTATAAATCAGTTTGTGAGAAAGATAGTAATAATCCTTGCATTTGTTATAGCGCTTTATCATGTCTTCGAGATAGCTCAAATCCCTTCGTGCCCTCGCACCTCCCCTACCTATCCAATCTGCTTAACCCCTACTCCACCACCCGCTGCCTCCGCTCGGCTGGCTCCGTCCTCCTGTTTGTCCCTCGAGCCCTCTGTTCCACCATCGGTGGCCGTGCCTTCAGCCACTATGCCCCGAAACTCTGTATCACTCTCCCTCAATCCCTCCGCCTTGCCCCCTCCCTCGCCACTTTCAAGTCCTTTTTGATCGTGCTTACAGTCACCAACCCCTGGCTCGGTGTCAGACTCCGCCACTGTAGGGCGCTCCAGGACGCTCCCCCCCCCCCTGAGTGAAAGGCGCTGTGTTAAATATGTATGTACAAGTTGTTGTTGAATTGACTGTATATTCTGTGGGCAAAACGCAAGATAGTAAACATAATAAAGATAGAAAAATATGGAGGGAGACCAGTTAGGTAGGAATACAAGACGCTGCCCTGTGTGGGCGGGTGGGTGGGGGATGGTGTAGATGTGTGTGTGGGTGGGGAATCGTGTGGATATGTGTGTGGGTGTGTGGGTGGGGGATCGTGTGAATGTGTGTGGGTGTGTGATCGTGTGGGTGGGGGATGGTGTGGATGTGTGGGTGGGTAATCGTGTGGATGGGTGTGTGGGTGGGAGTGTGTGTGGGTGGGGGATGGTGTGGGTGGGTGGGGGGGTGTGTGGGTGGGTGGGGAATCGTGTGGATGGGTGTGTGGGTGGGAGTGTGTGTGGCTGGGAGATCGTGTGGGTGGGGGATGGTGTGGATGTGTGGGGGTGTGTGTGTGTGGGTGGGGAATCGTGTGGATGGGTGTGTGGGTGGGAGATCGTGTGGGTGGGGGATGGTGTGGATGTGTGGGGGTGTGTGTGTGTGTGGGTGGGGAATCGTGTGGATGGCTGTGTGTGTGGGAGTGTGTGTGGGTGGGAGATCGCTTGGATGTGTGTGTGTGTGTGTATGTGTGTATCGTGCGGGTGTGTGTGTGGGGGCGCCTCGGTAGGGCCTCCCCTGAGGCCTGAGGGCCCCCCCGAACTTGAGCGTCTGTAAATACTCCTTTAATCAGATTATTTTCTCCCTCCCCTCCCCCTCTCCCCCTCTCTCTCGGGGGGGGGGGGTTATCTCTTCACTTACTCTTTTCTCCCCGCTGCTGGGGGCGTTGTTGCTCTTGTTGTTGGTGTGTAAATAATATCTATATTATAGGGAGAGGGGGAGGAGGGCATTTGTTTACCGGTGGGAGGGGAGGGGGGGGGGCAGTTGTTGCGCGCGCCGCCAACACCGCACGGCCGCCCGCCTTTGTCGGCCTGCCTGACGTCAGACGCACGACGCAGCACGCACGGCTGTCAATCGCCCTGACGTCACACACGCCGCCTCCGCCCCCCCACGCACGACGCAGCGCGCACGGGTGTCAATCAACCCTGACGCCACACACTCCGCCCCGCTCCCCCCACGCACGACGCAGCACGCACGGGTGTCAATCACGCTGACGCCACACGCAAGCGCAGCACGCACGGGTGTCAATCACCCTGACCCCGCCCCCCTCCCCCATTTTTAAAGGGACAGTCCCCCACCCGTTCACTGTGTCAACAACAACAACAACAACAAAATTACATTTTTCGTACGGCGCCTTTCGGGTCGGGAAGAAGTGTTGCGTGCAACAGAGCGTCTTATCACGTCTTCGAGACGTCTCCAAGCGCTTCGCAGGATACACCGGAAAGCGTAGTGACTGTGTGTTTTGTGGGCGGAACGCGGCAGCCAGTTGCCAAGGCAGCTTCCCCACAAACACTGTCGTGGATTGAGTGACCAAATGATTTTTTTTTCTAATGTATTTTTCTTGGAGTGATTATTACCACTTGAAAACGATAATGATAATAATATAATAATAATAATCCTTGCATTTTGATATAGCGCTTTTCACGTCGGGAGGACGTCCCAAAGCGCTTCACAGAACACACCGTAAAGTGAATTGACTGTATATTTGTGGGCGAACAAGGCAGCCAATTGCGCACAGCAATGTCCCAGACAGTCGTAGATTGAAAATGACCAATTTATTGTTCTGTTTTGGAGGGATTGTTATTAGGCTCTGTGTGGAGTAAGGAAACTTGCCCAAGGTTTGGCCCTCTGCCTGGAATTGAACTCAGGTCTCTCACTTGCAAAGCGAGTGCTCTAACCACTGAGCTACAGGACTCCACACCATGAAGAAGTCTCAAAGCATTTCATAGGAAGTACTATAAAGTGGAGTCACTGTGTATTTTGTGGGTGAACACAACAACCAATTTCTGCACAGCAATGTCCCACAAACAGTCATGGAGTGAGTGACAAATATTATTTGGGGGCTTGGGACGCCAGGAGAGAGAAACTCCCTTCTCTTTTCCAACTGCACCGCGGGATCTTTAGTGTCCACCTAAACAGCAGAGATGGAGAGTGAGGTTTAACGTCTCTTCCGAAGGACGGTGCCTCTGACACTGCAACACCCTCCCAGCGCTGCATTGGAGCGTCAGGTTAGATTGTGTGACTCTTGAGTCCCGACGTGGGGCCTTGAACCCACAACCTTCTGACTCCGAGGCGAGACTACTACTGACTGAGGCAGGATGACGTGCCAGGTTGTTAATAATAATCCTTACATTTGCTATAGCGCTATACAAATGTAATTTGTTGTCTTTGAGATGTCTCAAAGGGCTTCACCGAACATACTGTAATGTGAATTGACTGTCTTTGTTGTGGGTGAAACGTGGCAGACAACAGCGCACAGCAATTGCCCACAAACAGTCGTGGATGGAGTGACCAAATTATATATATTTTTCAAAGGAAATGTGATCCTCCAATGTTGCCCAATGTTTCGCCCTGCTGGGAATCAAACCCAAGCCCTCTTGCTTGCAAGGCAAGCGCTCTAACCACTATGCTACAGGACTCCACAGTGTTGCCCACTTTGCTGTTGAAAGGAGTCAAGCTCTTTCACAAGGGAATGAATTGAGTGAATGTGGTCCCCTAACCTGTGTGTGTGTGTGTGTGGATGATGGTGATGATGCTGCTGTTGCTGCTGCGAGAGAGACTACAACTCCCAGAGGTCACCGCGCCACCAGCCAACCAATCACCACGCAAGAGTGAAGGACGCACTGACCAATCAGAACCCCGGATTGGGTAGCCCCGCCTCCCGTGGGTGCGAGCGGCCAATTCAAACAGAGCTCAGGTGAGAAACTGTCACATATGCTGTGTACACTATACACACACCCACATATACACTATATACACTATACACACACACACTGTACACTATACACACACACACACATACACTATATACACTATACACACTACACTACACACACACACATATACACTATATACACTATACACACACACACTGTACACTATACACACACACACATATACACTATATACACTATACACACTACACTATACACACATACACATATACACTATATACACTATACACACACGAGCATATACAACAACAAGATTCCATTTATAAAGCGCCTTTCACGTCAGGAGGACGTCCCAAGGCGCTGCACAGTTGGGTCATGACCAGAGCTCAGGTGAGAAACTGTCACATACGCTGTGTACACTATACACACACACACATATACACTATATACACTACACATACACACTGTACACTATACACATATACACTATATACTATACACACACACACTATACACTATACACACACACACATATACACTATATACACTATACACACTACACTATACACACATACACATATACACTATATACACTATACACACATGCGCATATACAACAACAAGATTCCATTTATAAAGCGCCTTTCATGTCAGGAGGACGTCCCAAGGCGCTGCACAGTTGGGTCATGACCAGAGCTCAGGTGAGAAACTGTCACATACGCTGTGTACACTATACACACACACACTATACCTACACATACACTATACACACATACACTATATACACACACACACTATACACACATACACTATATACACACACACACACTATACACACACACATACACTATATACACACACATACACTATACACACATATACTGTACAGACAGTACAGACACTCTAATAATCCTCACATTTGACCCAGCGCCTGATCACGTCTTCGAGACGTCCCAAAGCGCTTCACAGGATACACAGGATGGGTGCCAAGCCAGGACTATCAAGCATCTTTGGATATCCTCCCAACGTGAAAGATACTGTGTAAATGTAAATTTGTATTGTATTAATTGTACCAACCTCCAGTGGAGTCCTGTCGCGTAGTGGTTAGAGCACTTGCATCGAAAGCGAGAGAACCTGGGTTTGATTCTCAGATGGGGTGAAACCTTAGGCAAGTTTCCTTGCTCCACACGCCTCTGTTTACCCAGCAGTAAGTCAGACCCCAGTTGTTAGTCAATTGGTGGATCGCTTTCTGGGGCTAATAATCCCTTTCAAAAAAAAAGAATAATAATTTGATCCATGACTGTTTATGGGACACTGCTATGCGCAATTGGCTGTCGCGTTTCACCCACAAAATATACATTCAATTCACTTTAAAATGTATTTTAAGTGCTTTGAAACGTCTCAACGAAATGACAAGGCGCTATATTAAATGCAAGGATTATTATTAATATATATTACAATATTACATTTGTATAGTGCCTTTCAAGTCAGGAGGACATCCCAAGGCGCTGACATATATATATATATATTATATATATATATGAAACTCTTAGAGTGTGCCCAAAGCTTTGAACCACTCTATGTTTTCTTGTAGAAATGATTCCAGTGACCGAGTTATCATATTTCGGGGAGCAGGACCCAGCATTCAAAATCCTGAAGCCCTGGTGGGATGTGTTTGCCGAGTACCTGACCCTACTCATGGTCATGGTGTCAATGTTTGGAGGAGCACTGCAGGTAAGTAACAGAAGGAGTCCTGTAGCTCAGTGGTTAGAGCACTCATCTCAAAAAGCAAGAAGACCTGGGCTGGATTCCCAGACCTTAGACATGTTTCCTTCCTCCAGACACACCCTTCTGTTTACCCAGCAGTAAGTAGGAACCCAGTTGTTTAGTTGATTGGCGGATCGTTTTTCCAGGGGTAATGATCCCTCAAAAACATTTAAAATAAAATAACAATTTGGTCACTCAATCCACGACTGCTGTGCGCAATTGGCTGCCGCGTTTCGCACTTTACAGTGTTTCCTGTGAAGCGCTTTGAGGCTCCTCAAAGACGTGATAATGCCCCGCATCAAATGCAAGGATTATTATTATTATTTAGGCTTGATCATAATAATAATTCTTGCATTTAATACAGCGCCTTATCATGCCTTTGAGACAATATAGATCATGACCGGCTGTTTCAACTTGTCCAGAATAGTAAAACCAGGGGCCATGGCCTGCGATTGAAAGGGGGTAAATTCACAACAGATCTACGCAAACCCTATTTCAGTGAGCGAACAGTGAACCTGTGGAACATCTCCCGAGGGAGACGGTTCAAGCAGGCAGTGTTGATTCTTTCAAACACAGATTAGATAGTTTTCTTTTAGGAAATAACATTATGGGATACAGCACATAGGGAGTGTGGGACATATGTGCATGTTATCACTGGGAAGGTGGAAGGTAAACTAGATGATACCTTGGTCTATTTTCGTCTATCATTTCTTATGTTCTTATGAGACTTCACAGGATACATTGTAAAGTGGAGTGACTGCGTGTTATCGATGGTTCTGTTTCGGCAGGTATCAAACGAGCGGATTCTGTGTATCCCAGTGTCTCAGGGTGTCTCCTTGCAGGATCGCCAATCGAACCAATCCGTATCGGACGGGATGAGGCCGAGTGCCTTCACGGCTGGTGGCTTCAAGTCCGGGCTGGACATCCAGCAGTACTACCTGATTAACCAGTGGTGTTACGACCACTCGGTCATTTGGTTCTCCAAGTACTTCCCCTATCTGGTCCTCCTTCATTCGATGATATTTCTGATCAGCAGCAACTTTTGGTTCAAGTTTCCCGGCACCAGTTCCAAGATCGAGCACTTCATCACAGTGCTGGGCAAATGCCTGGATTCCCCTTGGACCACCAGGGCGTTGTCAGAAACCGTGTACGAAGAGTCAAGTCCTAGGATATCTACCGTCGCCGCCTCGAATGTGGACCAGTCGGTGTCTTCCATCCACACACCGCTGAGAGCAGAATCCTCTCTCGTTTCGCTATCGCAGGAGATCGCGTTCAGCAACGAGGTGCCCAGCCGAGATGAGGCCTCTCTCCTGTCTCGGAGCTCCTCGCAGCTGCTGAAGTCCTCCGCTGGCGGGCTGATGATGATGGTGGACACGTCTGCGGTGAAGATCCTGGACAAGAAGGAAGGGGAACAGGCCAAGTCCCTGTTCGAGAAGGTCAAGAAGTTCCGCCTTCACACGGAGGAGGAGGGCGACATCCTGTACAAGATGTACCTGAAGCAGACGGTCGTGAGGGCGGTTCAGAGCGCCATCATCCTAATCTACATCAGCGTCTTCATCCCGCGAATGGGCAACGTCATCCACTGCGTGGACTCCCTGCACATCACTGGCTTCACAGACTTCTTCTGCATCCACGGCCTGTGGCGAATGTTCCGCATGTTATCGTTGGTGTACATCACGGCCATCCTCCTCTACAGCGGCACCTGTGTCTATACCCTGCACTGGATCCTGTATTACAAGCTCAGGCAGTATTCCTTCGAGAACGTCAGGGTGGAGACGGGGATGGATGACATTCCCGACGTGAGGAATGACTTTGCCTTCCTGTTGCACCTGATCGATCAGTACGACAAGCTGTACGCCCGCAAGTTCGCCGTCTTCCTCTCGGACGTGAGCGAAAACAAACTCCTGCAGCTCAACCTGAATCACGAGTGGAGCCTGGAGAGGCTCAAACAGCGGCTGGTCGTCAACAGAGAGAACCAGGTGGAGATGCACCTGTTCATGATGCCTGGCATCCCCTTCCAGGTGTACGACCTGACCGAGATCGAAGTCCTGAAGCTGGAACTCATCAAGGGCATCACCATCTCGGCCGCCATCGCCAACCTCAAGACGCTGAGGGAGATGTGGCTGTACAACTGCTCGGTGAAGGTCGAGAGACAGGCGTTGCTCTTCCTGAGGGAGAACGTGAGCACTTTACGGGTCCGCTTCGGCATCGCCGATGAAATCCCACCCTGGATATTCACCCTGAGGAGCCTGAGGGAGCTCTACATCGAGGGGCACCTCCAGACGGACAGTAAGGTCTCCACGGCACTGCAGATGTTCAGCGAGCTGCCCAACATCAACACTCTACACCTGAAAACCAATGTCACCAAACTGCCCACTGCCATCCTGGACATGGCGGCTCGGCTCCAGCGCCTGATCATCCACAACGAGGGAGTGAAGATCACCTCTCTTGCCAACATCAAGAAGCTCTTCTACCTGACACTGTTGAGGCTGCTTCACTGCAACCTGGAGAGAATACCCAGCGCTGTCTTCAGCCTGACCAACCTGCAGGAGTTGGATCTGAAAGACAATAACCTGAATTCCACAGAGGAGCTGGCCAGCTGTCAGCACCTCCGCAAGCTCACCTGCCTCAAACTGTGGCATAACAACGTCCCCTCCATCCCCGTCCACATCGCCAAGGTCACCTCGCTCGAAATGCTCCATCTCAACAAGAACAAGATCGAGGTCCTCCCACCCGCCTTGTTTAAGCTCACCAAACTGCTCTTCCTGGACCTCTCCCACAACAACATCTCCCGCATTCCTCCGGAAATAGGGGAACTCACGGAACTTCAACATTTCGCTATCGAGTGCAACAAGGTGAACAAGATTCCCGAGACTCTTTCCTCCTGCGTCAAGCTGCGGGCACTGATTATCTCGTACAATCGCCTGACCCACCTGCCTCCTTCCATTGGGCTTCTGCGGCATCTGCAACTCCTCGACCTGAAGTGCAACAAACTGGACAAGCTTCCCGTCGAACTGGGCCAGTGTGTTCACCTCCGCAGGAGCCAGCTGATCATTGAAGAGGATATTTTTAAGACCCTCCCTCCGGAGATCAGAGAGCAGTTTACTAACCCTTCATAGAGCAGAAATATTGTTGATGTGCGGGTAAGTGAGAAAATATTAGGAATAATCCTAGCATTAGGCAAGTTTCTTTTACTCCACGCTTACCTAGCTGGAAGCAAAAACCCGGTTGATAGTCGATTGGCAGAGTGCTTTCCGGGGGTAATAAAAAAAAGTGTGATCGCTCATTCCACCACTGTTTGTGGGACACTACTGTGCGCATTTTGCCACAAACTATACAGTCAATTCACTTTACAGTATATCCTGCGAAGTTCTTTAAGATGTCTCAATGACAATGATAAGGCGCTATATCAAATGCAAGGATTATTATACAGCAGAGAAGTTATTAAAACTTGTGGAATTAGGAACCGAACCATAATTAGGAGACTTTTTCACATCACCAATTCGGATTGAATTATGTCAAGTGGCAGAAAGTGAAAGGAATGTTATCTCTCTCACGCACTGCTACATTTATCTGCTACGCTAATCAATTTTTCTCTTTCTTTCATATCGTTACAGGCAGAAACAGGATGAACCAACGGCCAAATTGAACTTAAATGGGTACCGACTGTAGTCGTTGTTGAGGAAAAGTACTTTAATAAAACCATTATATACACTGAAATATTTGAATGGTCTGATACAACAATGAATGGAGTTGTAGTTCTTTGGACCAACAAAAAAAAACAGAGTGGTGCCATTGGGATATTGACGGTAAACTTCAACCAAATCTACAGGAGACTTACCTTTTTGATCGTGCTTATGGTCAACTCTCTCCTCCCTCTCCCCCTGGCTCGGGCTCAGACTCCGCCACCGTCAAACGCTCTGAAGGGCGCTGTTGTTGTTGTACAGTGGAGCCAGTGGAGAGAGCACTCTCGTCTCAATCATGAGGTTGTGGTTTCAAGCCCTACATCGGGACTTTGAACTCACAGTCCAGGCTAACACTTCAAAGTTGCGCCTGGGAGGTTTGACAATTTTTTTTTCCCCATTGAACGGGGTTCGTGAACTGAGGGAAGGAGAAAGTGGGAGACTGCGCGTAGACGGAGGGAAGGAGAAAGTGGGAGACTGCGCATAGACACCCCCACCCGACCACCCACTGGAACCCGGGTGCGAAGGGTGTTTGTGGGAACCAACTAAAGTGCGTGTGCGAAATAGTTCGTAGGGATGCAAGTACCGGCCGGAAACTAGCCAATACTTACCCAACCCTTGCCAATTTTTCACAGCGACCCTGATGAGTCAAATGCTGGGATTCCCCCCTGCAAGAGGGCAGGCAGCGGGAATCTGAGAAGGTGCAGAAGCACTCCTCAACAGTTCTGGGATCGCCTTGAGATGGATAGTTTATTAGGGAGTTTAACTTCAACTCATCCCAAGACGGTCATAGTTATTCCCGCCATTTACCTGCACTTCATTGAATGTCCTCACTTTGACATTCAGAGCGCTGGTGTTGGGATATGTGATAGCTCTTTACGATGAGCACAACCCAGTTCCGCACATGGGCTGAATGGCCTCTCTTTCCTCTGCCCTGAACCCCACGTTCCTGACAATCAGCCACGATTGTCCCTGACGTTAAAGGAACTGAAGCCATTCCCTCTCCAGCTCAGTCCAGTGATGTCTCCATTACAGTCCAGTGATATCTCCGTCACATTCCACCATCACCACCAGCTGCCCCTCCAGTGCTCTGTGGAGTCCTGTAGCTCAGTGCGTAAAACACTCGCTCTGCAAGCGAGAGACTTGGGTTCGATTCCCGGCAGGGCGAAACCTTGGGCAAGTTTCCTTGCTCCACACGCCTGATAATAATCCCTCAAAAAAAAACAATAATAAAGTGGTCACTTTCAATCCACGACTGTTTGTGGGGACGCTGCTGTGCGCAATTGGCTGCCGCGTTTCTCCCGCAAACAAACAGTCAATTCACTTTACAGCTTATTCTGTGAAGCGCTTTGAGACGTCGAGAAGACGTGAAAAGCACTTTATCAAATGCAACGATTAATATTGTTATTATTATTACTGAAACCCCCTCCTCGCCGGTCTCCCCAGCTCCACTATTCACAAGATCAGCTCATTCAGACTGCCGCCCACATACTGACCCCGAACAAACTCCGTCCCCACATCTCACCAGCTCTGGCCCAGGCTCCACTGGTTCCCCACCACCGAACGGATCAACTTCAAGATCCTCACACTCGTGTTCAAATCCCTTCCCTCTCTGGCACCTCCCTCCCTCTTCGACCTCCTCACTCCCCAATCCACCACCCGGTCAGCGCCTCCGCTCGACCGGCCCCGGCTCCCGCTCACCCCTCGCACCCTCCTCCCCGCCATCGGAGGTCGCGCTTTCAACCACTACGCCCCAAAACTCTGGAACACTCTCCCTCAATCCCTCCGCCTCGCACCCCCCCATCTCTCCCCTCTTTCAATTTCCGCCTGAAAACCTGCCTCTTCAACCGCGCTTACAGCCACCTTTCCCCCCTTCCCTCCCCACCCTGCTCCACCACTGTGAAGCGCTCTGAGACGCTATCCTGCATGGAGCAAGTTGTTGTTGAGCAACGCTGCCGCCACATGGCCACATACGCTACTACAGACTATCGTGTGCAAACAGCGCCACTTTGTGGTCAATGGTACCGCAGGCGGTTCAGAATTCCCTGCGCATTCAGAAGGGATTACATTTTGGGAACATATTTTTATGTTTTAAATGTGTTTTTAAGACTCATTTAAAGCCTTGACGAGGATTACAAATCTCACAATTATGTGACAAGTGTAGTGACTTTCTCGATCTCTCTCTCTCTCTCTCTCACAGTCTCTCTCAGCTACGTGACGCGACACTCACCGCGTGAGGGGCGCCGCGTAAACGCGAGCCGTTGTTTCTTTCTCAGTCTCTCTCTGTTGCTCTCTCTCTCCATCTCGCTTGACTCCAAGTAAGAAGATTGTGGGTATGATTCCTGGGCAGAGCGAAACCTTAGGAAGGTTTCCTTACTCCACACGTCTCTGTTTACCTACAACAACAACAACAAGATTTCATTTATAGAGCGCCTCTCACGCGGGGAGGACGTCCCGAGGCGCTGGACAGTTGGGTCGGGACCCGAGCATTGGGGGGGAAATGGTCAGGGTGAGGGGAGGGAAGGGAGGGAGCGAGGAGGGGGTAGAGAGTCGAGAGAGGAGCTGAAGGTACGTTCGAAGAGAAAGGTCTTGAGACCGGCCTTGAAGGAGGAAAGGGAGGAAGCGGCGAAGGCACTGGGGGATGGAGTCCCAGAGCCTCGGGGCTGAGAGGCTTACAGTAAGTAGGAAATCATTTGTTTTGTCGATTGGCCTTCCAGGAATCATAATCCATTCAAAATAATAATGATGTAGTCACTGAATCCATGACTGTTTAATCATGTCTTATATTGACTAAAGTTCCCATTTCCACCGACGGTTCCTGCAAATGTACAGTATAATGTTTTATCTGATCAACTCACCGCAGGAGGCCAGAAGGGTCAGTGATAGTCCATTTTACGTCGTGAGGATGTCCCAAGGTACTGGACAGTCAGTGTTTCAGACCCAAGCTGGGAGTCGGGATTGGGGAGGGTGGAGGGCGGGGGAGGAAGCAGGGAGATTGAAAGCATGGACGAAGAGGAGCGTCTTGAGATGGGTCTTGAGTGAAGTAAGGGAGGGGCTCGAGGTGGAGGGGCTGCGGGATGGAGTTCCAGAGGGTGGGGGCAGAATGGCAGAAGGCCCGCTCGCCAATGGTGAGGCGGGGGAGTCGGGGGAGCGTGAAGCAGGCGGGAGCCCACTGAGTGGAGGAAGCGGGGGTTAAGACCTAGAGGGGAGCAAGACCATGGAGGGCTTTGAAGGTGAGGAGTCAAGGGTGGAGGCAGAGAGGTACAGTTGGGCGTCATCCGCATACACGTGGAAGTTTCACCCCATGTTTGCGGATGTGGTCACCAAGAGGGAGCCTATGGATATAGAAGAGGAGGGGACCGAGGACAGAGCCCTGAGGAGAACGCCGCTCAAGATGGTGGGGTGGGGGGGGGGGGGGGGGCTGCAGGAGAAGCCGTTTGAGGAGGTGAAGGGGAGACGGTGCGAGTGGTACGATCTGAACCGTTCGTTCACGGTGGAGGTGAGAGGAGAGGCGGCGGAGGAGGACAGAATAGAGTAGCCCGATGGGTGTCGAGGGCAGCAGCGAGGTCAGGGCGGACGAGGAGGCAGAGGAAATCTGGGGCAGAGCCGGGCGATTGGGGTTGAGGTCCAGAGCAGCCAATGGAACGGCGGGCGGGACAGGCTGGAGGGGCTGAATGGCCTCCTCCAGTTCCCCTCTATGTTCCTGGAGAGACTTGTGTGTGATTGACATGTGTGTGTGTGTGAGACGTGTGAGGGGCGGGGCCGGGGTGTGTGAGTGACGTGAGCGTGGGGCGGGGCTTGTCTGAGGGTGACGTGTTGAGTGGCGGTGGAGGAGGGGGGGGGGTCGATTGGTGTGAGTGACGTGTTTGAGGGGCGGGACCGGTGTGCGAGTGACGAAATTGAGGGGCGGGACCGGTGTGCGGGTGACGTATTTGAGGGGCGGGACCGGTGTGCGTGTGTGTGTGTGTGTGAGTGAGAGTGACGTGTTCGAGGGGCGGGGCCAGTGTGTGTGTGTGTGTGTCTGTGACGCGACGCGCTGGCAAGGCCGGTCATGTGACGCCTTCTCGCTTCCTCGGGAGGGCGGGGGGGCGGGGGCGGGGTCTCAGGTGGGGGAGGGTGGGGCTTCACTGGCAGCATCAGCCGTTCTCCGAGCGGTGATTGGCTGCGCGCGGGGCGGGGCGGGTGATTGGCAGCTGGTGGCAGTTGGTGACCGTTACGGCGGTTGAGGAGGAGGAGGAGGAGAGCGCGAGAGAGCGAGAAGCCGCCATTAGCCTCACACAGAGGCACACACGGGGGAGTCGTCCCCCTTTTCCGCGAGGAGGTGAGAGGATTCCGCGTCTTATCCCTTTGTGATGTTTATTTTATCGCTGTGGTTGAGAGAGAAAAAAATATACACAAGAGTGGAGCGTGAAAGCAGAGAGAGAGAGAGAGAGAGAGGCAGCGAGTGAGGGGTTTTATTTTTATTATTATTTATTACGATTATTAATTATTATTGTCATTTTTTTTGTTGGGAGAAAACAGGGAGTGAGTGACGTTTATCGCTGTCGTCGTTATTTTGTTTTTAGTTTCAATTCGCCTTTCGGTTTTTCTTTTTTTTTAAAAAAAAATCTTCGAATAATAATTCGCAGAAACGCGATATTGTTTACTTCGGAGGTTTTTGTTTTTCATAGTCCTTTCGGGTGTTTTTTTTTTTTAATTTTTTTCCGTCTGATTTCACTCGTGGATTTCTTTTTTTTTAAAAAAAGAAATATCTTTGTTATTAATTTTTATTCAGGTGGACGGCGCTTCCATTCGGTTTCGAGCGGAACCGGTGTTCTGTTTTTTTTTGGGGGGTTGGGGTTTCGACTCAAAATAATTTTGCTTTTTTTGTGAGTTTAAGAATCGCTTAAACTCGCATTCAATTCGTTGATTTTCTCCACCCCACACCCCCCACTTTCTGACCGGTACAGAGAGTGAGGCCAGGCCGGGCGGAAGGGTGGATTAAAATAATAATAATAGCAATAATAATAATAATAATGATAATAATCTTTGCATTTGATAGAGCGCCCCTTGTCGCGTTTTGCAGACATCTCTCACCTGCCGAGGAGGGTAACCGACCGGACCGGACTGCGCCTGGCAATAGCCCACGGTGTGCGACCGTCATGGAGCTGGGAGAGGGTCTGCCCGGCTTTATGGAGTCCTTCCGGGGAGCCGGCGAGGAGGTGCCAGGCGTGGCGGGAGCTGGTGAGGCGTCTCTCTCCCCCTGGGGACGAGAGCCCTATTTCACGCCCACACCGATGCCGAGCGCCCAGGGCTTGGCCGCGGCAACGGGCGGCGAGGCCGGGCGGAGCGCCGCGCCGGTCGCCGTGGCAGTCGGGGCCCGGCGGGGCGGCGAGGCCGGAGCGGGCGCTGTGCCAGTCAGCGCCCAGCGGGCAGGGAGACCGGCCAGAACCAGCAAGCATCAGTGCCTGGAGTGTGGCCGGCGTTTCACCCAGGCCTCCAGCCTGCTCCGGCATCGGCGTGTGCACACCGGAGAGCGACCCTTCACGTGCCAAGAGTGTGGCAAAGGCTTCATCCAGGCCTCAGATCTGGTCAAACACGGCCGTGTGCACTCGGGAGAGAGAGCATTCTGGTGCCCCCAGTGCGGCAAGAGTTTCCGGCAGCCAGAGACGCTGGCCAAACACCGCAAACTGGTGCACCGAGGGGAGGGGGCAGCAGGGAGCCTCTCTCTCCATCTCAATGTCCGTCAGGATCTCCTGGGCACATCATCTGGCTCCCACACCCAGTACATCACGGAAGGAGGCAACTATCTGACCCCAAAGGCCAGCCACTGGGACAAGCCTGGGCTGTGTTCACAGAGGGACAAACTGGGGGCCAGGGAGCAGGGCCCAGACCCCAGTCACTGGGCCAAGCAGCAAGTTTCTTCTGTCTTGGAGGAGCCAGGCACCAGACAAGACGTCTCTGGTCTCCGGGACTGGGTGAAGCAGGAAGAGTCTCCAATGGTGGCCGAGGAGGTACCAGGTCCCAGTGAGGCAGTCACAGGCTCATTTGGGCAGATCCCAGATCTGAAAGAGGAGGTCCCACATCTGAAAGAGGAGGTCCCACATCTGAAAGAGGAGGTCCCACATCTGAAAGAGGAGGTCCCACATCTGAAAGAGGAGGTCCCACATCTGAACGAGGAGGTCCCACATCTGAACGAGGAGGTTCCACATCTGAACGAGGAGGTTCCACATCTGAACGAGGAGGTTCCACATCTGAACGAGGAGGTCCCACATTTGAACGAGGAGGTCCCACATCTCAATGAGGAGGACCCTCACCTCAATGAGGAGGTCCCAGATCCCAGTGACTGGGGGAATCCGGTGAAGATTGAGCCAGAGTCTAATGAGAAGATCCCAGCTCCCAGTAACTGGGGGAATCCGCTAAAGGATGAACAAGTGACGGGGCAATTTTTTGGGATGCAATCTTCTGATTCTTTCATTACTGAAAGTCGGGGTTTGGAGCCACCAGGAATGTTGGACTTGGGCTGTGTGCCGAGAGCCGGTGTGAGAGGCCGAGAGAAAGTGGCCCTCAGCTCCCCGAGAGCTCGTGTCCCCAGCGAACGATGCCGCTTCCAGTGCCTGGAGTGTGGCCGGCGTTTCACCCAGGCCTCCAGCCTGCTCCGGCATCGGCGTGTGCACACTGGAGAACGCCCCTTCCCGTGCCAGGTGTGTGGCAAAGGCTTCATTCAGGGATCGGACCTTGTCAAACACAGCCGTGTGCACTCGAGGGAGAGAGCGTTCTGGTGCCCCCAGTGCGGCAAGAGGTTCCGGCAACCAGAGACGCTGGCCAAACACCGCAAACTGGTGCACCGGGGGGAGGATGTGAATAATGGGGAGTTCCCACCTCTTGAGGAGAGGAACCCACATCTCAATGAGGCGGACACAAATCCCAGTAACTGGGGGAATCCGCTGAGGGATGGGCAGTTTTTCGGAATGGAATCCACAGGTCCCTTCATTGCTGAGAGTCGGAGTTTGGAGCCACCGGGAATATTGGACGTGGGACAAGGCTCTGTGCTGGGCGCCGGCTGTGTGAGTGGCCGAGGGAAGATGGAGGAGGGTAAACAGCGGCAGAGAGAGGTGGGCGGAGGCCAGGACGGAGCTGAGGACACTCAGGCTGTGGGGTTGGAGCCGGGAAAGGCTGGCCTGACCGTTTCCGAGACAGCCTTCACTCAGGTGGAGCAGTGCAGTGAGGTGCTGCCCTGGGACCAGCGGGCAGAGACAGAGGCTGAGAGCCAGGCCGTGCCGAAGGCCAGGAGCAGGGGCCCAGTGTTCTGGTGCCCGCAATGCGGGGCAGACTTCAACTCCCTGCTGGGGCTGGTCAGGCACCAACGCCGGCATAGACACGAGACTGGCGTGTGCAAGAAACGCTTCCCACCACAGCGTAGCCACGGCGTTCAGGACACCCCCCCATTGCAGAGCTCCATGCCGCTCTCTTCCCGGCCCAATGACCGACAAAGGCGGCCGTCAAAGAGAGAGCACCGGTGCCTGGAGTGTGGCCGGCGTTTCACCCAGGCCTCCAGCCTGCTCCGGCATCGGCGTGTCCACACCGGAGAACGACCCTTCCCGTGCCAGGTGTGTGGCAAAGGCTTCATTCAGGGATCGGACCTGGTGAAACACAGCCGTGTGCACTCGGGGGAGAGAGCGTTTTGGTGCCCCCAGTGCGGCAAGAGATTCCGTCAGCCAGAGACGCTGGCCAAACACCGCAAACTGCTGCACAGGGGGGAGGGGGTAGCCGCTTCCCCCCAGGAACAGGCAGCTGGAAACCTCTCTCTCCCCCTCTCACTCCTGGCCAGCCTCAATCTCCCTCAGGATCTCCTGGGCACAGCTCGCGGCTCCGACGCCCAGTGCATCACGGGTGAAGGCAACAGTATGACCCCAAAGGTCAGCCACTGGAGCAATTCTGGGTTGTCTTCACTGAGGGACAGACTGGGATCCAGGGAGCAGGGTCCAGACCCCAGCCACTTGGCCAAGCAGCAAGTCTCTCCAGGCAGGGAGGAACCAGATACCAGCCAGGTCGTCTCTGGTCTCCAGGACTGGGTGAAGCAAGAAGAGTCTGCACTGGTGGGTGAGGATCTGCCAGGTCCCAGAGAGGGAATCCCAGCCTTACGTGGGCAGGTCCCGCATCTGAATGAGGAGGTCCCACATCTCATTGAGGAGATTCCTGATCTCAGTAACTGGACGAATCCGGTGAAGATTGAGCTAGAGACTAATGAGAAGATCCCAGATCCCAGTGACTGGGGGAGTCCACTGAGGGATGCACCAGTGACGGCGCAGTTTTTGGGTATGGAATCGACTGATTCCTTCGTTGCTGAGAGTCGGGATTTGGAGCCACCTGGAGTGTTGGACTCAGGAAAGGGCTGTGTATCAGGAGCTGGCCGTGTGAGAGGCCAAGAGAAGGTTGCCCTCAGGTCTCTCAGAATGCGTGTCCCCAGCGAGCCACGCCGCTTCCTGTGCCTGGAGTGTGGCCGTCGTTTCACCCAGGCCTCCAGCCTGCTCCGGCACCGGCGTGTGCATACCGGAGAGCGCCCCTTCCTGTGCCAAGTGTGTGGCAAAGGCTTCATCCAGGCCTCGGACCTGGTCAATCACAGCCGTGTGCACTCAGTAGAGAGAGCATTTTGGTGCTCTCAGTGCGGCAAGAGGTTCCGGCAGCCAGAGTTGCTGGCGAAACACAACAGACTGCTGCATCGGGGGGAGGGTGTGAGGAATGAGGAGGTCCCACATCTCGAGGAAAGGATCCCACATCTCAATGAGAAGATTCGAGGTCCCAGTGACTGGGAGAATCCGCTGAGGGTTGAACCAGTGATGGGGCAGTTTTTCGGGATGGGATCCACTGGTTCCTTCAATGCTAAGAATCGGGGTTTAGAGCCACCGGGAACGTTGGACTTGGGACAGGGCTACCTGCCAGGAGCCGGCCGTGTGAGAGCTCGAGAGAGGCTGGAGGATGGTAAACAGCAGCAGACAGAGGGAGGGAATGTGAGAGAGAAGGTGGAGGAGGATAAACAGTGGCAGAGAGAGGCGGTCGTAGGCCAGGTCGGAGCCAAGGACACTCAGGCTGTGGGGTTGGAGCCGGGAGAGGATGGCCTAATGGTTGCCGTGATGAAGACAGCCTGCACCCAGGTGCAGGAGCACGGTGAAGTGCTGCCCCAGCGCCAGAGGGCACAGACAGAGGCTGAGAGCCAGGCCGTGCCCATGGCCAGGAACAGATCCCCGGTGTTCTGGTGCTCGCATTGCGGGGCGGACTTTAACTGCCTGCTGGGGCTGGTCAGGCACCAACGGCGGCATAGACACGAGCCTGGCGTGTGCAGGAAACGCTTCACACCACCGTCACCCCAGGGAGACAGGGCCCCACCCCAAGACCCGTCCTGCATCCAGCCCCACTCATCATCCCGGGGGGAGCAGGCCCTGCCCCAACCAAGACCCGCCCACCACCGTCACTCAGTTTACAGTTTAGTAACGGCATTCCGGATACCACCCCACCACAGAGCTCCATGCCACTCGCGTCCAGGCCCAGTGTCCGGCAACGGCGGCCAACAAAAAGGGAACACCGGTGCCTGGAGTGTGGCCGGCGTTTCACCCAGGCCTCCAGCCTGCTCCGGCATCGGCGTGTGCACACTGGAGAGCGCCCCTTCTCATGCCAGGTGTGTGGCAAAGGTTTCATCCAAGCATCGGACCTGGTCAAACACAGCCGTGTGCACTCGGGGGAGCGGGCTTTCTGGTGCCCCCAGTGCGGCAAGAGTTTCCGGCAACCAGAGACGCTGGCCAAACACCGCAAACTGCTGCATCGAGGGGAAGGGGTGGCCGCTTCTCCCCAGAAGGGTGCAGGGGGGATCCTCTCTCTCCCTCTTGATCTCCCTCAGGATCTCCTGGGCACGTCGTCTGGCTCCCACACCCAGTACATCACAGAAGGAGGCAACTATCTGGCCCCAAAAGCCAGCCACTGGGGCAGCCCTGGGCCGTCTTCACTGTGGGAGAGTCTAGGAACCAGGGAGCAGGGCCCAGATCCCAGCCACTGGGCCAAGCAGCAAGTCTCCCCTGTCCGGGAGGATCCAGGCACCAGTCAGGATGTCACTGGTTGCAGGGATTGGGTGAAGCAGGAAGTGTGTCCAGTGGTGGGTGAGGAGGTGCAGGTTCTCAGTGAGGTTGTCAAAGGCTCACATGAGCAGGTCCCACATTTGGACGAAGAGGTCCCACATCTGACTGAGGAGGTCCCACATCTGACTGAGGAGGTTCCACATCTGACTGAGGAGGTTCCACATCTGACTGAGGAGGTCCCACATCTGACTGAGGAGGTCCCACATCTGACTGAGGAGGTCCCACATCTGACTGAGGAGGTCCCACATCTGACTGAGGAGGTCCCACATCTGACTGAGGAGGTCCCACATCTGACTGAGGAGGTCCCACATCTGACTGAGGCGGTCCCACGTCTGACTGAGGAGATCCCACATCTGACTGAGGAGATCCCACATCTGACTGAGGAGATCCCACATCTCAATGAGGAGATCCCACATCTCAATGAGGAGATCCCACATCTCAATGAGGAGATCCCCCATCTCAATGAAGAGATCCCGCATCTCAGTAACTGGACGAATCCGGTGAAGATTGAGCCAGAGACTAATGAGAAGATCCCAGATCCAGTGCCTGGGGAAATCCGCTGAGCGATGAACCAGTGACGGGGCAGTTTTTGGGTATGGAATCTACTGGTTCCTTCATTGCTGAGAGTCGGGGTTTGGAGCTACCAGGAAAGTTGGACTTGGGCTTGGTGACGGGGCCGGCAGTGTGAGAGGCCAAGTGGAGGTGGCCCTCAGGTCCCCAAGAGAGCGTGTCCCAAGCGAGCGACGCCGCTTCTTGTGCCTGGAGTGTGGCCGTCGTTTCACCCAGGCCTCCAGCCTGCTCCGGCACCGGCGTGTGCACACTGGAGAGCGCCCCTTTCTGTGCCAGGTTTGTGGCAAAGGCTTCATCCAGGCCTCGGACCTGGTCAAACACAGCCGTGTGCACTCAGGGGAGAGAGCGTTCTGGTGCCCCCAGTGTGGCAAGAGGTTCCGGCAGCCAGAGACGCTGGCCAAACACCGCAAACTACTGCACGGGTCGGAGGGTGAGAGGAATGGGGAGGTCCCACATCTCGAGGAGAGGATTCAAGGTCCCAATGACCGGGGGATTCCGCTGAGTGATAAGCCAGTGACAGGACAGTTTTTTGGGATGGAACCTACTGGTTCCTTCATTCCTGATAGTCGGTGTTTGGAACCATCAGGAATGTTGGACTTGGGACAAGGCTGTGTGATGGGAGCCGCCAGTTTGAGAGGCAGAGAGAAGGTGGAGGAGAGTAAACAGCGGCAGAGACAGGTGGGAGGAGACCAGGGCGTAGCCGAGGACCCTCATGCTGTGGGGTTGGAGTCGGGAGAAACTGGCCCTACTGTTGCCGTGACAGAGACGGCCTTCACCCGGGTGCAGCAGTGCGGGGAGGCACTGCCCCAGGTCCAGCAGGCAGAGACTGAGAGCCAGGCCGTGCCCAGGGCCAGTAGCAGGGCCCCGGTATTCTGGTGCCCGCATTGTGGGGCGGAGTTTAACTCCCTACTGGGGCTGGTTAGGCACCAACGCCGCCACAAACACGAAACTGCCATGTGCAAGAAACGCTTCCCACCACCGTCACCCCGGGGACAGCTTAGCCATGGCGTTCAAGACACAACCCCACCGCAGAGCTCCATGACGCTGGCTTCCAGGCCCAGTAACCGGCAACGGCGACCAACAAAAAGAGAACACCGATGCCTGGAGTGTGGCCGGCGTTTCACCCAGGCCTCCAGCCTGCTCCGGCACCGGCGTGTGCACACCGGAGAGCGCCCCTTCCCATGCCAGGTGTGTGGCAAAGGCTTCATCCAAGCGTCAGACCTGGTCAAACACAGCCGCGTGCACTCAGGGGAGAGAGCATTCTGGTGCCCCCAGTGCGGCAAGAGTTTCCGGCAGCCAGAGACGCTGGCCAAACACCGCAAACTGCTGCACCGGGGGCAGGGGTTGGCTGCTTCCCCCCAGCAGGGGGTAGCGGGGAAACTCTCGCTCCCCTTCTCACTCCCACCCCGCCTCAATCTCCCTCAGGATCTCCTTGGCACAGCACCCGGTTCCAAGGCGGTGTGGAGGAACCCAGACTTTGGGTTCAATGGCAGCCACAAAACAGTGTGGGTATGCGATGGGCAGAGACTGTTCCGGTGCCTGGTGTGTGGCAAACATCTCAGCTCTTCGTCCGCGCTCTCCCGACATCACCGAATCCACCGCGGAGACCAAGCATTAAAGTGCCCCGAGCGCAGTCTGGGCTGTCACCACCGGGTGGAACACCCCCTCGCCTCCCTTCGCCTAAGGCCTGGGACCAGAGCCAGCTACAGCCGCAGCACAGCCCTGGAGGCCCTCATCTCAGCCATTGGGCTAAGCAGCAAGTCTTTCCTGTCAGGGAGGAGACAGGCATCAGCCAGGATGTCTCTGGTCTCCGAGACTGGGTGAAGCAGGAACAGTGTCCAGTGGTGGGTGAGGAAATGCCGGGTCCCAGTAAGGGAGTCACAGGCCCACGTGGGCAGGTCCCACGTCTCAATGGGCAGGTCCCACATCTCAATGAGAAAGTCCCACATCTCAGCGTAGAGGTCCCATATCTTAATGAGAAGATTCCAAACCCTAGTGACTGGCGGCATCCACTGAGGGATGAACCAGTGACGGGGCAGTTTTTCGGGATGGAATCCATTGCTTCCTTCGATGCTGAGAGTCGGGGTTTGGGGCCACTGGGAATGTTCGACTTGGAACAGGGCTGTGTACCGGGAGCCAGTGGTGTGAGAGGCCGAGAGAAGGTGGTGGGTGGTAAACAGCGGCAGAAAGAGGGAGGGAATGTGATAGAGAAAGTGGAGGAGAGTATACAGCGGCAGACAGAGGTGGGTGGAGGCCAGGGCGGAGCCGAGGACACTCAGGCTGCGGGGTTGGAGCCAGGAGAGGCTGGCCTGACCGTTGCAGTGACAGAAACAGTCTTCACCCGGGTGCAGGAGCACAGTGAGGTGCTGCCCCAGGGCCAGGGGTCAGAGACAGAGGCTGAGAGCCAGTCTGTGCCCAAGGCCAGGAGCAGGATCCCGGTGTTCTGGTGCCCGCGATGTGGGGCGGACTTTAACTCCCTGCTGGGGCTGGTCAAGCACCAACGCCGGCACAGAAACGAGCCTGGTGTGTGCAGGAAACGCGTCCCACCACCGTTACCCCGGGGACAGCGTAGCCACAGCGTTCAGGACGCAACCCCACCACAGAGCTCCATGCCGCTCACATCCCGGCCCAGTGACCGGCAAAGGCGACCGACAAAGAGAGAACACCGGTGCCTGGAGTGTGGCCGGCGTTTCACCCAGGCCTCCAGCCTGCTCCGGCATCGGCGTGTGCACACCGGAGAGCGACCCTTCCCATGCCAGGTGTGTGGAAAAGGCTTCATCCAGGCCTCAGACCTCGTCAAACACAGCCGTGTGCACTCAGGGGAGAGAGCATTCTGGTGCCCCAGTGCGGCAAGAGTTTCCGGCAACCAGAGACGCTGGCCAAACACCGCAAATTGGTGCACCGAAGGGAGGGGGTGGCTGCTTCAGGGGCAGCAGGGAACCTCTCTCTCCATCTCAATCTCCCTCAGGATGTTCTCGGCACAGCACCCAGCTCCAACACTCGATACATCATGGAAGGAGGCAACTATCTGACCCCAAAGACCAGCCACTGGGGCAACCCTGGGCCATGTTCACAGAGGGACAGGCTGGGTGCCAGGGAGCAGGGCCCAGACCCCAGCCACTGGGCCAAGCAGCAAGTCTCCCCTGTCGTGGAGGAGCCAGGCACCAGCCAAGGCGTCTCTGGTCTCCGGGACTGGGTGAAGCAGGAAGAGTGTCCAGTGGTGGGTGAGGAGGTGCCAAGTCCCAGTGACGGAGTCACAGGCTCACATGGGCATGTCTCACATCTCAATGAGGAGGTCCCACATCTCAATGAGGAGGTCCCACATCTCAATGAGAAGATCCCACATTTCTATGAGGAGGTCCCACATCTCAATGAGGAGGTCCCACATCTCAATGAGGAGGTCCCACATCTCAATGAAGACGTCCCCCAACCCAATGAGGATGTCCCACATCTCAATGAGAAGATCCCAGGTCCCAGTGGCTGGGGAAATCCGCTGAGGAATGAACTAGTGACGGGGCAGTTTTTTGGGATAGAATCTACTGATTCCTTCATTGCTGAGAGTCAGGGTTTGGAGCCACCGGGAATGTTGGACTTGGGCTGTGTGACGGGAGCCGGCGGTGTGAGAGGCCGAGAAAAGGCAGCCCTCAACTCCCTGAGAGAGCGTGTCCCCAGCGAGCGACGCCGTTTCCTGTGCCTGGAGTGTGGCCGGCGTTTCACCCAGGCCTCCAGCCTGCTCCGGCATCGGCGTGTCCACACCGGAGAGAGACCCTTCACGTGCCAGGTTTGTGGCAAAGGCTTCATCCAGGCCTCGGACCTGGTGAAACACAGCCGTGTGCACTCGGGGGAGAGAGCGTTCTGGTGCCCCCAGTGCGGCAAGAGATTCCGGCAGCCAGAGACGCTGGCCAAACACCGCAAACTGGTGCACCGGAGCGAGGGGACGGCCACTTCCTCTCAGCCCCCAGCCTCTGGCCCGGCCCCCGGTCGCTATGCCCAGGTCGTGGTGGAGTGTAGTGATGCCCCCGCCCCTCGCCGGTTTCCCTGCCTGGTGTGTGGCCGGGAGCTGAACAGTTCGTCCAGCCTGCTCCGCCACCAACGTGTGTGTCCCTCTGGGCAAAGGCTTCATCTAGGCCTGTAGCGTAGAGGACGCGAGTGGACCTGGGCTCGATTTCTGGGTAGGGTGAAACCTTAGGCAAGTTTCCTTACTCCACACACACGCCTCTGTTTACATAGCAGTAAGCAGGAACCCGCTCATTAGTAGATTGGCAGATCGCTTTCCAGGAGTAATAATCATTTCAAAATAATAATAATAATAATAATAATTTGGTCACTCAATCCACAACTGTTTGTGGGACGTTACTGAGCTCAATTTGCTGCCTACCGCACTTTGCGCACAAAGCACACAGTCACTACACTTTCAAGTGTATTCCGTGAAGCGCTCGGAAGCACAGTTCACACGCCTTCGGACTGTGTGATCGACACAAGAAATAAAATGGTGGATATTTTGTTGTAACAAAAGAGCTCGCGTGTTGGCAAGTGTCCGTGTGTACTTCCTTCCTCGCCCCACGCTCTCTGCTCCCCGGCTCGTACAGCGTCTTGTAAACCCTCACCACGGCTTTTAACTTAACTCCCTTCACACAAGCCATCAGTGTTACCCAGTGTTGCACTGTCTCTCTGCCTCCGAGTCAAGGTGATGGGTCTTTGAGCTCACAGCAGTTTTATCTGTCAGCCAGGACATGAGGGGGAGAGAGAGAGAGAGAAAGACTGAGAGAGTGTAAGATGTTTGGATTGAGACAACCCACACAGTGGTGTAATAGACAGCCAGAGAGTTGGACAAACTAACCGAGCTCATCCTTCTAACTGAGACCATAGATACAGTTAAGTAGAAAGTACCCGATTCCACTGGAAAGAGGCATTGACCCTCGACGTCGACTCCCAACTATTCCAAAGTTACATCTTTTATGTATTTCTAACTCTGCCTCCCCTTTGTCACAGAGAATGGAGTTATAGCCCCCACCTTTCACAAGCGGCCAGTGACCTTGAGCAGAGCAAGACAAGTACCCAGGAACCGAACGAGGGAAAGTTATCAGGTCCTGAGCTCAGCGGGGGGGTCAAGCCAATATAGCTTTACTTTTGCTAACGCTAATTAGCACATGTACCCAGGAAACACAGAAGAGAAAAACTAAGGAAGGCTAATACTGATTATCACAACCCTCTTAGGGGTCCTAAACTAGTCATTAAAACAACAACGACGAGATTCCATTTATAGAGCGCCTTTCACGTCGGGAGGACGTCCCAAGGCGCTGGAAGTTGGGTCGGGACCCGAGCATTGGGGGGAAATGGTCAGGGTGAGGGGAGGGAAGGGAGGGAGCGAGGAGGGGTAGAGAGTCGAGAGGAGCTGAAGGCTGAAGGTCAAAGAGAAAGGTCTTGAGACCGGCCTTGAAGGAGGAAAGGGAGGAGGCGGCGAAGGTACTGGGGGATAGAGTTCCAGAGCCTCGGGGCTGAGAGGCTGAAGGCCCGGCCACCGATGGTAGGATGGTTGGGGCGGGGGACGTGGAGCAGACCGGAGCCAGGGTAGGGGGATAGTAGGTCGGAGAGGTGGGAGGGAGCGAGGCCGTGAATGGCCTTGTAGGTGAGGATAAGGATCTTGAATTCGATCCTCTGGGGGATGGGGAGCCAGTGGAGGCGAGCGAGGGCGAGGGTGGGAGTGATGTGGTCCCGGTGTCTGGTGCGGGACAGTACACGAGCTGCAGAGTTCTGAATGACCTGCAGTGTGGAGGGAGGGCCGGGAAGGCCGGCGAGGAGAGAGTTCCCATAGTCCAGCCTTGAGGTGATAAAGGCGTGGACCAGAGTTTCAGCAGCCGGAGCCTGCTGAGTGGAGGGAGCAGAGAGGTTGGTAGGGAGTTAGGAGGTCGCAGATGTAGCCTGGATGAGATGAATGCGGGGATGAGGGTTTCGGCGCCCTGCGGTGAGTGAGTGACAGTGGTGGAGTTGGGCAACGTTGCGGAGGTGGATAAAGGCCGAGCGGATCATGGCACCGATGTGGGAAATGAAGGACAGTTGATGGTCGTACAGGAAGCCTCAATCCATCCCCCATCTCTGTCCCATCCATGTAGTCACTCCACACACAGGCCATTCAGGTAAGGTATCTATCACTCTCATACTCGCACGTCTCTATCCCTCCTCCTCCCTCTCTAACTCTCCCTCTCACACCTGTCTTAACTCTCTCCCTCTCACACCTGTCCAAATCTCTCCGTCTGATTTTATATTTGAAAATATAATATTTGGTCGAACAATCAACTGAAAAAAAACACCAAGTACAACATCTTCCAGTCCATTCCTTTCCCCTCAATCCCAATAGAAAGTCTCCCGCTTTAGCTGCCAAATTACATCCACTGAGAGTGGAATCCTGTAGCTCAGTGGTTGGAGCACTTGCCCCACAAGCGAAAGGACCTGGGTTTGATTCCCAGTGGGGTGAAACATTCGCCGCGTTTGCTTACTCCACACATCTGTTTACCTGGCAGTAAGTCGGAACCCGGTTGTTGGTCGATTGGCGGGTATCTTTTCCGGCAGTAATAATTCCTTCAAAGTGATAATAATTTGGTCACTCAATCCACAACTGTTTGTGGGACAGAGACCAGGCCAGTTATACAGAGATCGGGCTGTTATACAGAGACTAGACTGTTATAAGGAGACCAGGCTTTTATGCGGAGACCAGGCTGTTATACAGAGACCAGGCTGTTATACAGAGACCAGGCTGTTATACAGAGACCAGGCTGTTATACAGAGACCAGGCTGTTATACGGAGACCAGGCTGTTATACAGAGACCAGGCTGTTATACGGAGACCAGGCTGTTATACGGAGACCAGGCTGTTATAAGAGACCAGGCTGTTATAAGAGACCAGGCTGTTATACGGAGACCAGGCTGTTATACGGAGACCAGGCTGTTAAACAGAGATCAGTTATAAAACTTGGGACCCACTCACAGGATTGTTCAATTCCAACTGAAGAGACGTTCGTCAGTCTTAATCAGCATCTTATCAAACAAAAACTCACTATTCGGAAAACAGTGATGTACACTCTCCATCAAAACAGAATCTACGAACAGCAGCAAAACACACAGGGTTTTTCAGATGCGCACAACGCACAATAGTATCGCTTACACGTGGAGGTGTTTCATCAATTTGATACTCACATATAGTCAATCGGACATGAAAATTGAGTATGGGTTCCCTGTTTGTGTACAGGGATTCACCGAAATTAATGGCAATCAATATTCTCACAAGTTATCAATTACAAAATCGATCAGCAGTTCCGGGCTTGTAGCAGATATACTCACCCGCAAGTGGCCAATACCATTCCTAGACCTTGTAACACAACAAAAAAAATACATTTGAACAGCGCCTTTCACGTCGGAAGGACGTCCCAAGGAATCCGATGATAGTGGCTCCCGCCCGAATTATGCCTCACTGGGCGGCTCCAACCCCTGGATCCCAACGATCCTGTTTTCCTGCCCAATCGGTTTTACTTACAGACTTGATGACGACCCCAAAGAAATATTTGGCTGTAAATTATGTGCGCTCAATGGCTTGAAAATGTCCTTAAAGTTATACCCCTTACGTTGCATTAGTGCGATTGCTTTCTTTCAACGTAGCCATCAAGTTTGCTCACAGGCGTACTGTACTGTAGCTTTCGACCCATGTAAAAGGCACAACAATATAAAGGAAAGCACAAATATTAAGGTGTCACCTGCTATGCTCCGAGGCTCTGGAACTCCCTCACTCCCTTCGGCTCGTCCCCTCTCTTCCTATTTTCAGGTCTCGGCTGAAGACCTTTCTTTTCGACAGCGCCTTTGTCACCTTTCTCCCCACCTCCCCCCGGCTCGGCCCCGGGATCCGTTACTGCGAAGCGCTCTGAGACGCCGTCCGGCGTGGAGGGCGCTACATAAATCCAAGTTGTTGTTGTTGTTATCGTGTCCGTGACAAGAGGTTAAAGATCCCATGGTACTAATCAAAAACAGAAGGGATTTTCTCTCTTCCAATATCCTGGCCAACGATCCTCCAAATAAAATGATTGGTCATTTTATGACTTCATGGCAAATCTCTTCCTACATTTGAGACATTTTATACAGTCTCTCCTGTGTACCCTCTCTGGTGTGTTTGGAGTTCTTGTTTCCTCGTTAAACTCTTTCCACATTCATTATGTTCAAATGGCCTCCCTCATGTGTGCAATCGTTGGTGTATCTGGAAGACTTCCGAATATATGAAACGCTTTCCACATTCGGCACATTTACACGGTCTCTCCTGTACGTAATCGCTGGCGTACCTTGAGGTTCTCTGCCTGTGTGAAACTCTTTCCACATTGAACACATTTACACGGTCTTTTCTCCTGTGTGTGGTCGCCGGTGTATCTCGAGATCCCCTGACTTTTTGAAACTCTTTTCACGTTGAACACCTTTATCCGGTCTCTCTCCTGTGTGTGATTGCCGGTGCACCTTGAGGTTTCCTGAAAGTGCAAAGCTCTTTCCACATTCGGCACATTTATAGGGTCTCTATCCTGCGTGTGATCGATCGCTGATGTATCCGGAGATGCCCTGGCTCAGCAAAACTCTTTCCACATTCGGCGCATTTACACGTTCCCTCTCCTGTGTGCGATCGATGGTGTACGTGGAGCTTCGCTGAACGTGTAAAACTCTGCCCACATTCGGCACAGTTAAACTATCTCCCTCCCGTGTGTGATTGCTGGTATCTCAGGAGACTCCCGGACGTCGTCTCAGAGCGCTTCACAGTAACGGATCCCGGGGCTGAGCCAAGGGGAGGGGGGGCAAGGAAGGTCAAAATGAAAGGTCTTCAGCCGAGACCTGAAAATAGGGAGAGGGTCAAGGCGAAGGGAGTGAGGAAGGCAGTTCCAGAGCCTCGGGGCACAGTGGCTGAAGGCACGGCCGCCGATGGTGGCGCGGAGGACTCGGGAGACGAGGAGGAGGCCAGACCCGGTGGAGCGAAGGCAACGGGCACTGTTGTGAGGAGAGAGGTCAGAGGGTGCAGAGAAGTGGAGGGATTTGAAGACAAATGGTGAGGATCTTGAAGTCGATCCTCTCCGGGACAGGAGCCAGTGCAGTCTGGCCAGGACTGGGGGGATTGGGGAGCGGAGTTTGGTGCGGGTAAGAATGCGGGCGGCAGAGTTCTGGATGACCTGGATTTTATGGATGGCAGTGGAGGGGAGACCGGCGAGGAGGGCGTTATAGTCGTCCAGCCGAGAGGTGACAAAGGCATGGACCAGGGTTTCAGCGGCTTTTGGGGAGAGGTATTGGCGGAGACGGCCGATGTTTCGGAGGTGGAAGCGGTGCCGGTGAGGGACTGGAAGGGATAATTGGGGGTCGAAACTGACTCCTAGGTTGCATACGGGTTCGGAGAGTTTTAGAGGGAGGTCGGGTAGGTGGAGGAGGCGAGAGCCAAAGAGTATGACGACCGCCGAAACGAACGTCCTGATCGGGCGGCACTCTGTCGCACGACCAAGGGCGTCCCGAGCGCCTCCTTCCCTCCCCGGCGCGCGTGGCATCTGCCGGCGCCCAAGGAGAGTTGGTAAACAGAGAAGAAATGTAAACAAAATGACTAAGCGTAGAGGAGGGGGGGTTTCGTGAACCGAAGGGAGAGAACATGGGGGAGAAGGGAGAATGGATACCACTCGCCTCAACTCTGAGCGCAGCCGTTGGCTTTGGCTCGGAGTCGGCCGTCCGAACGGGCTTATGCTTTTGAGTGTGTGCGCGCGTTTGGGCCTGGATGGGTGCGTGTGTGCGAGTTTTATGAGTGTGTGTGTGTGTGTGCGCGTGTGTTGTGTGTAGATCTGGGTGGATGCAAGCGTGCATGCGAGTGTGTGGGCCTGGGTGGATATGAGTCTGAGTGTGTGTGAGAGACACTCGGTGGATGCGAGTGTGTGTGACTGTGTGTGGACCTGGGCGCGCCTGTGTGTGTTGGTGCGTGAGTGTGTGTGTGTGTGTGTGTGTGTGTGTGGGGGGGGGGGCCTGGGTTCGATTCCCGGGCAGGTCGGGAAGACCTGACATGCCTCCGTTTACCCAGCAGTGAGCAGGAACCAGGGGGGGCACGGCTTTCCCCGGGGGTAATAATCCCTTCGAAACAAATAATAATTAGGTCACTCAATCCACGACTGTTTGTGGGACGGACGCTGCTGTGCGCAGGAATTATTACCCCCGGAAAATCAATCCGCCAATTGACTAACACACCGGGTTCCTACTCACTTCGAGGTAAACAAGAGGGACGTGGAATAAGGAAACTTGGCCAACACATTGCCCGGCCGGGAATCGACCCCAGGTCTTCTCGCTTGCGAGGCGAGTGATCTAACCACCGAGCCACAGGACTCCCACTCTTCCGTCTTTGTTGAGGACTTAAGCGAAGGCAAAAAAAAACTGGGCCGGTAAAAAAAAAAAAAAAAAAAATCACTCTCATCATCTCGAAAGCCATAACATTTATAAAAAGGTTTAATGGAGGTTATTGTACAATCATTTCCAGAAGTTAAGCAATGACACTCTTTCCTGTGGTAAAACAAAAAAAAAACACAACATCACATTCTGCCAATACCCAGGATGGTATCACCAAAAAAAACACCGAATGCAAAACTCACAACATGGAAATTGTACTGAACTTTAGTCAAAAATCTCAACCGAAAACGCCTGTTCTGCCACGTTCCCTCTGCAACGACGCACACTCCCGTCTCGGACCCTCGGAACCGGCAAATTTTTTACACTATAGATCGACTGCTGCTCACTATTTAAGGCAGTTCCAGACACTAGCAAAAGCATGCGACAGAAAAAAAAAAAATAATCCTGGCCCTACCTAACCATTTCTGTTAATTTCCCCATTTTGTTTTTAAAACGTCTTCAATCCAAAAGAATAAGGACAGAAGCGCTGTTTCGAACAGTCACACGCCGCGCTAACTAGAGCAGGGAACTATAGCCTTCATACGCAGTGAAACATCGCTACCGTTGTTTAGGGCGAGTGTTTATATAACCTCACCCGCAGACTTCCTCGAAAACATCAGCGTTTCACACCGAACGTTCCGTTCGTTCTGAATCGCTGGCGCCGACACACGCGAGCACCGCGCACGCGCACCAATGTCACTTACTAGGCGAGATTTTTTAAAAAAAAGTTAAACAGGAGGCAAACGTACTCACAAACCACTTTCACGGAAGAAGAATCAGCATTTCACATAAAAACTATTTAATAACAGACTGGAAGCTACGAAGCAGAAGAGCCACTCCTCGGCCTGGTTTGTGTGTGAGCGACGCGGAATTGTCTCCAACCAAGGGACGGTTTGGGGCTAAATGAGACCCTACGGGGAGGGAGGCTAAAAGAACATTGCTTCAATTCAGACACACACACGCACACACTGCACTTGCACAGGATTTAATGCTGGGGGAAGGGTTTAAGAAGGGGAGGGGAAGGAGGGAGCCGAGCATACATCTGTACAGCAACACATTATTCTAAGTCTTTAGCCCCATCGCTTTCGGGTACACCTTCGGTTTCTGGAGATGCCCCGTCAGCTGCTTCCAGCAGCTTATCTTCATCCCCGAGGGCGTCTTCACTGCCCTTTCCTGCTGCCAGAGACTCCTCAGGCCCCTGAGCGACAGCCGCGTCTGCCTCCATGTCTTCATCAGCGGCAGCGGCTTCCTTCTCGTCTTGCCCTGACCCCGTCTCCCCCGCACTGACTCTGGCCTTCGACTCTGCCACCGTCTCCCCTTCAGTCCCCTCTCCCCCTGCCGCTCCAGCGGGCTCCTCTTTCTTCGCACCATCGGTATCACCTGCGGCACTCTCGTTGGGTGCGTCGCCTTCTGTAGTGTCTTCAGCTCCTTCCTCGGCCTCCTCTTTAGTCTCTCCTTCTTCAGTGAATGGATTCTCACCCTGTCAAGGAACATAAACACGAGAGCTCGGATCTGCTTCTGCAAATATAACTGACCCCATAACGTTCACCCACAAAATTTACAGTCAATTCACTTTACAGTTTATTCTGTGAAGCGCTTTGAGACGTGTCAACGACGTGATAAAGCGCTATATCGAATGCAAGGATTGTTATCATCTTATGTCACAGAGCTTCATAGCCACATTACCATCCCGTCTAACTAAAATAAGGAGAGGACTGTTACAGACGGACAACAACAACAAATTGCACTCGTAATAGCACCCTTCACGTCGGAAAGACGTCCCAGGGCACTGGTCCCGAGCTGGGAGTCAGGAGGGATGGAGGGCAGAACGTCAGCGGACCTGGAAACCAAGAATAGAAGCGGAGATTTGGGTGTCACCCGCTATTCGTGTGGGAGTTAACTCAAACTCAGGGTCGAACGAGCGCTTCGTTACCTTGAGGTATCGTTCCAACATCTTGACAATGTTACGGTTGTTGAGTATACTCTTAGCCACTTGCAGGCAAGTCTTTCTCGTCTGTTCAAGCATAAACTGAAAGAGAGCGAGAGAGAGAGAGAGAGAGGAGGGGGGGGGGGGGGGGGGGTAGGGGGAAGAGAGAGTGTTAGCTACTTCAGAATGTAGGCTATTGGTACGTTAAAGCCACCCACCCGAACATTAACAGTAATATTCCATTAACTCCATTTCAAATCCCACCTCGACTCTCTCTCTCTCCCTCTCTCTCTCAACCCCCACTACCGGCGTCACGCAGCGTTTTATCAGCTAAAGTTACCGTTTCCGGGCCAGTGATTTCAATCAATCTCCAAACAAAACAGATACCTTAGTCCTGTTGTGTTTTATTTTAATAAAAGCGTGTGGCGACTTCAAAAAACAGTGAACTGTTTCTCCAGCCCAGGCTCAGTTGACTTGCCCCAAAGGCAGACGCTCAGATCTCCTCATGGGCCAACATTTGCGATCGATTGGACACCCATCACTGAAGGCAACAGCCTTGTGAATGACAGGTAATGGGGGGAAATCTCTTACAGGGGGGAATGGGGGGGCGGGGGGGGGGAAATGGAGGTTGCACAGAATGCAACCAGTCTTACAGCTGCAATAGACTTGTCCAAACCTCACAGCCAAAAAGTAAAACATCCTCATTTCCTTCCCCAGACGGGAGAGACGGAAACAAAACAACAACAAAAAAAATCAGTCGACGCTACAAATGCACAACAGACGGGACGCAGCATCTCAATGCTCGATCCTTCCTCGTGAGGAAGTCCCGTCTCACGGACTATTCCCAGCACTCTGGGCGAAGGATCCTTCGGAAAAACGTGAGGTCTTTCTCCTTTGGACGCTGAGACAGCTAACTTTTATTTCAAGATCGTCAGCAACTGCTGCTCTCTTTCTCTCTCTCTCTCTCTCGCTCTCTCTTTCTCTCTCTGTCTTTTTGGAATCTCTACAAAGAGAGATTTACTTTTCTGTTCCTGTTGTGGTCGGGCGTCTTTATGTGCCGCTGGATGGCATTGGTCTGCATTGGAATGAACATTTCACAAGCCGTGCAGTGAACAGCTTCCACCTTCTTCATGAAGTTGTCAAGACCAACACCTGCACCACAAATGGGGAGGGGGAGGGGGGGGGGGGGGCACTGGTTAGTGAGAGCGAGCGACACATTCGAAACCGCAAAAAGAAAAATTTCTTTTACTAGAGAAAACGCTAGTTAAAACACACCGAGACGTGGAGGCTAACTCGTACGTTAATCTTAAAGTGTAAACTGTCAAATCAGCAGACGTATATATACATATATATATATATGTGTGTATAAAAAATACTTTCTCGGAAAAAAACTCAAGCTATCCGGTGAATTACCTCCATCGACGTCGAGAAAACTTTTGATGGACTCCCCCAACCCCCACCTCCTAGAGCAAACCACCCTCGCTCAGACGTACCGTGGAGCAGGTCTTGTTCCTGAAGCCGCTTTTTAATCACGCTTTTATCCTCCATCGACTCGCGAAATTTCAGCGTTTTTTTAATCTTGTTTACAATGTATTCCTAGGAGACAAGACAACAGGATGAAATGAGTCGACTTTCAGATATCTTAAGGAAGGCAGCAATCGCCTGAGATGCGATGAGTGTGAGTAAGCAACTTGGTGCTCGGAGGAACCGGGCAACTGTTTGATCTGAGGTTCCCGAAGCTCTTCGATCTGTTGTAGACCGATCCGCACGGAATTAATTGCTATCAAAATTTCTATTGTCGTGGCATGCGATTACCAGGATGGTAGAAGGCGAACTAAATGGACCTTTTTTTTTTTAAAATCGCGATTCCTCTCCAGTCTTCTATCTCGATGGTTGTTCTTAGCTCAGTGGTTAGAACAGTCGCCTCGCAAGCGAGAGGACCTGGACTCGATGCCCGGGCTGGGGCAAAACATTGAGCACATTTCCTTACTCCACACGACTGTTTACCGAGCAGTAATACATCAGAATTTACAGCACAGAAACAGGCCCAACTGGTCTATGCCGGTGTTTATGCTCCATATGAGCCTCCTCCTGCCCTTCCTAAACTGAGCCTTCAAGCATAACCTTCTATTCCTCTCTCCCTAATGTACTTATCTAACTTTCCCTTAAATACATCGATGCTATTTGACTCAACTCCTTGTGGTCGCACGTTCCACATTCCCGCTACTCTCGGTGTAAATAAATTTCTTCTAATTTCCCCATGTGATCTAACTGGACAATTTTATATTGATGGCCCCTGGTTTTGGTCTCCCCTACAAGTGGAAATATCTTCCCTATGTCTACTCTATCGAAACCTTTCATCATTTTAAAGGCATCGATCAGGTCACCCCTTACCCTCCTCTTTTCAAGAGAAGAGTCCAAGCACGTTCAGCTTTTCTTGATAGCTATAACCTCTCAGTTCTGGGATCATCCTTATAAATCTCCTTCGCACCCTCTCCAGTGCCTTTACATCATTCTATAATGTGGGGACATTATTCTAAGTGTGGTCTGACCACGGTTCTATAGAAGTTTACCATAACTTCCCTGCTTTTAATTTCTATCCCTCTAGAAATGAACCAATGTCTGGTTTTGCCTTTTTTATGGCCTTATTAACCTGCGTTGCTACTTTTAGTGGATTGTGTATCTGTACCCCTGGATCCCTTTGCTCCTCGGGAGCCCTAGGAACCTGGTTGTTAGTCGATTGGAGGATCGCTTTTCCTGAATAACAATCTCTCCCAGAAAATAAAGACTTTTAGTCACTCAATCCACGACTGTTTGTGGGACGCTGCTGTGCGCAATTGGCTGCCGCGTTCCGCCCACAAAATATAGTCAATTCGCTTTACAGTATATTCTGTGAAGTGCTTTGAGACGTTTTGAAGATGTGATAAGGCGCTGTGTCAAATGCGAGGATCATTATTATTATTATAAGTTCAACGTTCTTGATTTCCAAACAATTTCACTTGAAAGCTCAGGGATTTAGTCTTAGTCTGTGCAGGCTACGTACAGAACTTCCCAGTTTCCAGGACCAATGCTATCCTGACAGAATGTCTGTCAGACATCAAGTCCTGGAGGAGAGCTAATTTTCTCCAGTTGAACATCAACGAGACTGAAGCTCTCCTGATTGCCTCCCGTCAGGGCCTCCTCACCTCAGGCGCTGACGGCATCCATGGTTGCACACCCCACCTTGCTAAGCCAGTCTGGAACCTTGGCGTCTCGTTTGACCCTCAACTATCCTTTCTACCCTACATCTGTGCCATGACCCACTCTGCCTTCCCTCACCTCCGCAACATCACCCGGCTCCGCCACTGCCTCACATCGCAGGCCACTGAAACCCTCATATGCGCTTTCATTACATCGAGACTTGACTATGCAAACTCCTTGCTCGTCAGCCTCCCGAACTCCTCCATCCATAGGCTGCAGATCATCCAGAACTCTGCAGCCCGTGTCCTCTCCCGCGCCAATTCTGTGACCCTATCACGCCCATCCTCACCCAACTCCACTGGCTTCCCATCACACAGTGGATACAGTTTAAGATCCTGGTCCTCACCTTCAAAGCCCCCCATGGTTTTGCTCCCCCCCCTACCTCTGCGACCTCCTAACTCCCTACCATCCTGCTAGCTCCTCCGCTCAGTGGGCTCCAACTTGCTTCACACATCCCCCTGCCTCGCTCACCCCACTGTTGGCGGTCGAGCCTTCTGCCACTCTGCCCCCACCCTCTGGAACCCCATCCCGCAATCCCTCGGCCTCGCCCACCTCCCTTACCTCCTTCAAGACCCATCTCAATGACCCTCCTCTTCGATCGTGCTTTTGATCATCCTGCTTCCCCCTTGCCCTCCACCCTCCCCGATCCCGACCCTCAGCTCGGGTCCGAAACTCTGTCTGTCCAGCACCTTGCGACGTCCTCCTGACGTGAAAGACGCCTATACAAACGTAATTTTGTTGTTGTTAAGAAAAATTGGTATTTGTTGATTTTTTTATTTTTCTCAACATTAAGTTGCCATCATTAAACTCCTCACTGCCAACCACAAAGCTACAAAATGGGTCCAACAGTCAGCACTTCCTACGCGCGGGCAGTGCAATAATAATTCTAATAACCCTTTCATTTGATAGAGCGCCTTAGCAGGTCTTCGAGAACGTCTCAAATCGCTTCACAAAATATATTGCAAAGTGAATTGATTGTATATTTTGTGGGCAAAACGCAGCAGACAATTGCGCACAGCGGCGTCCCCACAAACAGTTGTGGATTGAGTGACCAATTATTTGGGGTAGGGGGGAAAGCAATCCGTTAATCGATTAACAACCAAGCTCCTACTTACTGCTAGGTAAACAGAGGCGTGTGGACTAAAGAAAATTGCCCAACGTTTCGCCCTGCCGGGAATCAAACCCAGGTCCTCTCCCTTGCGATGGATAGAAAGTGATGTTAAGAGACATTATCTGCTCAAGCAAAATGACAACCACGGGGATGTTATGAAGTCAGCGATTTAGGTAACCAAAATGCTTGCTAAAAATGGCGGGGAAGTGGGGAGAGAGAAAGCAGAACATTCCGCATATCCCACAGCCCACTGAAAGAAGAAAGCTCTTCCGGATTCACTTTTGCCGTAGCTCTAATTTTAAGGTTACGGAATTCATTTTTTAAGAGAGGAACATTATGTCATGTTAACATAAGAAATATAAGAAATAGGAGCAGGAGTAGGCCATTTGGCCCCTCGAGCCTGCCCCGCCATTTAAGATCATGGCTGATCTTCTAACCTAGTTTAATTTACCTGCCCTTTCCCCATATCCCTTAAGTTTTTAAAAATCTATCGACCTCAGTCTTGAATATGTTCAATAACTGAGCATCCACAGCCTTCTGGGGTAGAGAATTCCATAAATTCACTATCCTCTTGCGTGAAGAAATGTTTTCTCAAAGGGCTGACCTTTAATCCTGAGGCTATGAGCCCTAGTTTTAGATTCTCCAACCAGGGCAAACAGTCTCACGCTATCTACCCTGTCCAGACCCTTAAGAAACTTATAGGTTTCTAAATATTCAATCAATTCTAATTCTTCTATATTTTAGAGAACATAGGTCTAGTCTACTCAACCTCTCCTCGTAGGTCAACCCCTCATCCCAAGAACCAACCCTGTGAACCTATGTTGCGCCCCCTCTAAGGCGAGTATATCCTTTCTTAGATAAGGAGACCAAAACTGCACACAATATTCCAGGTTTGGTCTCACCAAGGCCCTACACAATTGCAGTATTCTTATACTCCAACCCCTTTGCAATAGACGCTAAAATGCCATTAGCCTTCTTATTTGCCAACCTATTTACCAACTATTTGATGCGGGGCATCCGAGCCTGCTCTCCTCACCCAAACATATTTGAATAGAGAAACATGACCTTCTCTCTCATAACTGAAGTTTCCACATCACGGAAGTCCCTCATCCCTGATACCTGGGATGAGGGACTTCAATTACGCGGAGAGACTAGAGAAGCTGGGATTGCTCTCCTGAGAGCAGAGATTAAGGGGAGATTTAATAGAGGTGTTCAAAATTATGAGGGGTTTTGTTACAGTAAAGAAAGAGAAACTGTTTCCACTGGCGGGTGTGTGAGTCGGTAACCAGCGGTCACAGATTTGAGATGAATTGGCAAAAGAACCAGAGATTTTTTTTTAAACACAGTGAGTTGCTATGGTCTGGAATGCACTGCCTGAAAGGGTGGTGGAAGCAGATTCAGTAGCAACTTTCAAAGGGGAATTTGACATTTAGTTGAAAAGGAAAAATTTGCAGCGTTATGGGGAACGAGTGGGGAGCGGGACTGATTGGATGGGTCTTTCAAAGAGCCGGCACGATGGGCTGAATGGCCTCTTTCTGTTCTATAGGATTCTACGCGATCCTGTGTAGTGGCTTCCCACTTTACTACAATTCCAATTTGCGGGTTAAATCGGGATTTAGAAGCGGCGCTTATAAACAACAAGTCTTTGCATACATGCAAAAAGTCAACCGTTTCTTTGGGGAGTTTGGTCGCAATGAATTTGAAGTTTTCCTTATGAAATTTGCTTTCCAAATGAGGGAAAATTTCTTCATCTTCAAATGTACGGAACTTGCAAACTGAACAGACGTACATAATCCTGGAGTAACAGAAAGCGTAGTCAGTTCTAAAGAAACAGAAAAAAAGAGCGTCAGTATAGGCACTTGTGTTTTAGAGTATCTCAAAACATTTAAATTCTTATCAAATCTACTCACTACATTTGTTGGCAAACGCAGTAGCCAACTGCGCCAAGGTTACTTGAACTTTCACGATAATAATCCTTACATTTAATATAGCACCTGATCACATCAAAATAATAATAATACTTGCATTTGACACAATGCCTCATCATTCCTTGAGACGTCTCAAAGAGCTTCACAGAATATACCGTAAAGGGAATTGACTATATTTTGTTGGTAAAACGCGGCAGCCAAATTGCGCACAGCAGTGTCCCACAAACAGTCGTGGACTGAGTGATCAAATCATTATTATTATTTTTCTTTGAAGGCATTATCACCGCTGGAAAGCGATCCGCCAATCAACTAACAATCGGGTTTTGCCACTTACCGCTACGCAAACAGAGGCGTGTGGGTGGAGTAAGGAAACTTTCCTAAGGTGTCGCCTGCCCGGGAATCGAACCCGAATCCTGTCATTTGAAGGCGAGCGCTCTAATCACTATACTACAGGGCTCCACGCTTCACACATTCGTTAAGACACCCCATAAAACATTCAACATTTATACATTAAAAATATTCATTACATTAGAATCTTAAAATAAATAACATGCCACGAAGGACCAATTAATCTGGAGAAATATTGTCCAGGATTTGCTTTCAAACAGTCCTAGATTCACCAGGACCTCCTTAATGTTAAAGGAGAGTACCCGTAATAATGCAGACGTTGTGTCAGGGTAGACAGTGCCAGAGTGTGATTGTGGTACCCACTCCTTTTGTGGTACCTCTCCCTTGCTTCCTTCAAGGCCCATCTCAAGACCCTCCTCATCCACAGTGCCTTTGTTCACCTCCTACCCCTATCCTCCACCCCAACCCTCTTGATCCCAATCTCCAACTCATGCCCTGACTGTCCAGCGCCTTGGGATGTCCTCCCTCCCAATGTGAAAGGAGTTATACAAATAATAATAATCTTTGCATTTGATATAGCGCTTTTCACGTCTTCTAGACGTCTCAGTTGTGGATTGAAGTGACTGATTTATTATCATCATTTTATTGGAAGGTATTAAAACAGAGGCTTGTGTGTTGAGTAAGTAAGCTTACTCAACATTACGCCCTGTTGGGAATCGAACCCAGGTCTCTCGCTGGCAGGCGAGTGCTCTAACCAGTGAGCTACAGGACTACAGACTGATAAGGAAACTTTGAGGTTCTAGCCACTAGCTCCTCTGTGCAGAAGTTTATCAATTTTGGTCCTTAACTGGTGTCGTCACCAAAGCTTAAACATTTCCCTGTAGAATGGCATGAACGTCAGACCAGGACTCACCTTTCTGTTCGCTGCTTCTTCTTTGGCTTGTCCTTCTTGGCTTGTGGCTTCTTTTTGCTTTCACCAGTCTCGTCTTGTGCATCAGTGGCTACGAACAAAGCAACAACACATTACAGTTACGCAGCGTCTTTCACGTCGGGAGGACGACCCAAGGCACTGGGCAGTCATGGCTGGACACCAAGCTTTTTCCTCCAGTCACTGGGGGCAGGCAGTCATCCCACTCAAGTCCTGCTAACCCTGCAAACCAAAGCCTTAACGGGTAGGATAGTCTTAGCTGGAGAAGCAGTAGGAAAGCTTACCAGACAGCAATTGTCAATGGCAAGCTATGTGGTTTCAGCTGGTTAAAACTCCAGGAGTTACCCCTAACTTTACACACTGCGGTCCCCAAGCTTGGCTCCTGCCAACCTGCGCCTAATACTCTCTGGAATTAGGTAAACATGATGCATCCCTCCAGGGAGAGAAAGACAGAGTGCGCATTCCATTTCAATAATCTACCTCTGGGATTTCCATGCGTAGGTAGGATGGGTCTCAGCTTAGTTTGAATACCTTTAAGCACGGTGATGGGTTTCGCGTGTGTCAGACACCCAGCTGACCAAAAAAGAAGTACTGGAGCTGGGTGATGGGATCAGGAGGGGTGGAAGGCTGGGAGCGTAGGAGTAGAAGGGTGACCGAAGGCGCGGTCGAAGAGGTAGATCTTGAGACAGGAGTGGGATGGGGGGGGGGGGGGGGGGGGGAGGAGGCTTCTTAAAAAAAATTAATCTCCTTACGTTTCTTGGCTTCGGCATCTTTTCCTTCTGAATCATTTTCTTTTTTCTCCTTTTCGGGGCTCTCACTTGAATCCTTATCCTCGGCATTCTAGAAAAAAGATGAAACTAGTTTCAAGCACATAACGAGACGACTGTGCCTGGTATCATCCATATTATGTGTATCCGGTACGTTTTTAGAACTTTATAATTTACTTTTTCAAACTCATTGCTTGAGCTGCTTGACTGAGGTGGATAGATATGTTAGGTGAGGGACTCGAGTGATAATGATTATAATAATCCTTGCATTTGATGTTATCACTGTCTTCGAGATGTCTCAAAGCGCTTCACAGAATATTTTGTGGGTGAAATGCGGCAGCCAGTTGGGGCAGGGGCGGGCAATTGGACTTGAGGTACAGATTACCCATGATCTTATAGAATGGCGGAACAGGCTTGAGGGGATGAATGGTCCACTCCTGTTCTTATGCTCTCTATGCTCTAAACTGGTCTCGACCGAGCATAATGTGCAAGAAGAATCCCTCATTTCTATCCAGAGATTCATTCCGAAAGGTTTCAGTGTATGTGGACAGAATTAGGCTTGTTTGTGTTCCTCCTGTGGGTGTGTTTGGGTGAATATCAGAGGGTTCCCTCGCACCTTTGGGATTCTACGCAAAGTAGAAAGAAACTCTCAAATAAATATCTTCAGAAAGGAAGATCATTTTTTTGAGAAAATTGAAGACTAGTCTTTTAAAAAAATATAGTCCTGCAGCATATTGGTTAGAGCACTCACTTTGCAAGCAAGTGGACCTGGATTTGATTCCTGGGTAGGGCAAAACATTAGGCAATTTTTCTTACTACACACACCCCTGTTCACCTAGAAGTAAGTTGGAACTCAGTTGTTAGTTGATTGGCGTATCGCCTTCTGGGGGTAATAATCCATTAAAAAATAATACTGTAATTTGGTCACTCAATCCACGACTGTTTGTGGGACACTGCTGTGCACAAGCAGCTGCCGCACTTCACCCACAAAATACAGTCAATTCACTTTACAGCATGTTCTGTGAATCACTTTGAAAAGTCTCAAAGATGTGAAAAGGCACTATATCAAAATGTAAGGATTACTATTATTAAGATGCCCGAGCTTCTATTTAGACTCTTTGTGTGACCCATCACGTAACCGGTTTTACAATGTCCAAACACTACTTTTGTACACTAACTGTTTAACAATGCCGTGCATGTATCATTGTATTGAGCAGTATGTGAACGTTCATGGTAAATTAATAATGCAGGAAGATATTGTATTGTTAGCAAGTATGGAACATTAGCATCAAAGTCAAGTTTCAGTTTGGATTCAGGTTTGGTTAACCCTACAGTTGAACTGTTAATTGGATCAAGAGTACTCACAGCGCTGACATCGCCTCCTGCAGCATCTTCCATCTCATCCCCATCTCCTTCCCCATCGCCTTCCCCTTCTCCATCTCCTTCACCATCCCCGTCTCCCTCAGCATCCATGTCTCCAGCATCTTTGTCATCTACACATGAGCAATAGTGTTAGTTGTACACTGATCTGGGTACTTTCTACAAATAATGAGGGGCCAGAAACATCCACTTCATTGCCCAGACTCGATTTCAAGATCTTCTCGTTTGTTTTCAAATCCTTTCATGCCATGGCACCTTCCTATCACTCCGACTTGCTTACCCCCCAACCCACTGCCTCCGCTCGACTGGCTCCGGACTCATGCCTGTGCCTTGTGTTGTCCGCTCAACCATTGGTGGCCATGCTTTCAGCCACTATGCCCCGAAACTCTGGAACTCTCTTCCTCAATCCCACCACCTTGCCCCTTCTTTCCTCATCTTCAGATCGCACCTGAAGACCTTCCTCTTCGACAATTCCTACTTTCACCTCCCCTTCCTCCCCAGCTTGGCGCCGTGGACCGCCGCTGTCATGCGCTTTGGGACGCTACCCTGCGTGAGGGGGCGCTATGTATATGCGAGTTGTTGTTGTAAGTTACAACGTCAGTGCTGCCACATTTTAAATCATCCCTAGGTGCCCACTTGCAAGCGAGGGAGAAAAATACCAACTCGTTATCAACTTAACAACTGTCTTCACCGCCTGTATGGCATAAAATTGCACAACAGGCAGAAAATAAATGGTGAATGTCAGACTACCCGCATGGTTTAGTTTTACAGCAGGCACAACACTACCCCAAGTAATAATGCTGCCGAGATCCTTGCACTTCAAATATAAATTGGAACTTCCATAAGTTTACTTGAGAAACTGCATTAACTTTGTAAGCCCATTGCTTCCAAATACACGACAGGAAAAGGCCATATCGGCTATCTTTTAACACAAATGCAGGCTCCTCTCAGAGCACCACAACAACACATGACATTTACACAGCGCCTTTAAATTGGGAGGATGTCTCAAGGTGCTGGATAGTCAAGGATTTGCACCTGAGCTTGGAATCAGGAGGGTGGAGTTAGGAGAGTTTCACACACACACACACACTTGCACTCTCACACAAAAATGAGTTTAAACCATACAATATTTATCCAAATGCAATTTGCATGGTGGTACATACAGCAACAACAACAAATTACATTTGTATAGTGTCTTTCATGTCGGGAGGACAGCCAAAGAAAATTCTCTGGACTTGCCGTAGAGGGGGTGCAGCATAGATTCACTCGGTTAGTTCCTGAGATGAGGGGACTGACCTATGAGGAGAGGCTGAATAAACTGGGGCTGTATTCTCTAGAGTACAGAAGAATTAGAGGAGATCTTATTGAAACATATAAGATTCTTAAAGGGCTGGATAAACATTGAGGGACTGTTTCCCCGGTAGGAGAATCTATAACCAGGGGTCATGGTCTTAAAATTAAGGGTCAGCCTTTTAGAACAGAGTTGAGGAAACATTTCTTCACTCAGAGGGAGTGAATTTATGGAATTCACTGCCCCAGAAGGCTGTAGATGCTCAGTCCTTGAACATCTTCAAGGCTGAGACTGATAGATTTTTAAAAAACAGAGGGATTAGGGGATTTGGGGATAGGGCGGGTAATTAGAGTTAGGTCAGAAGATCAGCCATGATCTTATCAAATGACGGGGCAGCTCGAGGGGCCGAATGGCCCACTCCTGCTCCTAATTCTTATGTTGTTATGTTCAAAGGGGCTGGATACTTAATGGTGGGAACAGAAAGAGTAAGAAAGTTTGATTCCTGATTATGATCTTTGCTAGAAGGCAAACATGTGCCGTCATCTTGTAAAAATATAAGTAGTATGTGATGCCCCCTATATACATACATATATACAGCTTGATGGTTCAGTTGAACAGTAATAAATAGACATTCAGAAGACCACCCTTAAATATGCAGAGACTTACAATTGGCATTCTGGCCCTGGGCTCGAATGGGGAACAACAACAAATTACATTTACACAGCGCCTTTCATGTCAGGAGGACGTCCCAAAGCCCTGGACGGTCAGGGATTCACACCAAGCTGGTGGCTGGGATAAGGAGGGCTGCAGGTAAGAGTAGGAGGGTGACCAAAGCCATGGTTGAAGAGGAGGGTCTTGAGACACATCTTGAAGGAGGCAAGGGAGGGGCGAGGTGGAGAATGGCTGCTTAAGCAAGGTATCAATTGGGCAGCGAGCACCCATGCTATGTATGGAACAAGCTCCCTAGGGAGACAGACAGTGGAAGCAGCAAGTATTGATTCATTCAAAAGCAAATTAGATAGATTTATTAAGAAATAATATCGTGGGATACAGTATATACTTAGGGACATGACGTGTGAAAGCCACTGTCAGGATGGTGGAAGGCGAACTGGATGGGCCTTAGTCTTATTTTGCTAGCAAGTCCTATGTTCGTATGTTCTAAGTGCGCCTCAGCTTCTTCAGAAGGGAGAATATTTTAAACAATAAAACAAAATTACTTAGTTGGGGTGAAATATCAAAGTGCTATCATCATCCAGTCACCACCTACCTTCAAGGGGGATAAAATAAAGTGCATAAAAATATCTAAATGCTTACCTTCGCTGTCAGAGTCATCCGACTGGTCTGTTTTGGACATTTTGCCATCCGGTTCATCATTGCTTCCAGTTGATTGCTTCCTCTTCCTTCCAAGTCCCATTTCACGGCCAACACCTCTACCTCTACCTCTCTGTCACAAAAATATAACACTTCATCAATGATTTAACCCACCCTAAAAATAGCCAAGCGCGCGTGTTGGTTTACCAGGAGGCAACTGGCATGTAGCCAGTAGGATGCCACATGCTGCTGAATTGCAATGCCACACAAAGTACTTTAGGTTAAACTTCAGTTCACAACTTCAATCAATATGGCTCACTTGTATTCCGATTGAAATTATTTTGTATGCCTTCAATCAAGAGCAAACCTTTTGGCTACCAATCGAAACGCTAACCTGCTCAGCCTGTGCATGAACTGTGAGATGAGTGTGCACTATTCCACCTAAACAGAAAGCTTCGGTGAAGCCTACAGGAAGTGATTATATCACAGCCACAAAAGCCCAAATAGTAAACGCTTAAACCTCTCAGATTCCAAGTCTGTGCATTGCTATTTCTCCAGTGAAATAGACCAGTGCAAAGATGACAAGTTTCAGAGTGCCAACCGAGTACTCAAATATGCTCAGGTATATTCTCCTTCCTGCTCCCCTTATGTAAACACACACACAGACACACACCCATTGATATATACCCAAGTTCAAGTTCATATGTCAACTAGTTGTGCATTTTGCAGATGCCATTTTACTATTTAATTGTTAATCTGAAGGAAGTCTTAGAGACATTATCAGGTTTACGTTGTATAACTACAGTACTATACCATTCACATTGCCTCTTTTAACATATTGTGATACATTCAATGATCCCTCACCGCTCCCTGTACTGGTGTCAACTTACTACTTTTACAATTGATTGACATCTTTCATTGATAACTTTCGAATGACAACATGGGTGGAAGCTATTGACTACTGTATAAGATTCGGGGGTGGGAGGGGGAGGAGATGAGATCGTCAGAGCTGGTCACTAGAGTTCACACAGCTGAATACTCAAGTCTACGGCTTTTAGAAAACGGGAAAAGGTTTTTGTCTACTTACAATTTTGTTTCGATTCCGCTCTCTCCTTCGCATCCTCAGACCTCCGTACTGTTTCCCCTGAAAGCCGTACAGCCCGAAACCAGAGGTTAAGGCCTGGGAGAAGAGCGAAGGGAGGTTCCTGGAGGCGGGATTAAAGCCCCGGCCTCCGAATCCCATCGACAGCTCATTCCAGCGCGCTGACAGTCGCTCGGAACTTGAAGACGACGAGTAGGGGTCGTTCCGGAAGGATCTGTTATTGGGAAGCCAGTCTCTAGACCAGTTCTGGCCCCGATGCCTACCGGAGCCGTCGCGTGCTCTGTTGCGGAACTGATCCCTCCGGTTCCTGTAGGGGTTGTCGTAGCGGTCAAAGCGACCTCCATAGGAATCATTACGATTAGGTCCATATTCACTGTAATCAAAGCCGGATCTGAAGAGATCACGGTCATCCAGTGAAGACCTGGAGTCGTAGGACTCGAAAGGTACAAACCTGAAAGAGTCGCACAAGTAAGCAAGGAATCTGGTCAGTAGCTGGAAAGCATTCAAGAAACCATCTGCCGGACAGTCAAAACAGACTGAGAACTTACATAGCAGAGTTTCAACAACGCCGGGTAAAGTTTAGCAACTAATCGTTTCTACAATGTTTTGTAGATCAACAAAACGCCAGATTGTGGTGACGAAATTGACAAGTTTAATCGGTATTAATGACTCGGCTAGGTTAAGATTTGATATGGATTCTAAGAAAACTATACTTCCACCAAGTTACCATTTGTCAAAGGTTTCAGAACCAATACACAAATGTGCCTTTAGAGAGTTCAGGGATCTAGGAATCCAATAATTATGGTCAATTCAATGGAAAACGGATGCTTGGTCCACTTTCATGCTGGCCCATGGTCCTAGTAAAAAAATAGTTTAGTATAAGATGGTCTATATCAACCTACTGAACACTGCAACCATGGATAAGAAATCTCAACTGCACAAATACAAGACCACGACAGAAAGATATCGACCATCAGATATCACCCATTACTTTCCATCAACATGTGAGAGATAGACAGCGATCAATCTCCGTGTCCTACAATGCTCCACGAGTCACTCTAATAGTCAGGCTACCCTTACAACCAACAAGCTATTTCAATGAAAAAAATTACTGCTTACCGTTAAAAGTTACACAATTCAAGGCACTATTGATCACTTGGGAATCCACTTCCATTACAGGCCCTCAAACTTGAAAAAAAAACTCAACACTTTGAAAGACAGAAAGCCTGAGAACTACGACACAAAAGTAATCCAAGTAAAATGAACCTGAAAAAATTAGCAGACAATCCACCCAAAAACAACAACAAATTACATTTGTACAGCGCCTTTTGTGTGTGAGAATGGGATGGCCTTGGGTCATAATTGGAGAAAGCCAAGTTTCCTTATCTCACATCCCTGTTTTTCCAGTGGTAAGCTTCCTTATCCAAGTCCATGTTTTTCCCAATGCGGACAACTTGCAGTCAGGGTTAGAGGAATGTTTTAATGAGGTTTTTGTGGGATAATGAAACAACAGAGAAAATGCTATGAGATAGACAAGATGGTGAGAGTTGAAGGGTAAAACTGCTGCTCTTCAGAATAATAATCCTTGCATTTGATATAGCGCCTTATCACATCTTCGCGACGTCTCAAAGCACTTCACAGAATTTACTGTAAAGTGAATTGACTGTATATTTGCGGGCGAAACGCGGCAGCAAAAGTCATGGATTAAGTGACCAAATTATTATTTTTTTTTAAAAAGAGACCATTACCCCCGGAAAAGCGATAGGCCAATCAACTAAGAAACGGTTTTCTACTAACAGCTAGGTAAACGGAGGTGTGTGGAGTAAGGAAACTTGCCCAACTGTTCACCCTGCCCAGGAACTGAACTCAGGTCCTCTCACGTGCGAGGAAACTGCAACTGTATGTTCTGTTCTGCAAATCGGTAATTCTACAACAACAACTTGCATTTATAAAACGCCCTTCACGTGGGGTAGAGTCCCGGAGCACTTAATTCTACCTTTATGTATCGTACATGTTGCTATACAGAAGTACACAAAGACCCACGCATTTCCCAGTCAACAATTTGATTTAAATTAAATGTAGTGACAATTTGAGTCAATAACAGTACGCAAACACCATTTGAGCACAATTTGCAGAAAATGCACAGTACAGACAACTTGGAGGTGAACTAATTTGGTAAAATTCATAAGGCATCCTACTAGTAAGGCTCAAAACCCACATTACTTACATTAAGTAAGCACCTTTTGGCCATATTGTACTTACCAGTCTGGCACACGTTACCCAATGTCAAGTGACAAAATGCATCAGCTAATTCTTCTACCTTATGAAATTAGCTCCCTCCACCATCTTTCAAACCTCAAACACAAAAGCACGCACTTTGCATGCAACGTGCACAAAGAACCACCAAACCATGGGAGGGAGCTGCATTGTGTTAGCATTTACTGAAGGCAAGTCAACTGGTCACTACACTTGGAAACGCACAGTTCAGAAGGAGGCCATTGGCCCATCAGCCCGCACTAGCTCACAGAGCAGGGACATCATTTCAGTCGGACCGTCCCTGCCTTATCCCCATAGCCCTTCAAGCCTCTCTCTATCCTATGCTGTCCACCTCCTCCTGGAAGTCCACAATGGACTTCGACTCCACCAGCCTACTCACTAAGATGTTCCACATCCCAACTTCAGTCAAACTTGCACAAGTCCCATTCAGTTTCCAATCAAAAGCACTCAGATTTCTGCACACGACTCGTGTCGCTCGCTACCTAACTCGTAACATCACTCTCCTAATCTCCATTTCTCCTGCGTTTACCAGAGGCCTGGAAATGACCTCCTTAGCCATCTGTACGTGCACAGAAGAACTTCATTTCCTGCGATTCAATGTAATTCCAACGTTTGCCGATAAAGAGTGTAGATTACTGATTAAGTCGGATTTTCTACAACGCTTGCCTGCAACTTGGACTTCACGTCATCATTATGTTATTAAGACTGACATGACTTATTGTGAGTTTTACTCTACTCTCTGGGTGAAAACACGTCTCCTAAGTTCCCATTCCGCTCTTCGTGTGGCTATCTTATATCTATGTCCTCTAGTTCAAGACCGCTAAAGAGCCCTGTAGTTTAGGGGTTAGATCATTCACCTCGAAAGTGAGCCGGTTTGATTCCCGGCAAGGTGAAATGTTAGGCAAGTCTCCGCATCAGTCGATTGGCGGATTGCTTTTCCAGGGGGTAATAATTCTTTCAAAACAAATTTTTTAAAATAATTATTTGGTCAGTCAATCAACGACTGTTTGTGGGATGCTAGCGTGTGCAATTAGCTGCTGTGTTTCGCCCAAAAAATATACAGTCACTACATTTTACAGTATATTCTGTGAAATGCTTTAGAGACATCTCAAAGACGTGATAAGGCACTATGTCAAATGCATTTGATACAGCGCCTTACCACGGCACTATGTATACTGATACTATATACTGACTCCCCCTATCAATGGAAATAATGTCTCTCCGTTTACCCTAACAAAACCATTCATGGTTTTGTACAACTCAATCAGGTCACCTCAACCTTCTCTGCTCCAATGAAAACAGGCCCAGCCTCGCCAATCTCTCCTCAAACCTGTAATCCTTCATCCCCGGAATCAGTCCTCTGCAAGGGCCCCTCCATGGCTTTAACATCCTTCCTGAAGCCATGTGCTCAGAATTGGACCCAATACTCCAGTTGGGGCTTAAACAACAATTTATGCACAACTTCTTTCTTTTACACCCGGTGCCCCTGTGAATAAAACCCAGCATACCGTTAGCCTTCGTTATTATAATAATATCAGTGCCTTGGGACGTCCTCCCGACGTGAAAGGCGCTTTATAGATGTACTTTTGTTGTTAAATTTTGTTGTAATAATCCTTGCATTTAATATAGCACCTTATCACGTCGTAGATTGAGTAACCAGCGATCCGCCAATCGATCAACAACCAGGATCCTACTTACTGCTAGGTAAACAGTGTGTGTGGAGTAAGGAAATTTGCCTAAAGTTTCGCCTTGCACAGAAATCAAACCCAGGTCCTCCACTTGCGAGGCGAGTGCTCTAATCAATGCGCTATAGGATTCCACTTTATAGCCTTAGTCACTTGCGATGTCACGTTCAATAACTGAGGTACCCGCACTCCCAAATCCCTTTGCTCCTCAGCTCCTTGCAAGACACTTCCATTCAATGTATACTCTCTTCACTTGTTTTTTTTTTAAAAATCACTGAATCACCTCACATTTCCCTTCACTGAACCTCATCTGCCACTGATCAGCCCTTTGTGCTAATCTATTTCGATCACAAAACGTTCTAGCTCCTATATCCAAATCAAGGTCATTGATATAAATGGAAAATATCAGAGGCCCCAACACAGAACACTGTTGCACACCAACCACCTTCCTCCAACCAGAAAAACAATATTTTGTCCCTAAAGACAAAATACTGCAGATAGTAATATAATAATCCGTTGCCTTCGTTCCTCCGGGTCTGGCCTCCTCCTTGTCCCCCGAGTCCTCTGCTCCACCCTCGGCGGCCGTGCCTTCAGCCACTATGCCCCGAGGCTCTGCAACTGCCTTCCTCACTCCCTTCGTCTCGCTCCCTCCCTTCCCATTTTCAGGTCTCGGCTGAAGACCTTTCTTTTCGACCGCGCCTTCGGTCACCTTCCCATCCCTCCTCCTGGCTCAGTCCCGGGATCCTAAACTATAAAGCGCTCTGGGTGAGACGCCATTCGGCGTGGAGGGCGCTATATAAATCCAAGTTGTTATTGTGTAATCCTTCTATTCTGATATAAATCGTTATCATGTCTTCGAGACGTCTGAAAGCGTTTCACAGAATACACTGTCAAGTGAATTGACTGTATATTTTGTGGGTGAAACACAGCAGCCAATTGTGCACAGCATTGTCCTACAGTCGTGGATTGAAGTGACCAANTTTTTTTTTTTTTTGAAGGAATCATTACCCCCGGAAAAGCAATCCAACAATCGGCTAACAACTGGGTTCCTACTTACTGCTCGGTAAAGAGGTGTGTCTGTGGAGTAAGAAAACTTTCCCAACATTTCTCCCTGCCGGAAATCAAACCCAGATCGCTTGCTTACGAGGCGAGTGCTCTAACCACTGAGCTACAGGACTCCACAGGTTCGGACGAAAGGTCAGAACTTTCGCAAGTTCTGTTTTTATTCTGTTAAAACTTCTGTTTTTATTCTAACCTCTTATCCCTACTCTCTGCTTTCTATCATCAACCACCCCTGTATCCAATCCTGCCATCCACACGTACACTTACCTTTCCCAAAGAGTCATGTTGAGGGTCATGTTGAAAGTTAAGAGCATTGGCTTGATCAAGCGGCTCTTCATGAGTGGACCAAGACAACAGGGTATTCAACCACGAACGGGGCAATTAGTCTCCCCGATCCCATTCTTACCAACTCTTGTAATGCTTGTACGACATGTCACTGGATAGTGATCAACAATAACTTCCAAGAATTTTCTCCTCTCGTTAACTCAGGAAATCCAAGACAATCTAATACTATATCAGAATCCTGGCTCTGACCAAGGATTTAGGACAGTCAGGGGACCAAAATTGTGATCTTTATGGTCTTTATGGTCTGCTTGGCTCAGTGCACCATAAACAGCAATTAATAGAACCCCACGTTTTTCGTAAATATAGAATAACACAAATAACATACAAAACAAAAAAATCAAGCACCAGCCAATGCCACTCAGACTGCCCCCAACAACATTTACACAGCGCCTTTCATGTCGGGAGGACGTCCCAAGGCACTGGACAGTCAAGGATCTGGACCCGAGCTGTGGGTTGGGCTGAGGAAGGGTGGAGGGTAAGGATAGAAGGTTGACCAAAGGTGCGGTTGAAGAGGAGGGTCTTGAGAAAGGCCTTGGAGGAGGCGAGAAAAGGGGCAAGGTGAAGGGCTCTGGGATAGAGCTCCAAAGGGTGGAGGCAGAGAGGCTGAAGGGCCGACCGCTAATGGTGGGCGGACCGGGTTGGGAACATGGAGATGGAGGGATGGACAGATCGGTATGAACAACTGTCATAATGCTACCCGCCATTGGTTCATTCACCCCCAACCCATCCAGCCCCCTCAACCTCCTCACTCCCCAATCCACCACCAGGCGCCTCCGTTCGATTGGCACCGGCCTCCTGCTTGTCCCTGCACCCTTCGCCCCACCTTCGGAGGTCATGCTTTCAGCCACTGCGCCCCAAAACTACGGAACACTCTCCCTAAATCCCTCCGCCTTGTCCCCCCTCTCCCCTTTCAAGTCCCGCGTGAAAACTTTCCTCTTCGACCGTGCTTACGGTCATCTCCCCCCCTCCCACCGGCTCAGAGTCAGACTCTGCCACTGTTAAGTGCCCTGTGTGGAGGGCACTACATAAGTGCAAGTTATTGCTGTTGGCGGTGGTCACAGCTCTGGGCAACACAGCACCTGACTGGTCCACCCCAAGCCTGTGACCTTACTCCCTCTGCCACGCTCTCAATGGTCTTCTATAGCAAGGTCACTGGGTGAGGACAGAGGTAGGGCTGTTCGTTGCCTGATGCTGGGACCAACTAGAGGCCGTACTATAATAATAAAATAATAATCCTTCATTTGATATGTCGCCTCATTATGCCTTCTAGACATCTCAAAGTGCTTCACAGAATATACTGTAAAGTGAATTGACTGTATATTTTGTGGGTGGAATGCGGCAGCCAATTGCCCACAGCAGTGTCCCACTGGATTGAGTGACCAAATTATTATTATCATTATTTTTTGAAGGGATTATTACGCCCGAAGAAGCAAAAAAATCGACTATCAACCAGGTCCCTACTTACTCCTCGGTGAACAGAGGCATCTGCGTGGAGTAAGGAAACTTGCCTGAGGTTTCTCCTTGCCTGGGAATTACCCGGGTCCTCTAGCTTGCGAGGTGAGCGTTCTAACCACTACACTACAGGACATCACTCTTACAGTGGAATTTTCCATGTGGTTTGGGGGGTGAGCGAGCCAATGGCGGTCGGCGTTACGGTTGGTTTGGGGGGGGGGTGGTTGGGGCTAGTCGCAGTGAGCAGTTTCAGGAAGGCCTGGCGGGCGGTGCGAGCAGCTGCTGGAGACAGAGAAGAGTTGGTGCGGAAAGGAGGTTTTAATGTAAATGTAATTGAAAGAAATAAAACATAACAAAGAATAAATAACATGACATTCTCAAAATATAAAATGAAAAATTATAAAAAATTAAAAGAACTTCATAGGGGTGTCTAACAATTAATTCTTATGGTCTTATAAGAAATAATATCCCGGAAAACAATATATAGTTTGGGACATGACACACAACTGCTAGGATGGTGGAAGGCGAACTGGATGGTAGAAGGCAAATTCTTATGTTCTTAACACCAGAAAGAAACTCTGGACAATCTTTTTTGTTTGGCAAAATGATCCAAACTTTAGATCATTATTCCAATTGTGACCAACTGCCAAACCATCTTTTTAAACTAAACCTATAGCTTGACTCACAGCCCTTCAACTACAGTAGATATTAGACTATAATAATAATCCTTGCATTTGCTATAGCACCTTATCACGTTGTTGAGACGTCTCAAAGCCCTTCACAGAACATACGGTAAAGTGAACTGACTGTATATTTTGCGGGCGAAACACAGCAGTCAATTGCGCACAGCAGTGACCAAATCATTATTATCATTTTTTGAAGGGAGTATTATCCTGGAAAAGCAATACGCCAATCGACTAACAGCCAAGTTCCTACTTACTGCTTGGGGAACAGAGGAGTATGGAGTTAGGAAACTTGCCCAATGTTTCGGCCTGCCAGGAATTGAATCCAGGTCCTCTCACTTGGGGGTGCTCTAACACTAAGCTATAGGACTCCACAAAATATTTAATGAGTTAGTTATCAGTTCTATAGATGTAGTACAGATTGCTAACTCATTAATACATCCATCACTACGAGGTGCGAACAAATTCTTTACCCAGAGGGTGGTTGTAATTTCGAATTCTTTGCAAAACCCTTAAGCAAGCAATTTCAAGAACATTCTTATAAAAAGGTAATTAGGTGGAAAAGGAATGTAAACAGGCAGATGAAATGAGCAGGAAAGTTGGATTAGATCTCTTTTGTGGGCGAAACGCGGCAGCCAATTGCGCACAACAGTGTCCCACAAACAGTCGTGGATTAAGTGACCAAATGATTGTTATTTTTTTTTGAAGGAATCATTACCCCAGGAAAAGGAATCCGTCAATCGATCTACAACCGGGTTTCTACTTACTGCTAGGTAAGCAGAGGCGCGTGGAGTAAGGAAGTTCCCTTCTGAAAGGATTCGGCCTCATTCCCGGCAGGGCAATGCTTGTGTGTCAAAAAGATTCTCCTAATCTCCCCCAATGGAGGCCATCCTCAATTCATGTAAGAAAAACACCAGTGCAGACTTCATGGTCTTAATGACCTGTTTTTGTGCTGGAACATTCTGATTTCCGCAGGGGTACCGTTCCATGGGAATCAAGTTGCTACTTTGCCCAAGATATTCTGACCTTATTTCTCACATGTTATTGCGGGATGCAATGGGAGGGAGGCGGGGGGGTGGCTGGCAGAAGGGAGGGGAGGAAGAGAGCGCGTGTGTGCGTGCGCGCGCGCGTGTGTGTGTGGAGGGGAGCATATCACAATTCAATTGTATATTCAATTGGAGAGGGGTGGTGGAGGAGGGTGAAAAAGAGGCATTACAATTCATCCGGATCATATCCTTATTCTATGTCAACATCAACAACAAATTACATTTACACGGCGCCTTTCACGTCAAGGGGACGTCCCAAAGCGCTGGACAGTCAGGGATCCACACCCGAGCTGGTGGTTGGGATCAGGAGGGGTTGAGAGTGACATCAACATTTAAAGCAGGAATCATTAGTGATGAGGAGTGTGAACCTAAACCTTTTTTTGCTAGATAGCCTATAGCTACAAAGGCTAATAAAGTACTTTAACGATTGCATCAGCTAACTCAGTACAGACTGGGAATGGAAACTGCCACTGTCCTGGTACTTAAGGTGGATTTCCACAAAAACGTTGATAAGAAATGTACACGGTGTTTGTTTTCCGACTCAGGATTTCTGTAGGGGCCATACGCCTGACATTCTGTCCCTCCGCGAGTGATTAATGCTCTCCAACTAATTAAATGGAAGCAGTAGTAATAATAAGCATTTGATATAGCACCTTATCACGTCATTGAGACGTCTCAAAGCGCTACACAGAATGTAAAGTGAATTGACTGTATATTTTGTGGGCAAAACCAGCAGCCAATTGCGCACAGTAGTGTCCTACAAACAGTCGTGGATTGAGTGACCAAACTATTATTATTATTCCATTATTGGTTTATTTATGAAGGGATCATTACTCCCGAAAGCAATCTGCTAATCTACTAACAACTGAGTTCCTACATACTGCTAGATAAACAGAGGTGTGTGTGTGTAGTAACGAAATTTGCCTAAGTTTTCGCCCAGCCCGGGAATCGAACCCGGGTCCTCTGGCTTGTGAGGCGAGTGCTCTAACCACTACACTACAGGACTGCTGGGAGCAGAAGCTATGCATAATTATGTGGTTGCCACCAAGAAGTTAGAGCTTATTTTGCACTGGTCTGCTGAAGTAGAAGACCAAATGCAAAAGCCATTGAACTACTCAGTATATGGAGGTTTTAGGACTATTAATCTCGTTGAATAAACATCAACTAACCTAGAAATAAAGTAATATTCACCAAATGCACAACAAAGGCCCTTTTCATGTACCTTTCTTGTTGGTCACCCTCCACGCGAGAAAGCATGTCTAATCGCTGGTTAATTTTAGTAACAATGGATTCAGACTGGTTGGAATTGCCTCCTTTCTGAGTGTCCCAGGATTTATTCCCGCCGTAGCCATAATTTGAGCCAGAACCCTGTCCATAGCCATACCCTTCATATCCTGCAAAAGAAAGTAAATTCATCAATTCCAATTGCAAAAAACACATTCACTCCATTTTACAATAACAATAATAATTCTTGCATTTGATATAGTGCCTTATTACGTCTTTGAGACGTCTCAAAGCGCTTCACACAATATACTCTAAAACGTAGTGACTATTGTGTGGGCAAAACGCAGCAGCCAATTGAACATGCGGCGAGGCGCTTTGAGACGTTCACCTTATTAAGTTTGATTAATACTATTATTTATTAACAATATATATTTTCCCCCAAAGGAATCAAACCATTTAAGCTTTCCAGTATTTTTAAGAGATTCACTATTTAATCTGGTTACATAAAAACATATAAAGGTTCATCAAACAAAGCCAATCCATCCTTCATACCTTTGGCATTGCAACCTTAACCATTATTAACCATTTATCATCTCTTTCCCCATATCCCTTAATATATTTACTGGTCCATTGGTTATCCAGCCTCACTGCAGCTGTTAATATTTCATACTACTAAATGAAACCCAGAATCAGGAGGATTCAAATGGTAGATTATGAGGCTACGAAGGAGCATAAAAAATACCAGCTGCTAATAATAATAATCCTTAAGTTTGTTATAGCAGCTATCACATCGGGAGGACATCCCAAAGCACTTCACAGGATATACTGTAGAGTGTTTTTTTCTTTAATAGGCAAACTTGGCAGCCAACAGCAATGTCTCACAAACAAGCATTGGAGTGAATGACCAATTTTATTTGGGGTGATTGTTGGCCAGGACTCCCTTCTCTTTTCAATAGTGCCATGGGATCTTTAATGTCCACATGACCAGTCGGATAGGCCCTCTACTTAATATCTCATATGAAGGACAGTACCTCCAACAATGCAGCACACGCTAGCAGTGTTATTGGAGTATCAGCTTAAGACTATACGAGTTCCAAGTCCTGACCTGGGGCTTGAACCCACAAACTGACTCAGAGTTTAAGAGTGCCACTAGGCTGACGCAACATAACATAAAGATTATACTGTAAAAAATGTTATAAGTATATTGAAACCAAACAGTTTCAATAGAGTGAGACAACTTCAGAAAAGGTAGAACAATTTACAGCTGAGAATAATGGGGTACTTGCTTAAGTTAGGGTAGATAGTGGATGTTCTGACCATAATTTTCCAAGCATATTTGAAAACAATTATTGTACCCGAAGACTGGAGGGTAATGCAAGACTCCAATTCATTGAGTCTTCTTTTTCACAAGAAGCAATGAAATAAACACTAGCAAATAAAGGTTTTCTGTGCCCAACTGGCTACTGGGTTTCGCCCACAAAAAGGGTAGAGCCTACTTAACAAGTAGCTCGGCAAGATTTTTTTTGAAGTGGTGGATGTGAGAGGGTCAATGGATGCTGTTTACGTGGATTCCAGCCAATCAGCTAAATAATCAGGACTTTATGCTATCCTGAGTACAATGAAGCACAACTTCAATTTTAGCCCAAAAGATTTAGCTCAGTGTCTGTGACTAGAAGCAGCTCAAGTTGAGGCTCATTGTACTCCATCCATTTGGAAGTTTTTTGAACAGTGCTCATGAGGGAGCCCAAACAGACACAAGGGACAAAATGGCCTTCTTGTATGCCATAAATTTCTACGATTCTATTCATCAGCTCACATAACCTAGGCTGACGCTCCATAGCCGTGCTGGGGTGGAAGTGCTGCATTGGCAGAGGTGCCGCCCTTCAAATTGGGACAAATCAAAGGGGGTACCCCACGTTTGTTCAGATGGACATTAACGAACACGCTATGTTATTGGAGAAGAGAAAGGAGTTTCTCTCTCTCCTGGTGTCCTGGCCGACAACCCGCTAGATAAAATCAGTCATTCAACAGTAGAAATTTGACCATTCTTTGTGTAGCGCAACCCCAGATCTTACTTACATGCTAACAAGGCACAAACAGACAAATGAACTACAAAGATCTAAAAATAACCATGCTTGCAGTCAAAACAATGCTGCTATAAAATTAAGGAACTTGGGACAAACATGACTAAATTCACCCCGCCTCCCTCTACCCAAATAGAGAATTTACCTTCGCCAGCAGCTCCTGAGTTCCAATTTCCATACGACCCTGTAGAACACAAAACTATTAACAAAATGTTCGATTTTTAGAGAGTGCGTCTGTCATTTGTAAAGCATTATTTATATGGCAAAACTCTGGGTAACCCAATTTTGTACACGTATATTTTGTATGCGCATGAGTGCAGGGGGAGGGGGAAAACATTTTTTGCTTTGCAAGTGCTACCTCATTTGAGTGATCTAGGTGTTCTGATTATTTATTAAACACTGAGTTTGCCATAATTATAATATACAACCAAAAAAAACCTGGAAACACACTACCGATCGAACATGGACTTACCCAGGTAAGTGTGAATGTTTCTTGACGGCCTTGTGAGCCGTAATTTGTCCCAAACTGGCCTAGACCTTAGGCTCCTATTGCGACATAAAGCCTTGCTTCCCCTTCCCAATTATATTCCAATCAGGACAGGTCGTGTAAAACTAGAACATCTTTCCATTTGATGTCTGTAATCTTCTTCTATTTCTAAATCTCTGCAGCTTGACAAACACCCTCATTCATACCTTTAGAACCAGAAGAGATTTACAGCTCAGAAGGAAGGCCATTTACCTGTGCTGGCTCTTTTAAAGATCAATCGTTACATTCTCATATACTTGCCCTTTCATAAGAACATAAGAAATCGGAGCATTCGGCCTCTTGAGCCTGCCCCGCCATTTAATAAGATCATGGCTGATCTACTAACCTAATTCCATTTACCTGCCCTATCCCCATATCCCTTAAGTTTTCAAAAATCTATCGATTTCCTCATACCTGTGTAGTTTACTCCTTTTTACACATATATCTAGATCTCTTTTGAAAGCTTGTGTGGATTCTGCCTGAACCAGTACTCCCTCCCAGCATCGCATCCCATTTTCTAACCCCTCTGTGCGTGTGAAAAAATCTCTCCTAACCTCCCCATTTGATAACCATCTTAAGTTGATGCCCTTCAGTTACTGACTCACCGATCAGTAGAAATCATTTTTCCCTATTGACTATCACAACTCCTCATAATTTTAGACCTCTTCCAGGTCACACCTTTGTTCCAGCGAAAAGTCCTAGTTACTATGTGGGGAGATAATCTAGAATGAGTATTTTTCATACAAAATACTCCCACTTAGTAATAAGAGAAAAAACATTGTTACAAAACACTATTTTTATTTAACTGAGAAATCCTCACCACCATAATAACAACAAAATTACATCTGTAAAGCGCCTTTCACGTCGGGAGGACATCCCAAGGCGCTGGACAGACGGAGTTACGGACCCGAGCGTCGGGTCAGGGAGGGTGGAGACCAGGGGCGGGAGAAGCAGGGAGATTGAAAGCACGGTCGAAGTGGAGGATCTTGAGATGGGTCTTTAAGGTGACAAGGGAGGGGGGGGAGGCGGAGGGACTGCGGGATGGAGTTCCAGAGGATGGGGGCAAGTGGCGGAAGGCCTGCCGCCAAAAGTGGGGCGAAAAGGCGGGGGGCAAGCCGGAGCTCGCTGAGCAGAATGTTGGAGGATTAGGGGTTCGCAGAAGTAGGGAGGGAGCAAGACCATGGATGGCTTTGAAGGTGAGGACCAGGATCTTGAACTGTATCCACTGTGTGATGGGAAGCCCGTGGAGTTGCGCCTGAGGTAAGGAGATGCTGACGAGAGCCAATCAGAAGAGCCTCAGTCTTGTTGACTTTCAACTGGAGAAAGTTAGCTCTCACCCAGGACTTCATGTCCGACAGACATTCAGTTAGGACAGCAGTGGTCCTAGAGTCAAGGGTGGAGGCAGAGAGATAGAGTTGGGTGTACATGTGGAAGCTGACCCCATGTCTGCGGATGATGTCACCAAGAGGGAGCATATAGTTATTGAAGAGGAGGGGACCAAAGACAGAGCCCTGAGGGACCCTGCTTGAGACGATCCGGAGCTAGAGGACAAGTTATTTGTGGAGATGAAGTGCAGGCGGTGTGAGAGGTACAATCTGAACCAGTCAAGGTCAGAGCCGTGAACGTTGAGATGAGAGGCGATGGATGAGGATAGAGTGGTCGAAGGTGTCGAAAGCAGCAGAGGTCAAGGAGGACGAGAAGGCAGAGGGAGCCCTGGTCGCAGATGGACAGAATGTCATTTGTCACTTTGACCAGAGCTGTTTCTGTGCTGTGGGCGGCACAGAAACCCGATTGGAGGGTTTCGAGAAGGGAGTGGCGGGAGAGGAAGGAGCGAAGCTGAGAAGCGTTCCAGTACCTTGGAGAGGAAAGGAAGGTTGGAGATGGGGTGGTAGTTAGGGAGTAGAGAAGGGTCCAGGGAGGGTTTTTTAAGGATAGGAGTGATGACGGTAGTTTTTAATGGGGTGGAAACAGTTCCAAAGGACAGTTTATGATGTCAGTGAGTAGAGGGGCAAGGAGGTGAAGCTGGGAGGTAATGAGAGGGATAGGGATGGGGTCGAGGGAGCAGGTGGTCAGTTTCATACGGATTATGGTGGTGATGGGAGAGGGGGGAGGGAAGGCGGGTTCAAAGGTGTGAAGGGAGGGATGGGTAGGCCCCGGGGTGGGAGAAGGAGATGGGGTAGTAGATGCAGTGGCAGGGGCAGCTGAGCGAATTCTCTCAACTTTGGGTTCAAGGAAGTCTAGCATCGCCTCGCAGTTGGCATTTGAGGTGAGGATGGGAGAGGCATGAGAGGGTGGGCGGAGGAGTCGGTTCGTGATGGAGAAGAGCAGCCTGGGGTTGTCCTTTGCCTATAAGATTGTCTTGGGGTAGAACAATGATTTAGCGGAAGCGAGGGCAGAGCGGTAGGATTTGATATGGTCCACCAGATCTGCTGATGGACCATTAGGTTTGATTTAAGCCAAGTGCACTCCACAGACCGCACCTGTGCTTTAAGGGAGCGGAGGTGGCTGGTGTACCAAGGTGTAGCGTAACACTAACGTTATAATAATAATCCTTACATTTGACATAGGGCCTTATCACGCCGTTGAGACGTCTCAAAGCGCTTCGCAGAATATACTGTAAAGTGAATTGACTGTACATTGACGTTATGGTCTTCTCTTATGAGGGTTACTTGGACATTTCCAGACCCCAAGAGAATTCAGCCATAAGTGGTTATTGTGACTTCCATGGGTAATAAATGGGACAGTCCTTAGCCAGTTGGAAAGCACAACCCCAACGGAGATCCCTTGAAACATATTCCAATGTAGAGTTTATATCTAAGGGATGGGAGAAACAAAGAGGACTCCTTGCAGATTTAGAAACATAGAAATCTACAGCGCAGGAGGCTCCTTCAAGCCGCTCTTTTTCATATACCTGTCCACTTCCCTCTTGGAAGCTACGATTGCCATCCAACTTGACAGAACATTCCACATCCCCACAATTCTCTGGATGAAAAAGATTCCTCCTATTTTTCCCTTTCTCTGTTCTCGTGACTTATCTTACAACTATGTCCCCCCGGCAACGAGTCACCCGGGGTGGCGGGTTAGGCGGAGGTCCTCCCGAGACACAAGGTGGCGCCGTCACAGGCGCGGGTTCTCAGCCCAGATCATGAGCGCGCACGCTCATAAAGTAACTGGTCACGTTTCAGATGCGTCGCAGAGACCTCTGGTCTATTGGAGGGCCACGCTGTGGCCTCCTGCCTTAGCGAGATTAGGGGGGGGTCTGTCTGCGCGATGCCACCTGAACGTGCACTCCCGTCACAGGACAGGGGCGGGAAGGCCTCTTCAACGCAAGACACCCTTCTAATCTACTGATCCCAACCACCCGCTCAGCTCGGGTTGCGGATCCCCCGACTGCCCAGCGCACCTCGGGACATCGCCCCCACGTGGAAGGCGCCGCGTAAATGTATTTCGTCGCCGCGATAGGACGGAACCGCCCGACCGCAGTGGTGGGGCACTCGTTCAGAATCGTAGGCAAACAGCCGCGCGCTTAGAAATTCCCGTGTAACTGCTTTGCGAAAATCCCTGGAACGCCCTCGTCTCTCCACGTTACCGAATGAAGTCAGTTTGCTTTCCCCTTCCCCCCCCCACCCCTCCCTCCCTCCCCATCCCTGGTATCATTCTGGTAAAATAATCAAGAGAGAGAGAGAGAGATCGGGAGCGAAATCATTCCCCATCACTCTCCCCCCCACCCCAACACCCCCATCCTACTTGTGTGTGTGTCCCCCTCCCTACCCCCCCACTCCCTCAAAATGTTTATAGACCTTCCAAGATGGCGCGGGGGCAGCACCCGAGCAAACCCCTCCCCACCCACACAGGACCACCCCCCACCCCCCCCCCACACACACACAACAACATTGAGTCAAACCGCGGACGCCCCCCCACCACTCACTCACTCACTCACACGCACCGCCGCCATTTTGTGACGGAGTGAGAAGACCACGACGACGAAGAACGGTTGAGAAGGAGGGGGGAGAGGGGGGGGGGGTAAAAAAAACGATGGGTATCCAGGAGAGAGAGATAGAGAGAGAGAGAGAGGGTGGGGGGGGGCGGGGATTCTCCGAACCCACCCGCCATTACGCGGACTCCACACACTCCGGTCTCTCGCAACCGACCAACCGCCCGCCTCAAAAAGGGACGATTAACGGCCATTTTTTTTTCGGGCTGCGCGGAGTGGAGGGGTTTATTTTTCATCTTTCTTTTTTTTTAATTTAATTTATAAAAAAAAATTCTTATTCGTAAATTTAATTTTTTTACAATGAATACATTTTTTTAAAAAAAAACCGGAACGACGAAACGCGATCCTCCCCCCACCCACCCCTTCAACTCGAGTTAAAACCCCTCACGAAACCCCACCCCCCCCCCCAACCCAAGTGTGGAGGAGAAGGGGAAGAGGGCGGCGAAGAGAGAGAAAGAAAAGAAACCGACAATAATGGGGAAGAGAGAGAGAGAGAGACCGTACGGTGCAACCTAACCCCACCCCCCAAGTCAGTCAGTCAGTCAGGAGAGGGGGCGGGTCTTCCCTCCGCTCCGCTCCCTGACTGACAGCCGAACCGACCAATGGCGCAGGCCAGCCCGGAGCCCCCGACCAACGGCAGACAAGCAGCTAGCGAGTTAGGTTGCCTCGAGACCCCCCCCCCCGCCCCTCTCTCCACGCCGCGGCCGCCGCCGCACACCCACTTTTTTTCTTCCCTCAACGCCGACAAACGATATAAAAAAATTTTTTTGGGGGGGGTGGGGACGAATCTTTTTTTACACACACATTTCATAACCCCCCCCTCTCTCCCTTTCCTCCTCCTTCCCTTTTTTATTCCCTCACATAATCATCGAGGAGACACCCCCCCCAAAAAAAAATGGTGGACCGGAGAGGAACTGAGGAGGGTTTGGTTGGGGGTTGAGGAGGAGAAGGGGAAGGGAGGGAAGGTTTGAGGTTTCACTGACCCGGGTAACGACCATCCATTTTGCTCGAGCCTCGCAGAGAGAGAGAGAGTGAAGTGAGGCGCGAGCTCGCGCCGGAAGTGCTGCCGCCGCCGCCGCCGCTGCTGCTGTTGGCGCCGCTCCGCTGCCGGAAGCACCGCCCCCCCCGCCCCCGCTGATTGGACCCGCGCGGGTTGCTCCAGGTTCATTGGTGGTTGCCTCTGTCAATCACCGCCGTCCGCACTCCCCCCCCCTCCCCTTTCACTTCCCTTCCCCGCCCATCGGCGGAGCGCGCTGTCAAATCCCCGCCTCCCGCCCTCCCCGTTGATTGGCGGCTCCCGCTGTCAATCACCGCTATCCCGCCCTCCTCCCCGCCCAATTGGCGGCTCCCGCTGTTCAATCACCGCTATCCCGCCCAATTGGCGGCTTCCGCTGTCAATCACCGCTTTCCCGCCTTCCTCCCCGCCCAATTGGCGGCTCCCGCTGTTCAATCACCGCTATCCCGCCCTCCTCCCCCAATTGGCGGCTCCCGCTGTCAATCACCGCTATCCCGCCCTCCTCCCCGTCCAATTGGTGGCTCTCGCTGTCAATCACCGCTGTCCCGCCCTCCTCCCGCCCAATTGGCGGCGAGAGGAAGGTCCTTGAAGGACCACTGGAAGATTGGGACGCAGTGGCTCGGAAAGAACTTTTCTCTTGAGAAAAATTTTCCCCCTCGCACGCGTGGCAGGGCGTCCCGCGTGGCAGAGCAACAGTCACCGTGCGATCGTGGCACTCGCGTTGGATACAGCGCCTCGTTACGCCATTGAGACGTCTCAGAAGCGCTGCAAAGGACACACCGTCATGTAGAGCGAACGGACTGTCTTTGGATTTGCTTTCGCCTAATAATAATCCCAAAAAAAACCAAACGATAATAAATTGGTCATTTTTCAATCAATCCACGACTGTTTGTGGGGCAGACGCCGCTGTGCGCCATCGGCCGCCGCGTTCGCCCACAAATATACAGTCAATTCCACTTTACAGTGTGTTCTGTGAAGCGCTTTGGGACGTCGAGAAGATGTGAAAAGCGCTATATCAAATGCAAGGATTATTATTATTATTATTATGTGGTTTTGGCTGGCCAATACCAACAGTTTAAAAGCTCTTGATTTTTAAGACCAAAACTGATTAAAAGCATAAAAGTATCACAAGTGGGATTATTAACCCTTGCATTTGATAAGGCGCCTTATCATGTCTTCATGTCGTCTCCACATTCTTCACGGAATATACTTTAAAGCGAACTGACTGTATATTTTGTGGGTGAAACGCGGCAGCCAATTGCCCACGGCAGCGTCCCCACAAACAGTCGTGGATTGAGTGACCACATTGTTATTTTTCTGAAGGGATTAAATCAACTCCCACCCCCTCCTTCGGACACCTTCGATTTTGGAATCCTCTTCACAACAAGATAAACGTGTGGTCTACGCAACACCGCGTCAGTCAGATTATAGAAAGAATGTTTATTGCAAAATGTTCCACACACAGTTCAGGAGAGAATACAGTCTACATCATTATTGTGAAAAGCCATTCAGCACGGTACACAGGGAGCACTTACTAGACCATGGAAACTAATGAAACACAAATCAGGTGCGAAACTCTAGCAAAAAAAGTGCAGCAATAACACAAATCTACCAGCAAGTTAAACAAGGAGATACTTTTAAAACTAATATAAGCTTCAGAGAATGATTAAGGGAATATTTCAATCATTTGTCCAGATCTTTTCAGAAGCAGCGGTACTAAATTACTCCAGCTCAGCATCATCAAACGGTTCTCCTTCCTCGTCTCCTCCCTCTTCCAATATTTTTTCGTCGTCGGGTGCGAGCGGCTCATCTTCGGGGTCTTTGCTCTCTTCTGTGGCGTTCCCCTCTGCTTCTCCCAACGTCTCCCCATCTGCGTCCATCTCCTCATCTGGCACGTCGTCTGTCTTCTCAGATTTGTCTGCTATGTCTTCCGCATTATTAACATTTCCTTCACCTTCGGCAGTCTCACCCTCGGGAGTCTGGCCCTCGGCGGCAGTCTCGCCCTCTTTCTTTTCTTCGTCGTTGGTACTTTCGTTCAGATCATCTCTCTCCCCATCACCTTGTCCCTCGGCCTCTCCATCCCCCTCGCCTTCTCCCTCATGAGCAGCGACTGTGTCGTCCTCATCTTTGTCATCTGGGTCGTCAGTAAATGGTTTCTCGCCCTGTGTAGAGTTCAGAAGTACTTGGGTCATGTACAGCTGAGACTTAACGTTAACTTAAAAGGAATAGGATTTGTAAAGAGTAGACCAAGGCCTCTTGGCTTCCTTCAGTAAGAAGGGATACCGTATATTATAATAATCCCTGCATTTGATGTAGCACCTTATCACGTCTTCAAGATGTCTAAAAGCACTTCACAGAATATACTTCAAAGTGAATTGACTATTTTGTGGGCGAAACATGGGAGCCGATTCACACAGCAGTGTCCCACAAACAGCCGTGGATTGAGTGATCAAATTAGTATTAATATTTTTTTGGGGGGAGGGATTATTACCCCTAGAAAGCAATCTGCCAATCAACTAACAACCGGATTTCTACTTACTGCTAGGTGAACAGATGCGCTCACCTAGTAAGGAGTAAGGAGACTTTTGGCTTTGCCCAATGTTTTGGCTTGTCCAGTAAACCCAGATCCTGCCCACTGAACAGTGGAGGACCACAAAGCAGACCAGAGTTGGCAGGAAAGTCAGGGGTTGGGTTGGGGGCACAAGAGCATTTTAAGGCAAGGACGGGGATCTTAAAATCTGATCCTGTTTGGATGAGGCAATAAGGCATGTTATAACCTGGAAACCATTTAGGGGAGGTAATAAACTGATGGCAGGAATCTTGTGACAGGTTAGGGCTGGAGGCCAATAGACCAGAGGCCTCTGTGGTGCATCTAAGCACGAGTGCCCAACCTCCGTCACCCGCACCAATCGAAGGGCACTAGTTACTTACTCCTTATAACTAATCGCCGAGCCCTTTCCGCCACCCTCCTACCCCTACCCTCCCTGCCCTCCCCCACTCCTGATCCCAAATTGTGTCCAAATCCTTGACTGTCCAGCATCTTGGAACGTCTTCCTGACATGAAAGGCGCTGTGTAAATTTAGTTTGTTGTTGTTGTCGGGAGTGACAAGTATTAGGAATTTACTGTACTCTCCTTTCACCTCTGGGAAAAAAGGTTTGCCCACAAAATAGTCAATTCACTTTACAGTATAATCTGTGAAGGATTTTGAGATATCTCAGACGTGATAAAGCGTTATATTAAATTCAAAGATTATTATAATAAGTATTATTATTCATGGCGTGATGCAATCAAAATCTAGCCATGATGGGACCTGCAAAGAGAATTTCTGAAGGGCAACATGTATTTTGGCTATTCAATCTGCAATTATTAGTTACCACAAGACATTACATTTACACAGCACCTTTCACATCGGGAAGACATTCCAAGAAGCTGGACAGTTAGGGATTTGCACCCAAGCTAGGAGTTGGGATCAGGAGGGCTGGACGGGCCAGGAATAGGAGGGTGATCAAAGGCATGGTCGAAGAGGAGAATCTTGAGACGGACTCGCCTTTGGTCACCTTCCTCCCCTCTCCTTGGCTCGACCCCAGGATCCGTTACTGTGAAGTGCTCTGAGACGCCGTCCGGCGCGGAGGGCGCTATATAAATCCGAGTTGTTGTTGTTGAAGAAGGCAAGGGAGGGGGTGAGGCGAAGAGACGTTGTGATGGGAGTTCACAAGGGGGTGGGGGAAGGAGGTGGGCAGAGAGGTTGAAGGACAGACTGCCGATTGTGGGGGCAGGTAGCAGGCTGGAGCTTGCTGAGCAGATGGAGCGGGCGGGAGTCTGTAAGTGATGAATCATGGCTGAGAGAAGGAAATTCAACACTAGCGATGAAGGAAAGGGAGGAAGGAGAAGACGAAAGGGACATCTGGGTTGAAGCATAATTGAGGAAGTGCAGCTTACCTACCTACCTACCGTGCAGCTAACCTATGCTCTAACAAACAAGGAAATGCTCAAAATGGCCACCACTGCATTTTGTTCACCAGCATCAAGTGCTCTAAATTCAAGGCAAACAAAAATTACGCAGACGATTCTTACTAACCTTGATGTACTTCTCCAACATCTCTGTAATGTTGCTGTTGTTCAGGATGCTCTTAGCAACTATCAGGCTTCCCTTTTTGGCTCTCTCAATAGCTGCCTGAAAGGAGAGAAAATGAAGAGTGCTGAAACAACTTTCATTCAATAAGTACATTGGACCTGCTTACTCTTCAACCCACTCGCGCTCGTCCCATGTGTCCTCCGTTGCACCATTGGTGGCCGTGCCTTCAGCCACTACGCCCTGAAACTCTATCAATCTCTCCCTCAATCCCTCCGCCCTACCCCCTCCTTCAAATCCTGCTCAAAGACCTTGCTTTTTGATCTAGCTTACGGTAACCTCCCCCGTCACTCTCTCCCTGGCTCACTGTCAGACTCCACCACCTCCGAGCGCTACAGGACCCACGTGAAGCGCTACATTACACCAGGCGCTGTGTAATGGCAAGTTGTTGTTGTCTATTCTATCACGCTTACTTTGCGATAACGGTTGTGCTCAACTGTCCTCAAGTGCTGCCCGATAAAACCACTCTGCATTGGAATGAACAGATCACAGGCCATACAATGAGCTGCTTCCACCTTTTTCAGGCACTGCTCCATACCAATACCTAGAACAGATGAATAGAAAGTGGGATTAGATTTCCTCCGGGAGTCATAACAGATAAAACTAAATCACTACAACTACCAACAATAACTTACAATTATATATGCCTGTTAAGGGGAGAGAACGTCTAAAACAGCTTTACAAAGACTGAGCTGGAGCCTGAGCAAGAATGTAAGGAGGCGGGTTTTAAATTTTGTTTATGCCCAGCCGTGTCAAGTGCGGAAACCCATCACCATGCTTTAGAGTCTCCAAACCAGACTGAGAATTTCATGCATCCCACCTACACATGGAAATCCCAGAGATAGATTGTTGGAATGGATGCACACACACGCTTCCTGGAGGGGTGAATCCTGCTTACTTATTTCCAGAAATTATTAGGTGCAGGTTGGCAAGAACCAAAGCTTNGGGGGCGAGTCCAGAGTGTGCGCTGGGGTAACTGCAGAAGTCTACCCATCTAAAACCCCACAGCTTGCCATTGATATCATTTTCTAGGAAGCTTTCCCGCCTCTTGTCCAGCGAGGACCACCCTACCCTTAGGGCTTCGGTTTGCAGTGTTAACAGGAGCTGAGTGGGACTGGCCTGTCCTTGTAGGTCCTGGCTGGCTATGCTGTCAACAGGAATTTAAGGCAGAGGGAAGGGTGGATAGAGGGATTTCAGAGGAGAGTTCAACCCCCACCCTCCCCTCGGCTCGGTGTCATGCTCCACCACTATCAAGCGCTCTGAGTGAGGGGCGCTGTGTAAATGCAAGTTGTTCCAATTGAAGGCGGAATTATCTCAATTGAAGGAGGTTCTAACCATTGGCTCGCAGCATTCCCTGGAGCATGTCTTGCTGCTGAAGCAATTGTTTTTTCAGAATCGTTTCATCTCCAATTTGCTCCCGACGCTTCTGAGTTTTCTTGTTCTTGTTTGCAATGTATTCCTGAAACAAGATTAACAAGGCGACTTGATACATCATAATAATCCTTGCACTTGACATAGTATCTTATCACGACTGTGAGATGTGGTGTAGGGGTGAGGGAAGGCGGGGAGGTGGGAGGGAGACCAAAGGCACGGTCAAAGAGAAGGGTGTTGAGACCGGACTTGAAGGAGGCGAGGGAGGAAGCGAGGCTAAGGGACCGTGGGATGAAGTTCCAGAGTGTGGCGGCAGAGAGGCTAAAAGCCCGGCCACCGATGGTAGGACGGGAGACATGGAGCGGGCCGGAGCCCGATGAGGGGCGGGAGCGGGCGGGTTGGTAGTTTTTACCATTGAACAGATTTTGCATACATCATAAACCAAATAAGAGTGGAAAGAGAACAGAAGGCAAAATACCGCAGATGCTGGAAACCTGAAATAAAAACAGAAGTGGCTGGGAACAAACAGCAGGTCAGGCAGCATCTATGGAGAGGAAAATGAGTTAACGTTTCAGCTCGATAACTTTTTCCCGTCAGAACTCTTACGAAAGGTTCTGACGAAAGGTCATCGACCCCTGAAATGTTTACTGACTGACGTCCCTCTCTCCATAGATGCTGACTGACCCACTGCGTGTTCCCAGACACTTCTGTGTTCATTTGAAAGAAAACAGTGTCTACGTACGTCTAAGAAGTCAGCGGTTTGGGGAGTTAGTTTGGTCCCAATGAATTTTAAAGTTTCTTTGTGAAACCTGCTCCTCATGTGGTTAGAGATCTCATCATCCTCAAACGTACGGAATTTACACACGGAGCAGGCGTATGTTATTCTGCGACAAAAAGGAAAAAGGTTTTGTCAAGAAACAATCCGGCAGTGAAATAAGTCAGGCGATTAAACTGAACACAGACAATCTTTGCAGCAAACAAATCAACTCCACGATTGTAAATAATAATCATAATCCTTGCATTTGATATAGCTCCTTATAATGTCTGAGGCATCTCAAAGCCCTTCACAGAATATACTGGAAAGGGAATTGATTGAATATTTTGTGGGCGAAACGCAACAGCCGATTGGGCACAGAAGTGTCCCATAAACAGTTGTGGATTGAGTGGTCAAGTATATATTTTTAAGGGATTATTACTCCCGGAGAAGTGATCCGCTAACCGACTAACAACCGGGTTCCTGCTTACTTTGGTAAACATAGGCATATGGAATAAGGAAATAACTCTTATATAGAGCCCTCAACGCAGAGTAGCATCTCAGAGCGATAACAGTGGCGGAGCTTGACTCTGAGGTGGGGGTAGGGGGGAGATGCCCGTAAGCGCGGTCGAAGAGGAAGATTTTCAGGCGGACTTGAAAAAGGGGTGTAAGGTGGCAAGGGAGGGATTGAGGGAGTATGTTCCAGAGCTTCAGGGTGAGGTGGCTGAAAGCGCGACCTCCGATGGCAGGGCGGAGGTTGCGAGGGACGAGCAGGAGGCCGGTGCCAGTCGAGCTGAGGCACCGGGTGGTGGATTGGGGAGTGAGGAGGTTGGAGAGGTAGGGAGGAGCCAAAGAGTGAAGGGATTTGAACACTGGTGTGAGGATCTTGAAGTCAAACCGTTCGGTGATGGGGAGCCAGTATACAGTACACAGGCACGATGGGTCAAATGGCCTCCACCTGTGCTGTAATATTCTATGATATGTAAAGAGCAGATTGCTGAACCCTGAACACATTACAATAGTATCGCTGCTCGCTACCTCTCCGCAAGTCGGTCTCGAATCTTCTTGAATTTACCGGCCTTCTTCTTCTCTTGCATCGTGGGAACTATTCACATAGTAATGGTCAGGATTAGTTCACAACCATATGCACTCCTCAAGTTATTGCATTTTAAGAAAGGAATAATTGAATGTACTAGTTTAATAATAATTATAGCAATAACAATAAAGCTTACAACGTTTTGGTTTCTTTTCACCCGATTCTTTGTCCTCGCCAGTCTGGGGGTGAAAGCAAAAAGGGAACATTAATTCAAATATTCATAAGGACTTCAATTTGTCTTGAGCACCATATCCCATGTAACAACAAGAACAGTTTTAAAAAGGTTGAGACAGAAAAGTAATAAAACTGTAAAAATCCTTGCATTCTATACAGCGCCTCATCATCTCTTTGAGACGTCTCAAAGCGCTTCACAGAATATATTTGTAAAGTGGAGTGAAAGAGTTTTGTGGGCGAAATGCTGCAGCCAATTGCGCACAGCAGCGTCCCACAAACAGTCATGGATTGACTGATCATATTATTACTTGATTTAATTTATTTTTGTTTTGAAGGGATTATTACCCCCGGAAAGCGATTGTTACCCGCCCCCCCACCCCCACCCCTCCCGGGAGGTCTGCGTCTCTGGCAATCAGCAGGAAATCTATGCATTAATAAGCTCAAGATTTGGTTTCAATGTTGAATTTGGGTATTCCTGCCAACAGTTCACCAATGTCCCAGCCAAAATGTGTCATCCAATTCCGCACAGCTGTGTCCCACAAAAATGGATTGATAGACCAAATCACTATCATCTTTTTTTTAAAAGATATTATTACCCCCAGAAAAGCGATCCACTCATCGGCTTAACAACCGAGTGTCTACTTCCTGCTAGGGAAACAGAGGTTTGTGGACCAATTACACTGTAGCAGCTTTCTGCTGTCTGCCATATATGGTCTAGTTTAATTGAAAATAAATTAAATTCCAGGAGTTGGGTGGGTGGGAAATGTAGAAACTACTTTTAATTGTCTAGTGTTAGTCCACGGGTTTGAAGCTGTGATACTTACAATTCCATCTCCAGATTCAGCCCCATCTTCCTCCTTCTCTTCTATAAGGAAAAATAAAAACAGTAAGCTGAAGTACAAGCAAACCAGGAGCGATTCTACACAGGTGGATTGTCCGTCAGGAGCAATTAATTGTATTACTCTCATCTTAATAAGGATCTTTGCATTTGATTATAGCGCCTTATCGTATTTTGGAGACGTCCCAAAGCGCTTCACGGAATGTACTGTAAAGTGAATTGACTGTATATTTTATGAGCAAAACACGGCAGCCAATTACACACGGCAGTATCCCACAAAGAGTTGTGGATTGAGTGACTAAGTTATTATTTATTTATGATGAGATTATCATCCCTGGAAAAGCGACTAACAACCAGGTTCCTGGGTGAACAGAGGCGTGTGCGTGAAGCAAGGAAACTTGGCCAAAGTTTCGCCCTGCCCACCCGGGAATCGAACCCAGGTGCTCTTGCTTGTGAGGTGAATGCTCTAACCGGCGAGCTACAGGACCCCACAAAGTTGAGTAATAATTCATTGTACAGTACCAGCATCTGAATCTTCACCATCGTCTGTCTTGGCTTGTTTGTTTTCAGGGTCTTCAGTGCTGCTTATCGATTGCTTCCTCTTCATACCCGGACCAGCTGGTACTTTCTTCTCATGCAATGGGGAGGGGGGGGAACCATTAGTGGAGCTTCATAATTCAAATGCATTCTTTCTTAAGAAGCTGCACTGTTAAGGAGTTGCTCCTCTTGGATTGGGTATCTATCTGTCTGAGTACAGCAGCCTACAATAAAACAGTCTTAGCTTGGGAGCTTTTTAGGTTCCATTCATATATAGAGAAGCTATGTACAAAACTTCATGCTATAGGGACTCGATAACGTAGACCATGATAAGCTGTTTTACTTTACGCTGAATAGTAGAACAGAGGACATGGCCTGTGATTGAAGGGGGTAAATTTAGAACAAATCCATGGAGACACTACTTCAGTTTGAGTGAGTAGTAAACTTATGGAACAGGCTCCCTAGGATGACAGACAGTGGAAGCACAAAGTGTTTTGTTTCAAGAGTAAAATAGATAAGATTTTTGCTGGAAAATAATATCTAGGGATAACATGTATAGTCTGGGACACGACATGTCAAGCAACTGCCAGGATGGTGGAGGGCAAACTAGATTGGCCTTGGTCTTATTTCGCCTAGCAAATTCTTACGTTCATGAGAGAACACTTGTCTATGGCTCTTGAAATTAGTACACCCTCTACACTAGACAACAACATGTATCTAGCCATGTAATCTCAGGATTTCAACATGTCAGCCGATTGATCTAGGTCTAGTTTCCACACTACCCTTTCCTATGGGAAAGTTTCCTACGGCGCAAGGGTTTTGGGTGGAAGCAGAGGGGAATGAGGAGCAATAGTCAGACTTCCCATTTCTGATCACTGCTCAGTCACCACTGCTGTACGTGGACATCAGCTAAAAGTAAGGACCAGCAGAATCCCCAAGGCACCCTGCCATTATACAGCGTCTGAGCTCAATCTTAATAATAATACTTGCATTTGATATAGCCCCTTATCACGTCTTCGAGATGTCTCAAAGCGATTCACAGGATATACTGTAAAGTAAATTGACTATATTTTGTGGGCGAAACATGGCAGCCAATTGCACACAGCAGTGTCCCACAAACTGTGGTGGATTGATTGACCAAACTGTCGTTTTTTTTTTAAAAAAAGGGATTATTATCCACGGAAAAGAGCTCCGCCAATAGACCAACAACTGGGTAATATTTACTGCTGGGCAAACAGGGGGGTGTGGGTGGAGTAAGGAAACTTGCCCAAAGTTTTACCCAGCCCGGGAATCAAACCCAGGTCCTCTCGCTTGCGAGGCGAGTGCTCTAACCACTAAGCTACAAGAAGTTGTCAAGGCAAGTCCCCTTGACCACTCCCAGCACAAATAGCATTGGTCAGTACCATCAAGAAAGAGGTCTTATGCCCAGTTTTCCCCTATTACCCTCATTACCTTGACGTACTTCAACATTGGGGTTCTAACCTTTCCCAGGCTAACCTATATTTCTTCCTTCCTCCCGTCACATACTCCTGGACGCGACTGGGCTCCAAAGGTTTGAGATCCCAAGTGAGATTCATCATTCGAGTGGCGCCAAGCTAAGCCAAGCTATTTATATAATAATAAATCTTTGCATTGCATTTGATACAGCGCCTTATCACATCTTCGAGACGTCTTAACGCTTTGGGACGTCTAGAAGATGTGAAAAGCGCTGTGTCAAATGCAAGGATTATTATTATTATTAAAGCGCTTCGCAGAATATACTGTAAAGTGAATGGCTGTACATTTTGTGGGCAAAATACATCCTACAAATCCCTGCAACCCAGGGCACGAACATCAATGACAGGACCCTGGATGAAAATCGATCTCAGCACAGAACAGATCTGTGTCAACAAATGCTACAGTGGCTTTATTCACTTGGGAGCACAAGAGCTACATACGCAAATCAGATTATTTTACCAATGTTACTGTAATCACACGTGGACGTAATCACAAAGACTATCCGTTCCCAAGAGAATACACTAATAATAATATTATAATAGTCACTTTCCTTTCTCCATAGATGCTGCCTGACCTGCTGAGTGTTCCCAGCGACTTCCGTTTATAATAATCCTTGCATTTGATATAGCACCTCATTATGTTGAGACACCTCAAAGCACTTCACAGGATACATTGTAAACTGTAGTGACTGTATATTTTGTGAGCGAAACCCAGCAGTCAATTGCAGACAACATTGTCCCACAAACAGTCGTGGATCGAGTGACCAATTTTTTTAGGGGGGGGGGGATTATGTCCCCCCAGAAAGCGATCGGCCAATCGACTAACAATCTCGCTCCTACTTACTCTTATTATCTACAAATAAAACTACTTGTGTAGTTTTGCTACTGTCAACCCACTACCCGCTGCCTCCGCTCCACTGGCTCCGGCCTCCTGCACTTTGTTCCACCAATGGTGGCCACGCTTGCAGCCATTACTCCCTGAAATTTTGGAACACTCTTCCTCCTTCCCCATCTTCAGGTCGCACCTGAAGACTTTCCTCTTCCACTGTGCCTACGGTCACCACCCACTTCCCCCCTGGCTTAGTGCCTTGCTCCACCACTGGGGCACTACCCTGCGTGAAGGGCGCTATATAAATGCAAGTCGTTGTTGTTATGCATCCAGTTCTCAAAACTCAAAAATGTCATCTGGTGAAACCAGTCGTATTAAAATCGAAGATCACAATAAGAAGTGTAAATTCAGGATGTATGACTGTAGTCCTGTGAAAAGCCATTTACCCAAGCAATTTACAAAATTACAGTTTAGACAACAAGCTCAATCACAATACCATACTGCATTATTAATTCACCATAAAAGTCCACATACAGCTCAGTACAAAGATACATGTGAGGCATTGTTAGCCAGTCAGTTAGTGTACAAAAGTAGTGTTTTACATCGCATTGTAAAACTGGTTACAGGACGGGCCATGCTAGGGAAAGAGAGGGCATCCTAATAATAATCCTTGCATTTCGATGTAGCGCCTCCTCATCGCGTCTTCGAGGCGTCTCAAAGCAATTCGCAGAATATACTGTAAAGTGAATCGTCTTATTTTCTGGGCGAAACTCGGCATTCCAATTGCGCACAGCAGTGTCCCACAAACCATCGTGGATTGAGCGACCAAATTATTCATTTAAAATATTATTAATTATTTGAAGGGATTATTACCCCCAGAAAGCGATCCGCAATCGACTAACAACCGGGTGCCTACTTACTGCTGGGTAAACAGAGGCGTATGGAGTAAGGAAACTTGCCCAAGGTTTCGCCCTGACCGGGAATCAAACCCAGGTCCTCTCGCTTGCGAGGCGAGCACTCTAACCAATATGTTACAGGACAGTGGTGTTCAGACAAATTACATCGCATCACAAAACCCGTGACCCGACGGATCCCGTAAGGAATCTAACGTTGCAGGCTAGGGAAGGAGAGGGCGACTTAACAATGATTGTTGATCCTGCAATGCTTGCAATACCGAAGTGAAATCAAGACTTTGAAAATTGTGAGCTTGCTTTTTTTCGGTCGTGTACAAAGAAAGATCAAGAGTTAGTTCCTCTAGAGAAGACAAACGCACCTCAATTTCTGTCGGACAACAATAAGTGATTAGCACACAGCCAGTACTACAACATTGGAGCGCCGCAAAGACATACGAAATGACCTCTGAAGAACAAATTTCGTAAAACACCTGGTAAACCGGACAGTTGATTGGCATATATAAATATATATAAAAAAAAGACACATTGATGGTCTCAAAAAAAGTATTTTAGAAATTAAAAAAAAATTGATTCCCGCTACAAGTGTTCTGCTATTTTTTTGTTTTGCTTTGCTGAATGACACCCTCTCGCTGTTTTAAAATCTAATCGGTTACCAAACAAAAAAAACAAGTATTAAAAAAGAAAGGTACTTACGCCTTTGTTTCGGTTTTTGTCTTTCTTTCGCTGTCTGCCACCTCCTAACGATCTTCCCGAGCCCTGAACTCTGAACAGGTCCATGGGAATAATGTTGGGGGAGAAGAGCGAAGGGAGGTTCCTGGCGGAGGCGACGTTGGGGCCTCGGCCTCCCATTGACAGCTCATTCCAGTGTGCAGACATTCGCCTGGAACTCGCATGCTGCACGTAAGGGTCGTTCCAGTTTGGTCTCTTATGTGGAGCCCAGTCTCTGGACCAGTTCTGACCCCGCTGGTTACCGTACGGTCGATTCTGGAACTGGTCTTTGCGGCTCCCATAGGAGGAGTTGTCGTAGTGGTCATACCGACCTCCATAGGAATCACTATAATTAGGTCCATATTCACTGTAACCGTAGCCAGATCTGTACAGATCCTGGTCATTCAGTGAAGACCTGGAGTCGTAGGACTCATAAGGTGTAAACCTGAAAAGAGTTTGCACAGCAAGTAAGGAATGTGGTCAGTAGATGGATAGTACCGTGGGTACAAGGTCTGCCAGCAAAGTGACAGCAGACTTAAAAAAAACCTAACTTTTAACTGCCGTCTGCTTTTTTTTAAAAAATATATAAATAAATTCTATCTGTAAAATAACTCGACATGTTGCACTATAATAAACTGCTGAATACAACAGCAGGAAGCGTTCACTATAAACAATATTCACAGGGGGAAAATAATAATAACCAGAGTTAAGTAAGTTAGTTCAAAATTCCAAATTGGTTAATATTCAACCTCTCACTTCAGAATGGAACGAGATAATTCTTTGGCAAAATGGTCAAAAATCAACCTTTTCTGTAACTAATCATAGTCAAGCTTGCTATACTTCCCCCACCTCAATCTTACTGGATAAGCAGGTTGTGTAGTTAACAAGATATAAATGGGGACTTTTACAACCATGCTTCCTCCATCCCTGCTTCCGCAACTTTCAAATATCCTCATTTATAGACAATATAAATCAACCAAATCTAGATTTCAGCTTTCATTCTCTCCTGGAACAAATAAATCAAACATAAATATTGTACCCTGGTAACTCTAATGCCTGATACAAAATATGGGGTATATCATCCAGGCTCATGTTAGATTGCACAAGGTTGCTGAAAGGGTTAGCCTCTGATTTAAGTTAATTGCACATTGTAATATTAAAACCGCTTTTTAACTGAATACAAGTTAAATCTGCTGGTGATAAATTTTGAGTTTAAGAATGAAGGAATGCGACCGTGTTTACTATTTAGGCAGGGAAGCAAACTGGAGTGAGGGGAAGATAATAATAATCCTTGCATTTGCATTTGATATAGCACCTTATCACGTCATTGAGAGTGCCCACTTAAAGATGTGATAAGGTGCTATATCAAATACAAGGATTATTACTATACATCGCAGAGGTGTCAACCAGCTGTTTCGAGCCTTCATTTTTTAAATAAAGAATCACCCTTCTTGAACTTATTCAAATGGATCTTACACACATGGTTTCTGAACTTTCTAAGTGATTGCAAATAATTTAGTTACTAGAAATACCATGAGCTAGATAGACCCGGAATTGTATTTTAATAGCAAGCCACCCATAAAACAAACCAAACTCCAGTACAAAACAAGGAACAATATGCAATGATTTAAATTTGATCTACTTCCTTCCCAACCCCCTTTCCAGCTGAAGAACAGCACAGGTGACAAGTTGGCGGTTTGATAGTTCGCTATTGCAACCTACATGCGATTAGGAGCTCATTGTGGAAGAACAGCACAAGCACAAACCCATGTATGTCCTACCACACTCTATCTAGCACATTGGAGCTCCAACGGACTGTTACATCAAAGGCAATCATGAAGATCAAAGGAAATATTTGAGCGAGAGAGAGAACAGGTTTAATTTCAATCTCTAGGTTCTGATTGAGCCAATACAGGTAGCAAATGACCAGTGCTTTCCTATTGAGTAGATAGATTCCCCATCACTCATACTACTAATAATACCTCTTAATACTAGAATAAGTAGAACGATTTTCCTATTCAAATTTGTCTATATAGCTCCAATAAATGGGTCCCCACATTCATAATTCCCTTCAAAATAAGTCAAACAATCTGAAATAAGGTCATTTGGTCCCTGTCTGACTGGGAATAAAAATTTTGTCGTTCTACCCAACCACCTTGTATCAACACAATTTCAGTCAAGAGTCTAATAGAAGAGTGGGAAATGGTTCAAGAATGGCCTGAAACCTCTAGAAACAGCTGCCGTTATCTCAAGGTTAAACCAGTACTCAAGTTTCAATCTCCCAACGCAAAACCTACACAAATTGATCAAGCAATCTTCCATCTTAGTATTCAGCTTCATCAGTTCTTTCCTTTCACCCCTGCCTGGACACATTCAGCTAATATTTGACAACACCCGAACTGAAATCACAGCTACAGGAACACAATATGTCATTACTGAATAGGCTCTTTCTAAAAGAAAATCTACCTGTTGTATTGGCCTGAATATTGGCCCGAATAGCGTCCTTGTGTGGTATCGTCTTCAAACTGGGAGAGCATGTCCAGGCGTTGGTTGATTTTAGCGACAATGGTGTCGGTGTTGGGATTCTTGGGTGGATCCCAGGTTTTGTTGCCAGAGTTATAACCATAATTGGTTGCCGAGCTGGATATATTATCTTGAGTGTAACTGTAATCATAGCCATCATATCCTAAAAAGAAGAAAGCACACAAAGGTTCACAAGGAATCGAGGTACTGAACACCCTTTGCTGAACACAGCGTATCGTTTATCCAGTTTCTATAAACCTTCATTTATATGAATGAACATTTATATCAGAAGTGAAGTCACTGTTGAAACATACTCCCTTTACCAGTCCACCTCTCACTTTTATTATAAATCATTCCGCCTTCCCCCTGCTAAGCATCTCTTTCTCTCTACAGTATTCAAAAGGTTAACTCTTACCTTTGTGCTCCTAGTAAAAAAAAAGGTGCTCGTGAGTTTACAGAACTACATGGGCAAACCGTAGCCCTAAAAACCTTGAGCTCATCTTCACACGAGTCCAACATGCATCCATTTAGCCATAGCAGCCAAATGTGAACAAGTGGACACGTATATGACTGGTGTGCAGATCAGTTGCATTCCACTAGTAAAAATCAATTTAAAAATTTTTCCTGCAGTAATGGATTTTGTGTATGATTTCAAATCTAATTGTACATTTAAAAGAAAAATTCCTCCCAACAAAACACGCAGCTTCAATTTGTAGGTCTATTTATAACCCGGCCTAAGATTCACCTAATAGGGTTCAGAATTTTTAAAATATGTTTATTAACTTAGATTGAGTCATGCAATGATGCTGCAATGGTAAATTGCCTGCAATATCTTATGCAATGATAATGCAATGTATTCCAAATCATGCACAAAGCTTGTCAGACAAGCGATATCAGTTTTAGCTGATTACAATACCTGCAGTTACCCCAACTCACAATCTGGGGCCCCGCCAAATCTTGGCTGTTGCCAACCTGCAACTTTCCGGAATTGGGTAAGCAGTATGCGTCCCTTCAAAGAGAGAGAGCGCGCACTCCGTTCCAACAATCTATCGCTGGGATTTCCATGTGTGTGGGTGGGAATGCATGGAATTCTCACGCTCTTGACTACGGTGATGGGTTTCCGCATGTGTCAAGACATCCAACCGGCCGGCCCAAAAACCTTTGCGTTGCAAAATTAGATTTTCCTTCACGAAGGTGATAACTGGGCCCGTGACATTCTCAGTTTGCACCCGAGGACAGATGGATCGGACTTGCTCACCAGTTGTACCACAGCAATGTGAGCGTGAATTCTCAATGGGAAGAAAATTCCTCCCAAACTCAAAATCAATTGAATCTTGCAAAAACAATAAATGCCTCATCGATATTTTGATTGACAGCATAAACCACATCATTAAAATGATAAACGCACGGACAGTAGGAAACAAATGTTGCCTCTAGTTTCACCCCTCTTCCCCCCACCTCATTGAAATTTTGAAGGAAGAGAGGAAATGTATTAAAGATGCATCTATCAAATTCTAAAGGCAGTGCACATCAGGCAAGGCTGGAATATTTGTACATAGAAAAAAAACCTAAGGAAATCAGTCTCTCCAGTCCATCTCTCCGAATCAACACCTTCACCTAATAGATACCAAAACGCCTCTTCAATGTGCTGACAGAACCCACTCCAAGTGTACATTGCATTGCTAAATCCAAAATTCCTTCCCCTGAGCTCGAAGCCGTTTATTAACCCATGAGGGTTCAACTGATCAAGAGATTTTAATAATAATTATTATTATCATCATCATAATACACTTTAGCATCTCAGAACACTTTAATAAGATCTCCCCCAAGCCCCAAGATTTTTCCTCTTTAGTGTGAACATTCCCAGTGCCTGTGCACTTACAAACTCATTTTATATTCTCAAGGATTATTCTCCATCCCCAATCGAGTCACTCCGCTTTATACTTTTGGACAACTGTTTTTAAGATAGTTATCTACTGCTTTTGGACAATTATATATAATATATATATCTATATCACAACACCAACTTGGATTTTTATAGCTCCCTCACGCAGGGTAGGGTCCCAGAGCGGTTGACAGTGGCGGAGCACAACGTCTTCTCCTGTTTTTATGTTCCTAGGAACAGGAGTATGCAATTCAGCCCCCCCGAGCTTGTTCCGCCATTCTGTAAGATCATGGCTGATCCGTACATCAACTCCAATTACCCGCCCTTACCCCATATCCCTCGATACCCTGAACTAACAAATATCTATCCACCTCAGTCTTGAAAATTTGAATGGATCCAGCATCAGTCTTTCGGAATTTGATTTTTGGTTTCCCGGATTCTGTCCCAGGATTCCTCCCTTTTGTCTCATCAATTAATTTAATTGACAAGCAAATAATCACTCACCTTGAGTATCTACTGTTTCCGTATTCCAAGAATCATCCTCTCCATAATCTGAGAAAAGACACAACAATCGCAGTTACGATATCTGTATTCCAGCTGTGGTGAAGTCACAAATTCACCACAAGTTTTTCTCTCATTTCTGGTTTAATAATAATTATTGCATTTGATATGTGCCTGATCACGTCATTGAGACATCTCAAAGCAGTTCACAGAATATATTGCAAAGTGAATTGACTGTAAAGTTTGTGGTTGAAATGCGCACAGCAGTGTCCCACAAACAGTTATGAAATGAGTAACCAATTATATATATATTAATACACATGCTTAACTCGCCACTTCTGATAAGTTGACACTGAATCCAAAAAGGAAGCATCATGAAGAGTATCAATCATACCACTTATACCAACAGGATTCAAGTCATTCCATCACACACTTCACAAATCATTTCTTTTAAAGGCACTTGCGTGAAAGAAATTACATCATTAATTGTAGCACAATCAACAACAACAAATTACATTTATATAGCGCCTTTCACGTCGGGAGGACGCCCCAAAGCGCTGGACAGACGAGTTACGGACTGAGCTGGGGGTTGGGGTGGGGGAGGGTAGAGGATAGTGGGGGGGGGGGAAAGCAGGGAGATCAAGAGCACAATCGAAGAAAGTCTTGAGGTGGGTCTTGAAGGTGGCGAGAGAGGGGATGAGATGGAGGAACTGCGGGATGGAGTTCCAGAGGGTGGGCGCAGAGTGGCGGAAGGCCCTCCCGCCGATAAGCAAGCCAGAGCCCACTGAGTGGAGGGAGCGAACAGGATAGTAGAGTGTTAGGAGGTTGGAGAGGTAGGGAGGAGCAAGACCAAGGAAGGCTTTGAAGGTGAGGACCAGGATCTTGAACTGTATCCTCTGTTTGATGGGAAGCCAGTGGAGTCGGGCGAGGATGGGAGTGATAGATAGGGTCACGGAGCCTAGTGAGGGAGAGGACACGGGCTGCAGAGTTGTGGATGATCTGCAGCCTATGGAGGGAGAGGTTGGGGAGGCCGACAAAAGTGAGTCTGCATAGTCGAGCCTCAATGTAATGAAGGCATGTATGAGGATTTTGGGGGCCTGCGGTGTCAGACAGTGTCGGAGCTGAGCAACAGTGTGGAGGTGGGGGAAGGCAGAGCGGGTCATGGCGAGAATGTGGGGTAGAAAGGATAGTTGAGGATCGAACAAGACCCCAAGGTTCCGGACTGGCTTAGCAAGGTTGAGTGTGCAACCATGGATGGTGATACCGTCAGGGCCTGAGGTGAGGAAAGTTAGCTCTCATCTAGGACTTGATGTCTGACAGACATTCTGTCAGCACAGCAACAACAACAACAACAACAAGATTCCATTTATAGAGCGCCTTTCACGTCAGGAGGACGTCCCAAGGCGCTGCACAGCAGTGGTCCGACTCAAGAGTGGAGGCAGAGAGGTACAGTTGGGTGTCATCCGCATACATGTGGAAGTTGACCTCATGTCTGTGGATGATGTCACCAAAGGGGAGCATATAGATGTTGAAGAGGAGGGGACCAAGCACAGAGCCCTGAGGAACGCCACACGAGACGGACGGGGGCTAGAGGAGAAGCCATTAGAGGAGATGAAGTGCAGACGGTGTGAGAGGTACAAGCTGAACCAATCAAGGACAGTGCCGTGGAGGTTGAGGTGAGAGTAGAGGCAGTGGTTGAGGATAGAGTGGTCGAAGGTGTCGAAAGCAGCAGAGAGAGGTCAAGGAGGCAGAGGGAGCCCTGGTCGCCGGTGGACAGAGTGTCATTTGTCCCTTTGACCAGGGCGCTTTCTGTGCTGTGGGCGGCACGGAAGCCCGATTGGAGAAAGACCTTTCTTTTCGAACGCGCCTTTGGTCACTTCTTCCTACTTACTGCTAGGTAAACAGAGGCGTGTGGAGTAAGACCTAAGGTGTCGCTCAGCCCAGGAAACAAACCCGGGTCCTCGCGCCTGCGAGGCGAGTGTTCTCGCCACTAAGCTACACGACTTCGAGTGGTGAATTGACTGTATATTTTGTGCGAGAAAGATGACAAAACTCATGGAGTCAGCCAACACTCACTACCTGGACTCGCACATGAACAAAAATGCCTGTGCAACTATACACAGCCCCAACAGGGGTCAACAACAGCTTGCATTTATATAGCGCCCTTCACGCAGTGTTGTGTCCCAGAGCGCTTGACAGGGCGGAGTCCGACAGTGAGCCCAGAGGAGAGGGAGGCGACGACATAAAAATTATGTTTCTCAAAACATCATATTAATCAAAACTCGGAAACAATGCGCTGCATTTGACCTCAGATGGCATGCAACAAACCGCAAACGAATAAAATACTTTGCCTCGGTGTGACGGCGCAACAACCATTATTTCCTTCGGCTAAGTCGCTCGCTCCCAATTAACCAAATTCTTAACAACTCTTACAATCTTTCAAGGCTGGGTGCAGTCGCAATTACTGATTAGGGGAACTAAGCGGTTAGTTTAGGCTATACTACTAATAATAATCCTTGCATTTGATAGCACCTTATCAGAACGTTGAGATGTCCCAAAGTACTCCGCAGGGTATACTGTAAAGTGGAGTGACTGTACATCTTGTGGGCGAAACGCAGCAGCCAGTTTGCGCTCAGCAGTGTCCCACAAACAGCCGTGGAGTGAGTAACCAATTTACTTGGGGTATTGTTGGCCAGGACAACAGGGAGAGGAACTCCCTTCGCTTTTCAAATTGGGGATCTTTAAAATCTGCCTGGACAGGCAGGCAGGACCTCGGTTTAACATCTCACCCGAAGGACTGCAACTCCCACGATGCAACCACCAGCTCTGCACCGAAGCATCATCTTAAGACTATGTGATTCCAAGTCCCGATGTGGGGCTTGAACCCACAACCTAATACGTGTTCCACCACTTTGGGGATAAGAACACCAAGTCACCCGTAGCGTCTGCGTTTAACGCAATCCTAATACTCTTCTTAAAATAGCCCCAATAGTTCCATCTTTTGAGCAGTTAATCGCCTACAGCAAGCAGTAATACATTTGCACTCCTTTACACCAGGACAACGGAAGTCACATATATTGGACTTTATTCCAATGGACAGGAAACGGGAAGGATAACACTTATGTCGACATGTTGAGCATTTGTATTTCATTGACATAGGGGGTCACAACTGGCCAAGATATCTGGGAGTAAAATTTCTGTACCGTGTGTTTACATGCAGCGCCTGCCTTATCACATCTTAGAGATATGGGATGCCCTACTAAAAATCGTGCCGGAAGCAGGATCCACAAGAGTTAAAAGGGGAGTGGGCAAATATTTAATCATAATAATAATAATCCTTGCATTTGATAAGGTGCCAATTGTGTACAGCAGTATTCCTTAAAAAGTCATGAATTTGGGTGTCATCCGCATACATGCGGTGATCAATGTACTGCATTTTATTATTTTTTTGGAGGGATTATTACCCCTGGAAAGTGATCCTCCAATTGACTAATAACCAGGTTCATTCTTACTGCTCGGTAAACAGAGGCCTAACCCTAAGGAAACTTGTCTTAAGATTTCATCCTGGCCGGGAATCCAACCTGTAAGCTCTTGCTTGCGAGGCAAGTGCACTAACCACTCACTCCGTTGAGTCCTGTAGCTCGGTGGTTAGAGCACTCGCTTTGCAAGCGAGACACCTGGGTTCAATTCCAGGCAGAGGGCGAAACCTTGGGCAAGTTTCCTTACTCCACACAGAGCCTCATAATAATCCCTCCAAAAAGAAACAATAATAGATTGGTCATTTCCAATCCACGACTGTTTGTGGGACACCGCTGTGCGCAATTGGCTGCTGTGTTTCCCCCACAATTATATGGTCAATTCACTTTACAGTCTAATCTGTGAAGCGCTTTGAGACGTTGAGAAGACATGAAAAGCGCTATATCAAAACGCAACGATTAAAATGCAAGGATTAGAAGACTCCACAATAAAGGCAGGTTGTCGACGTAAGTTGAGATAAATGGCTAGGACTGCGCAAAGGTAACATTAGGCTAAAATTCAATGTCGAGAGACTGCAATTTCAATGTAACATCTTCTAATGCATTTGCAGTGGAACCTCAATTAGACACCTGAATTAACTTTGTAAATCGGCATTTGTGAAACCGGATTTAAAAATTTAAGTGAAAATTATTTTGTTCACTGGTAAGACAACTTAAATACATATAGTTTCAATGCTTACTTCCAAGTGTTCCCTGGCTCTCCACTCTCTAGCTCAGTCCATGTTTGTTCATTTAATGCTGGCTCCCCAGTTCTCTATTCAACTCTGCCCAAGTCCAGGTTCACTGCTTTAATGGTTCCATCCGAAGGCTGAATTACCATGTCCAGGTCTAGGCTGATATTTCACCCAAACTTTGCCCCTTTATCTGCGGACTGCAGAGGCAAAGATTGGTTTTAAAATCTATTGACTTGGAAATTCTGAATTGTCCACCAATTTTCATTATGCACAAGTGGAATTCCTCCATTATAGTGGTTAATCCACTATACAAACTGTATGATTCTGTCACCAATACACGATTCAGATCTCTGGAACGCAGTTGCCATGCTCTGATCTAAACATGCAATGAATATTGATAACAAAAATATTCAGAGAGCACAAGTGAAATTAATAGCAAGTAATTTAGTTTTCTCCCTAGCTTATTAAGCAAGTGCACTCACTGCTTGTTTAATTATTCAGTCAAGACTAGAAAGGCCTTTGGATTAAATCAGATTTTGCCAACTGCAGAACTATAGGATTCCTAACTGCAGAACTATTGGGATTCCTGCCATTCCTGGACTTTTGAGTCCTAGGAAAGAAAATAAAACAGGCAAAATTGTCAATTGTTATACTGCTAATTTAGCTGGAAATGCAACTGTTACTATCATTCGACAGCTGTGGTGTCATGGCTGTCACATTTGCCTATAAATACACTCACTCCATTTCACAGTAAATCCTGTGAAGCACTTCGAAAAGTCCTTCTGAGATGATAAGACGCTATACCAAATGCAAGAATTATTATTACAAAAACTGAACTTCAAAACTAGCAAATACACGGAGCCCTTCGATTATATTTCATCCCATTTACACGTCACATCAAGTGCAAGTTTGTTTTATACAGAAAAAGACACTGCTGAAGAGGAAAACTGAAGATACGATTAGGGATTTAACCCTCTTTATAAACATAAAGCAGCTAATTAGGATTTGAAGCAAATAAGCTTTCTTAGCATTGTGGCAAATTGCTCAGTGGGTGTTAAACCCATCACATAAGAAGGATTGAGACATATAAAACAGGAAGCCATGACATAACTGTGGAGTAGATCGGCTGGCTCAGCCGTGAGTGATGCCCTCTCTTCTCCTGCCAAACAGCCTAGGCTCGCAGAGGGCAACCGAGAGCGAGTGGAGGCTTGGGGTGAGCGTTAGACCAGCTAGCGTAGTACAGCGCTGACCCATAGCAATAGTGGTTAGCGCGCTCACCTCGCAGGAGAGGATCCGGGTTCAATTCCTGCTCGGGGCAAAGCCTTAGGAAAGTTTCCTTGCTCTCGTCACCTGTTGGCTTAGCAGCAAGTGGGAACCCAGTTGCTACTCAATCAGCAACGCTGCACAGCGTATTCTGTGAAGCCCTTTGAGGCGTCTCGAAGACGACAAGGCGCTACGTCAAACGCGGGGATTATTATTCACCCACTGAGCAATAAGGAATTTTGTCACAATGCTAAGAAAGCTTATTTGCTTCAAATCCTGATCAGCTGCTTTATGTTTATAAAGGGGGTTAAATCCCTAATCGTATCTTCAGTTTTCCTCTTCAGCGTGGAGTCCTGTAGCTCAGTGGTTGAGCACTCGCTTTTGCAAGCGAGAAACCCGAGTTCAATTCCAGGCAGAGGGCGAAACCTCGGGCAAGTTTCCTTCCTCCACACAGAGCCTAATAATAATCCCTCCCAAACCAAAAACAATAATAAATTGGTCATTTTCAATCTACGACTGTTTGTGGGACATTGCTGTGCGCCATCGGCTGCCGCGTCCGCCCACAGATATACAGTCAATTCACTTTACAGTGTGTTCTGTGAAGCGCTTCGGGACGTCCTCCTGACGTGAAAAGCGCTCTATCAAATGCGAGGATTACTATTATCATCACCGACATCATCACCATCGCTCGATACCCTCCAACAACGACGACGACACCGCATTTGCACAGCGCCCTTTGACCTCGGGGAGGAGGGGGGGGGGGGCGGCCCCAAGGCACTCGGGGTGGTGGTGGGGGAGGGGGGGGGGGGGTGGGGCGCCAAACAAACAAACAAACAAACGCCGACCCCTCCTCGGTCTTATTCCGCGAAGTGCCTCGAGACCTCCCGGAGGCGCGACGAGCGCGAGGTTACCGTCGCCGCGGCGCGCGAAAAAAAAAAACCTTTGAACCCTGCGAAGGAGGGAGAGAGGGGGGGGGGGTGAAGGGTGAAGGGTCACACACACACACACACACACCACATCGTTTTGACGCGCGTGCGCGACCCCGGGGGCCCCCCCCCCCGCTCCGGCCGCCATTTTGTGGCGTCTGACGGCAGCTCTCGACACCGCCGCCATTGCTTCCTTCCCTCTCTCTCTCTCGCTCTCTCTCTCACAGACGCACACACGCACTCGCTCTATCTTTGCCCCGCGATAACCCCCACCCCACCCCGCCCGCCCGCCCGGTAAAACCCTCCCTTCCTCGTCGCGGCCTCATCGAAGGGAGGGAGGGGGGGGGAAGAAGAAGCGTCCGCTTTGGCGCCTAAACGCACGCACTCACTCACTCGCTCGCGCGCGCGCACCGCCACCTGTCGCCCGCAATACCCCCCCCCCCCCACCGTTTTTTTTAAAATATCAAAAATTTATTAAACAATATTAATAATCGTTAGTGATAATATTAAAAAAAATAACACCGATCGAAGAAAAAAAAACGGGGCCGTCGCAACACACCGACCGACCGACCGACCCGCGGGAGGGAGGGAGGGAGGGGGCCGCCGCCTCCCCTCCTCGCCATTCTCCCGCGAGCACTCGCCCCCCCCCCTCTCTCTCTCTCTCCCCCCCCCCACCCTCAACCCACAAAATAATAATAATCCGACAATTGACCAACCCCTCAGGGGGGTGGGGTGGATGGTGTTGAGGGTGGGGGGGGGGTGGATGGTGTTGAGGGTGGGGGGGGGTGGATGGTGTTGAGGGTGGGGGGGTGGATGGTGTTGAGGGTGGGTGGGGGTGGATGGTGTTGAGGGTGGGGGGGTGGATGGTGTTGAGGGTGGGGGGTGGATGGTGTTGAGGGTGGGGGGGTGGATGGTGTTGAGGGTGGGGGGGTGGATGGTGTTGAGGGTGGGGGGTGGATGGTGTTGAGGGTGGGGGGTGTTGAGGGTGGGGGGGTGGATGGTGTTGAGGGTGGGGGGGTGGATGGTGTTGAGGGTGGGGGGTGGATGGTGTTGAGGGTGGGGGGGGTGGATGGTGTTGAGGGTGGGGTGGGTGGTGTTGTTGTGGGGGGGGGTGTTCAACATTATTTTTAAACCCAGAGCTTTTCAATTTTTTTTAGATCGATAGGGTTACCACTCCCCCCCCCCAATTTTGGCTCGTCTAACCCTAAATAAATACATACACCTTTATTTAGGATTTAGATTAGATAACACGATAACGTGTGGAAAAGAAAATGAGTCTGTCAGAGGGAGAGAGAGAGGGAGGGGAAGGGAGGGGGGAGAGAGGGAGAGGGGGAGAGGGGGGGAAGGGAGGGAGAGGGGGGGAGAGAGGGTGAGGGGGGAAGGGAGGGGAGAGAGAGGGGAGGGGGAGGGGGAAGGGAGGGGGGAGAGAGAGGGGGAGGGGAGGGGGGGAAGGGAGGGGGGAGAGAGAGGGGGAGGGGGAGGGGGGGAAGAGAGAGAGGGGGGGAAGGGGAGAGAGAGGGAGGGGGGGAGAGAGGGAGGGCGGGTAAGGGAGGGCGGGTGAGGGGGGAGAGGGAGGGCGGGTAAGGGAGGGGGAGAGGGCGGGCGGGTAAGGGAGGGGGAGAGGGCGGGTAAGGGAGGGCGGGTAAGGAGGGGGAGAGGGCGGGTAAGGGAGGGGGAGAGGGCGGGTAAGGGAGGGGAGAGGGCGGGTAAGGGAGGGGGAGAGGGCGGGTAAGGGAGGGGGAGAGGGCGGGTAAGGGAGGGGGAGAGGGCGGGTAAGGGAGGGGGAGAGGGCGGGTAAGGAGGGGGAGAGGGCGGGTAAGGGAGGGAGAGAGGGCGGGTAAGGAGGGGGAGAGAGAGAGGCGGGTAAGGGAGAGGGGGAGAGAGAGGGCGGGTAAGGGAGGGGGGGAGAGAGAGGGCGGGTAAGGGAGGGGGAGAGAGAGAGGGAGGTAAGGGAGGGGGGAGAGAGAGAGGGAGGGTAAGGGAGGGGGAGAGAGAGAGGGAGGGTAAGGGAGGGGGAGAGAGAGGAGGAAACCATTTTGACCGGTTTTAAAATTATTGCCATCACATAGACCAGAGATTTGCATTTTTTTTAATATTTTTTTTTTGGGGGGGGGGGTTAAAAAACATCCCGTTTGCGAACCCCGAAAATCGCCCAACGTCGGGTCGGTCCTCCCAATAGGCTATTTTTTTTTGGGGGGGGGAGAGGGGGGAAAGAGTTAGATAAAAAGACATAAAAAAAAGAAAGGGATCTTCCAAAATGTCTTCGGAGGGGGGGAGGGAGAGGAGGTGAGAGAGAGGGAGGGAAGGAGGGAGAGAGAGGGAGAGAGAGGGAGGGAGGGAGAGAGAGGGAGGGAAGGAGGGAGAGGGAGGGAAGGAGAGAGAGGGAGGGAAGGAGGGAGAGAGAGGGAGGGAGGGAGGGAGAGAGAGGGAGGGAGGGAAGGAGGGAGAGGGGAGAGAGAGGGAGGGAAGGAGAGAGAGGGAGGGAGGGAGGGAGGGAGGGAGAGAGAGGGGGAGGTTCGGGAAGGAACCATTTTGACCGGTTCACAAATCGGAACAAATTAAAACGATCGTTTTCGAAACGACGGATTGATAACGTGGGAGTAAATAATTTGGAAATCGGGGCCACATTGGGGGCCCGAACAGACGGGGGCACAATGGGGGGGGAATAATTTTAAGGGAGAGGTTCTCCCTCCCCTTCCCTCCCTCCCCTTCCTTTCTTTCTTTCCTCACCCTCTTCCCTCCCCCTCCCTCCTTCCTCCTCTCTCTCTCTCTCTCTCCGTCCGTCGACGTTTTTTTTCACACACAAACTCGTCGTTCAAAAAAACACTCGAATCCCTTCGAGTTATCTTTTAAACCGCTCTCTCTCTCTCGTATACGCGCACCCGTTACTACTACAGCTTGTGATTCTTTTCCCTCTCGGCGAAGAGAGAGAGTGACACCACCACCACCGCCGCCGCGGACAGACAGACGGACTGACTGACCTCCGTAACCGCCATCGCCACCGTCCATTCTGCTCGCGACTCTCGGCAAGAAGCGGCCGGCCGCCTCCGTGACGTCACAGGCGGGTGGCGGCGGGGGAGAGGCGGGGCGACGACATGTGACACCCGCGCCCTGACGTTCGCGCGCGCGCGCGCGCAACGTCAGCACGTGGACCGGCCGGCGCGCGGAACTCGCTCACGTGGGCGCGGCGTCACAGGCCGTCCTGGCCCCGGCGAGTGGGGCGACGGCATGTGACGTTCGCGCCCTGACGTTCGCGCGCGCGCAACGTCAGCACGTGGACCGGCCGGCGCGCGGAACTCGCTCACGTGGGCGCGACGTCACAGGCCGTCCTGGCCCCGGCGAGTGGGGCGACGGCATGTGACGTTCGCGCGCGTGCAACGTCAGCACGTCGACCGGCCAGCGCGCGTAACTCGCTCACGTGGGCTCCAAAGCAGGACTTGGGAGGGCAGACCAGTCACTGGGGTCTGGGGTGGTGGGGGGCGTGGGTGGGGGGGCGGCAGGGAGACATATCAACCCCGCAAGCCCAACCCCTGCCGGGCGGGCTGTTCCTAGCTGGACAAGCAGCGGCAGAGCTTGCCGGATCAACAACAACAACAACAACAACGACGACATCAACAAATGTCAGTGAGATTACATATCAGTCAACCGACAACATTATTGCAGTCGATTCACCTCGCAGGATATTCCGCGGAGGGCCTTCGAGACGCCTCGAGGCGCTTAACGTCGAATGCAAGGATTATTATTCACGTGAAAATTATTACAGCCAACTGCATCCAACTGAGATGAGATCAGTTAGCGCCACACGGACGAGTGGTATCAAACCCGGAACATTTCCGTTCTTCGTGGTTCAAGACTGAGCAAGAGAGAGGGAGAGGGACTGAGACTGAGAGAGACAGAGAGCGATTAAGGGAAAATATACTAAAGGAGTCCTCCCACAGGAGTTGTCCCAGCAGCGTATAAAGACGAAATGTCTGTCTGTGTGTCAATCTGCATTCCATAGTCAATCCTTTGGTTACAAGCAGAACTGTTAATGTGTACAGCTAGTTTGGTGTAAAATCTCATCAGGCCATTGAACGTCTCATAGAATCATAGAATTATACTGCACAGAAGGAGGCTATTTGGCCCATCGTGTGTGTGCCTGCTTTTTGAAAAGAGCTATCCAAATCGAAGCCCTTCAAATGATTTACTGTATAGTTTATGGGTAAATACCTACAATGTATTTTGAGTTTGGCTGAAACATACAGTGTTTGCAAATGTCTTACGTGTTGTGTTATAATAAGTTATGAGAATCTGATCCAGAAAGATAGGTTCACATTTTCGGTAACGCCCATGAACAGAACTGAAATGGGAGACCAGAGTGCTCCCTTATTGGGTAGAGGGCTGGTCCTGGACCAAACAAAGACCCCATAGTAATAAACATAAGTTAGCTCGGTTATTTTTGATAGAAGTTGAAGTTCTACCTGCCTGTTCAGGCAGACATTAATGATCCTGTAAGTATTCCAAAGTAGGAAGGAGTTTCTCTTTGGTTGCTGACTGGCAATCCTCCAGAGTAATTGATCATTCACTTCGTGGTTGGACTTGGGACTTTGCTGTATGCAAATTGGCTGCCTTATTCAGCTACAGATACACAGTTGCTACACATTACTGTAATTCCCTGTTAAGCGCTTTGAGCTGTTTTGATATCAGAGCTTACAAGTTAGATAAAAATGGTTATTTTTAAATGGTCATGATAGTTTGCAGGACATTGTGTGCAAAATGGCTGCCACATTTGTGGCAACAAAATACACACTGCAACGCTTTACAGTACATCCTGTAAAGAACTTTGAGCTGTCTCGACCACATGATAAGGTGCTGTATCAAATACAAAGATTTTATTACATTACACAATTGTGCCACTACCACTTATCATTATGCTATCAATATTCCAGCATTATGTATATGCCTATCTTGCCTCTCTGGATAACGTGTCACTGAGCCCTTTTACATTGGAGTTTTCACTGTATACAAAACCCTGTGAAGCCCTGTGAGATATTTTCAGACATCAAAACTTGCATGAGTTGAATCTATACAAATCATGTAGTTGCCTAAGTTGTATAATGTGCCCAGAATTTATATTCTACTCAAGTTTTGCATTCCTCATACTTTGCATTAGTCAAATCTTGCCTCGCAAGCAAGAGGACCCGAGGGTTAGATTCCCGGGCGGGTCGAAACCTTAGGTAAATCTCCTTGCTCTACACGCCTGTTTACCGAGCAGTAAGTAGGGGGTTGGTGGATTGCTTTTCCGGGGGGGGGGTAATAACTGCTTAAAAAATAATGGGTCACTCCAATCCCACGACTGTTTTGCGGGACAGCGTTGGGCACAATTGGGCAAAATATACCACCAATTTAAGTTTACGGTGTATCCCGTGACCTGCTTTTCGAGACACTGCGAAGACGTGACGAGGCGCTGTGTCAAATAATAATAATAATAATACAAGGATTATTATTATCATTATTATTGTTGTTGACATTATTATCATTCACGTTCATCAACGTTGCTGCTGATCCGCAGTGGCCGAAGCCGTTGATTGACGGCCGGGGATAGCGAATCGGACAGCAGCTTTCACTCGGGGGGGGAGGGGGTAACGTCGGTGCTTCGGATGACCAATCAGCGTGGAGAAAGGTGTGTGGGGGGCGGGACTTCCGGAACCAGTTCCCCCCCCTTCCTTCCGCCCCCCCCACCTTCCCCCTTAGCGACGCGGTTTAATTTTCGGATCGTCCGGCAGCCGCGACGATGGACTCCCACTACGCAGGTCAGGTTTGGAGGGGATAAAAAGAACGTCGCTCTCTCTCTCTTTCTCTCGCTCCGCTTTCGGTCCGAGCGGTTTTTAATCACAAAAAAACCCCACCGAGGGAGGGGGGGGGGGAAAAAAAAACGGCGCCGGACGGAGGGGCGAAGCGAAGGGGAGAGCTCGCGCGCGCGCGCTCGCGGCGGCGGCGGCGGAGGGCAGACTAACGTGCTGCCCGCTGGAGATCCCGCCCCCTTTCTCTCTGCGCTCTCCTGCTCGCAGCTGATTGGCCGGATGGCAGGTCAGCTGGTCGGTCCCCGGCTCCCGATTGGCCTGGCGGGCCTGTCAGTCACCGGGCGCGGGGCTGGTTCGCCCGCGGCCTACCTCCAGGCCTTCGCGCGACGCGACGCCCCCGCCGTCCCCTCACGCTTGGTTTTTTTAATTAAAAAAAAAGGGAAAAAAATTTTTAATCGAGTGACCGCGTTATTATATTTCACGGCCGCGCACGGTTTCTTTTTTTTAAAAAAAATTCTATTTCTCGGGCGACCGAAGAACAACCGCTCTCCTCAGAAAGCGGAAGGCGTCGTCCTCGCGATTCATTTTTTTTAAAAAAACGGAAAAAAAACGGGCGGGTCAATGGCGACCGTTTTTTTTTCCCTTTTTCTCCCCCCCCCCCCCCCCCTTTCCCCCTTCCCCCCCCCCCGCACACCCGCCACGGCCGCCGCCGCCGCGCCCGGTGAGGCGTCGACGTGAATTCATCCGTTCGGGGAGAGGGTGGGTGTGTGGGGTGGAGTCGTAAAGGGCTCCGGTTCTTCTCGATCGGCGGCGGTTGGCGTTCCGGGTCTTTCCCGACCGACCGGACCGGACCGCCTTTTTTTTTCTCTCTTACCCCCCCCTTCAGACGCCACAAAATGGCGGCCTCCCGGGGCGGGCGGGCGGGCGCGAAGCCACAAAGTCCGCCCCGTCAGTAGCCCAAACGCTAGCCACCCCCCCCCTCCCCCGCCACCCCACCCCCCCCCCAAGTAGCCGCACGTCACCTTTTTTATTATTATTATCAATAATAATAATCATCATCGTCGTCGTCCTCGCGTTCGCCTTCGAGACGTCTCCCAAAGCGCTTCGCGGAATACGCTGTAACGTGAACTGACTCGTTATTTTTTGGGGTGGTGGTGGGGGGGTGGGGGGCGAACGAACACGGCGGCCGATGGTGCGCGGCAGCCACCCCACAGGCCGCCCTGGATCGAGCGACCACGTTGTTATTTCTCTTTCGGAAGGGGATTATTAGACCCGAGTTCAATTCCAGGGCGAAACCTTGGGCAAGTTTCCTTACCCCACACAGAGCCTAATAATAATCCCTCCAAAACCAAAAACAATAATAAATTGGTCATTTTCAATCCACGACTGTCTGTGGGACATTGCTGTGCGCAATTGGCTGCCGCGTTCGCCCACAAATATACAGTCAATTCACTTTACAGTGTGTTCTGTGAAGCGCTTTGGGGCGTCCTCCCGACGTGAAAAGCGCTATATCAAATGCAAGGATTATTATTATTATTACCCCGGAAACCTAATCCGCCGATCGACTGACGACCTACTTCCTTCTTACTGGTGGATAAACAAGAGGCAGGCGTGGAGCAAGGAAACTTGCCCAACGTTTCGCCCCGTCCGGGAATGGAACACGGGTCCTCTCGCTTGGGAGGCTTAGTGGTTTATAGCGCCTCCCCCCTCAAGAGCGCTTGACAGTGGTAGAGCACAGCGCTGAGCCAGGGGAGATGACCGTAGGCAAGATCGAAGAGGAAGGTCTTCAGGCGTGTCCTGATGATGGGGAAGGGATAGAGGAAGAGTTTCAGGGCACAGTGGCTGAAAGTGTGGCTGCCGATGGGGTGACGGAACAAGCAGGAGACCAGAGCCGGTTGAGTGGAGGCAGCGGGTAGTGGATTGGGGAGTAAGCAGGTAGGGAGGTGCCAGGGCATGAAAGGATTTGAAGATGAGAGTGAGGATCTGGAAATTAATACGTTTGGTGATGTGGAGCCTGGCTAGAACTGATGTGATAGAGGTACAGAGTTTAATGCAGGTGCATGCAGGCCACAGCACCAAAGCCAGCTTGTGCTATCAGACACGCCAGTCCCCCCACCCACAGATTGTGATTGCCAGAAATTCAATGTTTGCTGACAATTTTTACCTTCAGGCATATTAAAACATTTGAATAAATAGGAAGGATCCGAAACACTCATTTTGATCTGGCCATCCAAAATCATTAACTATGACTCTGGTCACTTATTGTCGGTTACTTCCAGACATCACTACTTATTAGATTTATTATAGTGACATCTAATTAAGACAACCTTATAGTCAATTAAGGCAAACAACCCGCTGTGTGTGTCTGGGTGGTTGGTATGCAATGGCTGCATGCTTGTGTAACGCTCTTACCCATGCAAAGTGCTTCAAGGGCCCTATGAGACACTGAGCGCTTGAGAGACATGTACAGCGAGAGAGTGGGGGTACACACACGCAGAGAGAGTGAGAGAGAGAGAGGGACATGCACATGCACGGAGAGAGACATACGTAATGTACGTATGTAATAATAATTCAGTCACTCAATCCATGATTGTGGGACGCATTTGGCTGCCGCATTTCGCCCACGATTTCAGTTCTTTTTACTGTATATTCTGTGAAGCACTTTGAGACGGCTCGTAGACATGATGCAAATATATCAAATGCAAGGATTATTATCTAAGTTGTGCTGTTGAGATATGACTTTTGGCAGTTCTCTCTGTCATGTCTACTGCTTGATTGAGACTACAAATGTTTCAGTGCCTCCAGTTGAAAATGTCATTGGTGAATGGTTAATGATTTTCTCCAAAAAGTGGATTATTTTGGTGTGTGTAAGTAAGTAAGGTCATTAGTCCATTAGTTCCTATCAACGAAGGGAAGATGAACCAGCAGTCCTGTCTTGATACCACAGGGCAATCTCATTAGAATACGCATGTCTCTTTGGGATGTCTTCCTGATGTTAAAGGCGCTATACTAATGTGATTTGTTGTTGTTGTCTCTGGACCTGTACAGTATTGGATGTAGGATATTCCAGCACTGACTTGCCTGTATTTCCAGGTTAAAAAAGGGTTGAAACCCTAATTACAAAAAGCTTGATGGGTTATCATCTCCACTGATGTCACTTCCTCCGCTTGCACATAATACAACGGAAGTGATGTCAATGTCATCATTGTGGGATTTAACGTGGCATCAGTGGCCATTTTTTGTGGACTCATTATAACATCATAACCCATTGTGCAATGCATTATTTTTGCTTCCTAGGCATGTGCCTTTGTATCAATTAGAAGCACTGATAATGATATAATATATAATAATAATCAATTAATAATGACGGCCAAAAGTTCCTGTGGCTATTCATGTGACTTTGTTGTCACTTTTGTTTCTAAGCGCTCCGAAGGGCGCTATGTGAAAGCAAGTTGCGTACAAATACTTCCCCTACAAATAGTCACTATATTTTCCAGTAAATCCTGTGCAGCGCTTTTTCATGATGTGATGAGGCGCTACATAAAGTGCAAGGATTATTATTTAATTGGAGCTAGTCCCACAGTCAATCTGATAATAGATTATTAGAATACAGATTTGCTATATTACTGGTCAAAAACATCCATTAACTACAGTACGACATTGTGCCTGTCATCTGTTCTCTAATCTCCTCTCTGACCCAAACTTTCTCTGTCTCTTTCCTGCTTCCTCTCTTTTTTGCTCTGACTTCCTCTCCTTTTATTTTCCTGAGGTTTTTATCTCTGTTCCGGTCTCTCGTCTTACAATGTATTGTATTGTGTTGTTTAGGAAACGCTTGACCCTGTGTTGCCAGTTCAGAGTTGCGCAGCACAGGTATATTGAGTATCTTGTAACTGCGGCCAACTATAAAATGTTTGTTGGCATCAGAATGCCACATGCAGACAACCCTACGCATATGTGGCATTCTGTTGTAGTGTAGAACGAGCAAAGGTTTCTTAAATGTTTCCAGTATTCATGATAGAACAACCACTGGTTTGTGGCAGTGATCAGGCTTATTCAATAATATTGATCATCGCATTTGATATAGCGCCTCATCACGTCATCAAGACATCTTAAAGTGCTTCACAAGATACACTCTAAGGTGTAATGATTATGTGTTTTGTGGGTGAAACGTGCCAGCCGATTCCGCACAGCAGTGTACCACAAACAGTTGAGGATTGAGTGACCAAATTATTATTATTTATTTTTGGCCTCATTTTTTTAATGCTTGTTTTACTGTGCTAGATGGAACAATTTCTGTTACCTCGGTTGCTAATCTTGGGAGTGGGATAAGAGCGGAACCATTGGTGCAAAACATGCATGCATATTGAAGAAAGGATTATTGTACCATGTGAGATCATGTAATTCTGGATGTCAGATTAAACCTGGTACCCTCTTTGTATGATTCAGTGGCACGTTTTATTCATATTACTTGCATTTAGTCATTGATCCGACAAACTTGTATGGAGAGAAACCGGTTCTCTGCACTGAATACCGGTCAGGGTGATGACACCTCTGTGTAGGCGAGTCAAAAGTAAATGGATGCACAGGGAAGAGTGTCAATGCAATTGTCATTGGGGACACAATGGTGAAAAGAATAGACTAGCAACCAAAGACATGACTCTCGCATGGTATGTTGGCTCCCTGGTGCCAGACATCACGGAACAGGTGCAAAACGTTCTACAGGGGGAAGGGGAACATCCAGAAGTCGTGGTCCATAATGGGATCCATGACATACGGAAAAGAGGGCTGAGATCCTACAGGGAGAGTATCAGAAGCTAGGGAAAAAACTAGGGAACCTCAAAGGTGGTGATCTCTGGATTACTTCCAGTGCTTGGTGTAAGCGAATATCAAAACAGCAGGATCAAACACATGAATGTATGGTTGGAGAAATGGTGCAGAAAGGAGGGCTTCAGGTTCCTGGATCATTGGAACCATTTCTGGGGCAGGTGGGACCTGCACAAGGTGGATGGGTTACACCTGAACAGGGTTGGGACCACGGTGGTCGAAGGGAGGTTAACTCGTGCTGTGAGGAAGGGTTTAAACTAATTTTGAGGGGGGAAGAGAATCGAGATGTGGCATTAGAGAGGATAAACACGTCAGATAGAGGGCTGGGAGAGACAAATAGCAGTGTAATCAGGAGTAATCCAGAAAAAGGAGGGATTAGGCGGGAGAAACAGACTAAGTCGGACTCGGAGTGCATAAGCGTAATTGCACGGAGTGTGACAAATAAGATTGGTGAGCTGCGGCTCAAGTTGCCACGTGGGGTTATGATGCAGTGGCAATAACGGAGACCTGACTCAAACAAGGGCAGGAATGGGAGCTGAATGAATAGAGTAGTGATAATGGGGGAACTTCAATTATCTTAACAAAGACTGGCAAAATAACAGTGTAAAGGGCAAGGAGGGGGAAGGATTCCTGAAATGGGTGCCGGATAATATTCTGGATCTGCATATTTCCGGTCCAACGAGGAAGGAAGCAGTGCTGGATCGAGTTCTGGAGAATGAAGTGGGGCAAGTGGAGCAGGTTTCAGTAGGAGAGCATCTGGACAACAGTGATCACAACATCATTAGGTTTTAGAGTACTTATGGAAAGGGACAAGGAGCAATGACGGGTGAAGATACTCAACTGGAAGAGGGCTAATTTCAATGAGTTAAAAAGGGACCTGGCCAAAGTGGACTGGAAAGAAAGATTAGCAGGTAAAACAGCTAACAAGCAATGGGAAGCCTTCAAGGAGGAGATAGTTCGGGGATAGAACAAATAGATTCCCGCAAAAGGGAAAGGTGGGGCATCCAAACCTCGCTGGATGAATAAGGAAATTGGGATTAAAATAAAACAGAAAAAGGTGTCTTATGATAAATAAGCGAGAGACCTGAGTTCAATTCCAGGCAGAGGGCGAAACCTTGGGCAAGTTTCCTTACTCCACACAGAGCCTAATAATAATCCCTCCAAAACCAAAAACAATAATAAATTGGTCATTTTCAATCTACGACTGTTTGTGGGACATTGCTGTGCGCAATTGGCTGCCGCGTTCGCCCACAAATATACAGTCAATTCACTTTACAGTATGTTCTGTGAAGCGCTTTGGGACGTCCTCCCGACGTGAAAAGCGCTATATCAAATGCAAGGATTATTATTATTATAAATGTCAGGTCCAAACTACAGAAGAAAAATCAAATAGAATATAGAAAGTACAGAGAAGATCTGAAAAAGGAAATAAGAGGGGCAAAGAGATTAGCGGGTAACATAAAAGGGAACTCGTTGATTGAGTGAGCAAAATATTTTTGAGTTATTATTATTGCTAGGTAAACAAAGGCGCGTGGAGTAAGGAAACTTGACGACAGTTTCACCGTGCCTGGTGATATAGATGGAAACGTTGTCATCTGTTTAGTTAAATCCATATTTTGGGTGTATCGAGTCTTTAAGCCATTGAACCCTTCAATGAACCCTTCTCTGTTTGTGTTTTTGCTACAGGTTACGATGCCAGTGGTGCTTGGAATACCGGAGCAACCAATTCTCAACGTAAGTTTTATTTTTGTTTGTCATAGTGTGGGTTAGAAGCACGATTGCCATTTCACTGTGTTTTGTGGTGTTTATAGCTTTTTGCTGGTTGATCAATTCTATTTGATTCTTTGTTTTAAGTTGAGGCCAAAGTACTGGAAACATTTAAGAAACTGCTTGATGCTATTGTCTGGAAATCTTTGTAATGGGTGATTATCCTTGGCATTTTCCACCTTGCCTCCCCCATTCCTATTTCAGACAAAACGTCTTTGTTACCTCCTGCCTCGACTTCTGTAGTGCACTCCTTGCCAGTCTCCGTAGTTCCACCACCCAGAATCTTCAGCTCATTCACCTGTGCCCATTCCAATTACTGCACCAAATTATTCTTGCCAGGTTCCACTGTCTTCCTGTTTTCCAATGAATTGATGTCAAGGTCCTCGCCTTCACCCCATCTCTAGGATCTTTCCCGATCAGCAAACTCGGGCTTGCTTCGTGCGACTTGAAACTTGGTGCTGAGCGTGGGAAATTATAGCCACCATAACTTTTCACGTAATAGCTGGCCAACACTTAGATAGGTATTTGGGGAAGACAAATTTACAGGGCTAAGGGGAGAGAGAGCGGGGATGGGATTAATTTCGACAGCTCTTTCAAAGAGCCAGCACGGACACGATGGGCCGAACGGTCTCCTTTTGTGCTGTATGATTCTATGTTTCTATAACACTTGCAGATTACATTGCCATTCATGTTGGGAGGATGTCCCAAGGCGCTATACAGTTAAGCTTCGGATCCGACCTTGGGGTTGGGATCAGGAGGGATGGAGGGTAGAGAAGGTGAGGGTAGGAGGGTGACTGAAGGCCCGATGAAGAGGAGGGACTTGAGACTAACCCAAGTTTGTGTGCTTCTGCTCCTAGGATATGATGGTTATGATTACAGCTACACCCAGGATAATATACCTTGTTCTGATACAAACTACGGCTACAATGCTGGCAGCAATACCTGGGAACCTCCAAAAAATGTAGCTACGGATACGATCATTGCTAAAATCAACCAACGCTTGGACATGCTGTCCCAGCTGGAGACTGAAAACCAGACGCAAGAAGAGCCATATCAGGAAACCTATCAGGAGTCCTACCAAGAACCGTATCAGGAGCAGTACCAGGAGCCTTACCAAGAGTCTTACGATGAAAACAGGTATTTCGTGGGACGCCAGTACAAACAGGAAGAAGAGTAAGTTCCCGTGAGGCATCGCACTCCAGACAAGAACACGTTTCCTTCACAGAAATGACAGTTGTGTTCTTCCTCGAGAGTTTCAGTAAATGGGTTTAAAAGTAAATTTGTGCAAAGCATTTTAACAGCTAATTTTCAAATTCTGGCGCATCTTCACAAGAATGTTTGTTTCACGGACTTGAGGTGCTTATCTTAAATGTCTTATTGTACATTGAATCTTGGCTGTGATTATTGCTTCATCTAACGATGAGGTAGGTGGTGATGGTGTTTTGGCCTTGTTCGTTCAGGGTAGAATAAATAGGCATTAAGGGAGTTGCTTGTATTTAAAGAGAGATGTGAAGTAGGAAGTTACACTCGATGATATGGAGGTTTTGGTTAGAGGTGGTGTGAATAAGTCTCCCTGTGGTGTATTATTTGAACTTTATTGACCATTTCACTGAGGCATTGCAGGTAGTAATAGTGTTGCAGTGGGAATGTAGGTAGTAATGTGGTCAAAGCAAAATATTCCACTGGAATAAAGAATTCAAATCGATCAACAGTGGTGGTTGTTGGGAATCAGAAGTGATGATTGACTAACTGGATCAATAAGATCCAAACAAATGATTAAATAAGATTAGACCTTGAAGGGAAAACTCTTGAACTGTAGCTGTTTTAAATATTTTTACTTGTAAATAAGTTCAAATCTTGTGTGCAGAAGACAATTTCAGTAGCTCTTAACTATTTAGATCATTGATGTGGACTAATAATCTCTTTTTGCTCTCGACTGTATAATATCATTGGCCTAAGGCTCATTTTTATTCCCGGTGTGCTCATTAGAATGAAATAAAGCGTCTTGAAGTTTCGGAACTCGGTGGTATCTTGGGAAGGTGACCTTCATCTTTGAAGGATGCCAAGAGAACATTTTCAAGCTTTATCTTGTAGAATTGGCAACCATCGTTGGGGATTAATCCCTTAAACCAGTGTGTTTGAGTTCACTCTCGTACTTCAATCCTAGTTGCTGTTGGTGGGGAGAAGGGGTGGGGGGGGGGGTATAGTGTACTAGTTCCTTTCTAGATTTAGTGTACGTCTTTCATCCTTTCTACGTCAGAGGAAATGGCTGTCAAATTAATATAGGAAATTTGAGACACTGACTAGAGTGAGCAATGCCCTTACCCCGATTATTTGGAAAGTCAATAGTTTTGCTCTCTTTATTCCTCCCATGCACTCACTGGGGGCGCCCCAATGCCCTGATTTATTTATTACCAGGTTACAAGCCGATCCAATAGTGACTCCGAACCAGGCCGATGTATTATACATTGCTGGTCCTAACCTTTCCCAACGACATTTCTCTTGATTCAGACTGTTTAAACGTGTTCTAATCTCATTCTGAGCGAAAGTACTGGCAGCGAGTGCAGTGTAATATTGTTTTAGCTTGAACTGGAAAATGGGGTGATCCATTCTGTATCGGTAGCCGCTTCCAATCACGTGTGCTTATTGGTATGTCGGTAATATGGTGGGACAGTTACCCAGTATTTATTTACTTTGGCTGTTGAGAAGCATAATGTAAAGCATGCGTGTGGTGGATATATTAATTGCTAAGGAGACAAACTTGCGTTCTCTGTTGGTCAGTTGTCATTTGAAGGCGCTTGAATGCGCAAAAGGTTGAAGTGACATGAATTTAAAACTCCAAAGAAGCTGATAGATTTTGCCGTTGGGCTAAATTACAACACTCTCACAATGCCTACATAGAAATAAGTGACGAATCACATTTTACAGCCTTCCTAAAAATCGGATGGACCGTGCTCGTTTCTGAGGGGTGCGTGCAAAAATTGTTAAAGGTTTTCAGTTTTTAGTGGCCCACTTCCACTGTTGCAATCAGAGGTTTAGTAAAACTCGTGAAAGGATGGCCATTTCAGCCAGACCTTTTTATTTACACACTGCAGACGCATAGAAAATGTGATGAGCTAAAATGTCATTGGCTGAAATCTATGCTGTTTCGTTCTTAGTCTGCTGTCACTTGATGGCGGACTTGTGCCATGGTTCTGACCAGCTACTGACCACATTCCTTACTTGCTGTGCGACTTTTACAGGTATGCACCTTATGAGTCCTACGACTCCAGGTCTTCACTGAATGACCAGGATCTGTACAGATCTGGCTACGGTTACAGTGAATACGGACCTAATCGTAACGATTCTTACGGAGGTCGGTATGACCACTACGACAGCTCCTACGAGACTCGCCACGATCCGTACCAGAACCGACGTGACCTATACGGCCCCTCTTACCACCGGGGCCAGAACTGGTCTAGAGACCGGCCTCCGTATAACCGAGCCAATCGGAACGACCCCTTCATGTCACCAGGTTCCGGGCGAATGTCTGCACGCTGGAATGAGCTGTCAATGGGAGGCCGGGGCCCCAACGCCGCCCCCGCCAGGAACCTCCCATCGCTCTTCTCCCCAAACATAATCCCCATGGACCTGTTCAGAGGTCAGGGATCGGGAAGACCTTTAGGAGGTGGCAGACAGCGAAGGAGAGAAAGGATTCGAGGCAAAGTCGTAAGTACCTTTCTTTAATACTTTTTTTAAATTTTATTTGAATCCAGTAACAAATAGGTAAAGTGAGGGGAGTGGAGAGTAAACCTTCGCAAGAAGAAGGGTCATCCATGTTTTTTCTTTTTCTTTGTTTTTATTATTATTATTATTTTAACAGGTTTTTATTTCTTTCAAAACAGCAGACTTGATGTAAATGCTGATCTTTCAGCTGTCTTTTTCCAAATTCTGACTTCTAATGGTTCTCCCAGTGTTTCAAATAGTACAGAATCAAAGTGCTAAATGTCTTAGTTTGCTTTCAATCGTGGCTCGTAACGGCTGCCTTATGTGAAGGTTGGTTATCGTACAGTTAGATGATCAAGTTAAGTGAATCTTCAAGTCAAGTAAACTAAACCAAAGTCTACAAAACTGGGAAGTGCAATAAAGTCTGATTACAAATCATACCCCTAGTGTATATTTACTCTGCAACCGAACTGTACCAACTTAAGATCAGGGAATAAGATGTTATCTTGGATTTGAAGGTGAACATTTCTTAATTGAATGTTTTCCAATATAAACTCTTCGGGATGTAAATATCTAATCATAAATATTTAACCGCTTTCAGCAGTGGAATCTTTTTCCTCTCTCCTATTGCTTTCCTCTTGCCGTTAATAGCTAAAGGTCCCAAGTAACCTTAAAAATACAGATGACTTGGTTGTATGGAATCTTTTAAAACTGCGATCAAAATATTTGGTGATAGTTTTCTTTTAAGAGCTGAGTTAAGAGTTAAATTTATATAACAACAGATAGTTATTGCTGCTTTAATAACTGGAGCTTATAGGGTGCTGTCTCGCAATGTGAGGGTGCTGTTCTGGTTGAAATTGCTCTCAAGGGTAAATGCTAAAGCTGCAGTATTGCTTCTCATTTTAATTTCAAGCCGTATTCAGAAAAACATGCTCTACTGGTAGTCTGAATTCTGCTACGTTAAATATTAGACAGTGGGGCAGAACCAGTTCTTAAGACTGCATTGTTTTTAAACCTATGCTACATGATAGTTGCAAGGCAGTTATGAGGTTTGAGATGAGGACTGTCTTGCTCACATTGTTTGTGGTTATCAATAATAATACAATAATCCTTGCGTTTGCTGAGTTTTGCTCACAAAATATATAATCAATTTGCTTTGCGGTATATTGTGTGAAGCGCTTTGAGACGTCTCGAAGACGTGATAAGGCGCTGTATCAAATGCAAGAATTATTATTATTATTATTTTGGTCTTAGTCCAGTATAGAATCTGCTGGCTCATTCTCTGGTCATCTGTTCACTGTAGTAATAGCTGTGACAATCCTCACCCATCTTGCTCTGGATAAAGGATTCGGTTTCTGTGCAAGTGATCCGCTTTGAGAGGATTTTAGAACGTAACCATTATTCTTGATATGTAGATTTTAGCTTTTCTGCTTAACTGGGGCTACAGACTCTTTTCTCATATACCTACTTTTCGTCGTGCAATGGTGGACCCAAGTGATTAATTGACCTTTCGGGTCTTTTTTCATGTTTGTGTCCCATCTGTTCTGTAGAAATGGCTGAATGTTTGTTCGGTATCCTTTTAAAAACAGTAGTCTGGCGCATAATACAATGTCAAAAGGCCAACAGTGACACAGTTCCGGCTAGGACTGACAAAATGGAAGCACTTAATAGAAAGTTTCCATTTTACAGAGTTCAGTGCTCACTCTCTGGAGGCAGAATGCTGTTCAGCAGTCACTAGATTGCAATATTATAAGCAAGTCTCAGATATATTGGCACTTCATGGCGAGTGTGTGTGTGTGTTTGTGTGTTTGTCTGCACATTATAGATTTGATCACTGTTTCTGACTTCCATGGCTACAAAACAAACAGTAAATGGCTTGTAATGACAGTCCTGAAATGTAGTGATTTAGCAGTGAACTGGAGATCCCCCAAATCTTGATGGCGGTGTTGCTTTTTTTTCCAATATTTATCAGTCTTGTCTTATTGAAGAAATGTTCTTAGTATATTCTGGGCTTTGGGTTGGGAGGAGTGGTGGTGGAGGGTGGGAGATGGAAATCGGCTCATAACAGGATAGGGTTATTCTAAGGTATGAGTGTGGTCTTGTATGGACCTGTGGCCAATGAATTTGGGGAATGACCGCTCACTCAAATGATCTCAGAGGCAACATTGTTAGCTGCTGGAGAGTGTTAGATGTTGGGGGTAATAACCTTGTGTAAGTATTGCTGTGGCAACCCACCCCCCCCTCCCCATGCCAAGCTACGTTTTTTAAGAGTGCATTAATAAAGTGTCTGAATGTTGGAACCTTTGCTAGGAATCGGGCTAATTTTGACCTTTGTGCCAAAAGAAAGGAGTAAATAACGGGGGCAAGACCATTGGATTTGGTCGGAAAAGAAAGCAGTCTACAAACAGTCCCGATGAACCCGACAGCAAATATGTGAAAACTGAAGATGGTGATGGATCGGACGCAGGTACATTTCGATAAGAATTGGGAGGGTTTTTTTAAGCTTGTAATCTGTTAAGCTTGGAATCCTGCAGCTCAGTGGTTAGAGTACTCGCCTCGCAAGTGTGCGACCTGGGTTTGATTGCTGGGCAGGGCGAAACCTTGGGCAAGTTACCTTACTCCACACCCACCTCTGTTTATCTAGCAGTAAGTAGGAACCCAATTGTTAGTCGATTGGCGGATCACTTTTCCGGGGGTAATAGTTCCTTCCAAAAAAAAAATAATAATAAATTGCTCAATCCACGACTGTTTGTGGGACACTTCTGCATTTCGGCCACAAAATATAGTCCATTCACTTTACAGTATATTTGTGAACCGCTTTGAGGTGTATCGAAGACGTCCTATTTGTTTTGCCGCAGGTGTTATATCAAATTCAAGGATTATTATGAGCTTCAAGGGTCCTTTTTAATGTTCAGCTTTTTTGGGGGGAGTTAAAAGACTCAATCCATGATATTGGAGTTCTCTGCACGTATTAGTTAGTGCGCTCGGGGCTGTTGCTTGCAAGCTGTTGTGATACTGTTAGTAATGGATATGACTTTAAGTTGATGCACTCACTTAAATGTATGTTTAACTGAATTGGTGGTGTGTGTGTGACATGTGCTCCTTTATTCTCTGCAGAAGATGACGGAGATGGAGATGAATCTGGAGATGGTGCTGTAAGTCCTGCTTTTCTCCTTAAAAGGCATCAAATCTTGCCTGTTTCCTGGTTCTGTTCAGAAATATATCTCAGATCAAACTGTCCTTAAATCAGATCATTGACGTGCTCCGTAAGGGAGTAAAAAATAATAATAATAATAATTTGGTCACTGTTTGTGGGAAACTGCTGTGCGCAATTGGCTGCCATGTTTCGGCCACAAAATATACAGTCAATTCACATTATAGTATATTCTGTGAAGCGCTTTGAGGCGGCTCGAAGACCTGATAAGGTGTTTTTCTGCGGGTAATAATCCCCTTAAATAAATAATAATAATGTGGTAACTCAATCCACGATTGTTTGTGGGACACTGTGTTGCACAATTGGCTGCCACGTTTTGCCCACAAAATATACAGTCAATTCATATATCCTGTGAAGCGCTTTGAGACGTCTCAACGATGTGATAAGGCGCTATTTCAAATGCAAGGATTATTATTACTCTCCTTGTGTAGAGCAGTAACCTCAGCGTGATTCACATTCAAACAAGTGAGTTGGTGTATATGCTGCAGTTCTCTCCACCTGACCGTTTAGGCTGCCTCTCCCAGGCTGATTGTTTAATCAGGAGTTCGGATTTATGCCTATCTTGTCTGTGTTTGATTTCCAGATGGGTGAGGACAAGGAATATACTGAAAGGGAAGAAAAGAAACCAAAGCGCTGTAAGAACATTGTTTTGGTTATCTGTAAATCCTCCTCTGTCCCTAATGCATCATTTCACAGCTCTTAACCTTTCTGCCCCCCTCCCACCTCTATGTCTGAATCTACTACTCCCTCCCTCAACAACAGCAACAAAATTATATTTGTATAGCGCCTTCCACATCGGGAGATGTTTCTGACCCGAGCTGGGGGTCAGGATCGGGGATTGCGGAGGGCAGTGAGGGGAGGAGGGTGTTCAAAGGCATGGTCGAAGAGGAGGGTCTTGAGACAAGTCTTGAAGAAGGCAAGGGAGGGGGCGAGGCGGAGGGACTGCGGGATGAAGCTCCAGGGGGTGGGGCAAAGTGGCTGAAGGCCCACTCGCCAATGCTGGGGCGGGGTACTTAGTTTCTCCATTCTTGGGCCTTCTTGGGCCTTTTCTCTTATCACTCCAGTCCCAAAATATTCCTGGACAGAATAGCACGGTTTAAGTTGTGGACCTGGGATCTTTGTGGTGTGGAAGTGTTTAATGGAGGGCAGGTACCTGGATTACTAATACAGACGCAACTTACCAGATACTATGCTTTTGCTTTAAATAGTCCCAACAATGCAAGAGAGGAAGAAATTGAACAAACCAAAGAAAAACCGGGACCGTCTTGCAGAAAGGTGGGTAGCAACGACAAGACTGGGTATATTTGAGGCACTTTGAGATGTTCTCCTGATATGAAATCCCTTCACTCCCTGGCACCTCCCTCCTCTCCGACCTCTTCCTCTCTCCAATCCACCACCCGGCACCTCCGCTCGACTGGCACTGGGCTCCTGCTCCATCTCACAATCAGAGGTCGCTTTTTCAGTCAGTTTGCCCTGAAACGCTGGAACACTCGTCCTCAATCACTCCGCTTTGCCCACTCTCCACTTTTTTTCAAGTCCCGTCTGAAAACCTTACTCTTCGACTGTGCTTACGGCCACCTCCCCCCCCCCCCGGCCTCAGAGTTAGTTTACGCCACTGTTAAGCACTCTGAGACGCTGTGTGGAGGGTGTATAAGTGCAGGTTGTTGTTGAAAGGCGCTCTATAAATGTCAAGATTTTTCTCACTTACCTTCGCAAATTTGCCACCATCAGGTCCAATAATACAAAACACTGCCACCCATATCTTCACCTGTGACCTCAAACCTGGCCAGGCTTCATGTCCCTGGCAGATCAATACTGAGGCTTTCGCCCTCTATTCGAAAAGGAAAGGGAATTTCTCTCCCGGTGTCCTGGCCAACAATTCCCCAGATAAAATTGGTCACTCACTCGTGCGAGTTGATTCCTGGGTGGGATGAAACATTGGGCAAGGAGAAACTATTTCCACGGGCGGGTGGGTCGGTAACCCGAGGACACCGATTTAAAATAAACAAGAGGGGAGGTGAGGAGAAATTTTTTCACACAGCGAGTTGTTGCATTGCCTGAAAGGCTGGTGGAAGCCAATGTGATGATAACTTTTAAAGAGAGAAGTTGGGGAGGACAAGTTTGCTTTTCAAAGAGCCGACACAGACATGATGGGCCGAATGGCCTCCTTCTGTGCTGTATAATTCTATGATCATCTGACGTTGAGTCTCTCCACTGGGTTCTGTGTGTTCCAGGATAATGTACGCCTGCTCCGTGTGTAAATTCCGTACATTTGAGGACGAGGAGATCAATACCCACATGGACAGCAAGTTTCACAAGGAAACTTTCACCTTCATTGGGACCAAGCTGGAGAACCAGGCTGAAGACTTTTTGCACGTATGTGGTTTGGTGATTCATTTCCCCTTTTGTGGCTTACACTAGACGCTTTTACAACTTGCGCAGAACTTATTCAACCACCTTCTTGTGGAGTCCTGTAGCATAATGGTTAGACCACTCGCCTCGCAAGCGAGAGGACCCGGGTTAGTTTCCCGAACAGGGCGAAACCTTAGGCAAGTTTCCTTATTACACACACACACACACACACACACACACGCCTCTGTTTACCTCGTAGTTAGTAGGAACCCGGTTGTTAGTCGATTGGTGGATCGCTTTTCCGGAGGGGTTATGATAATTAAAAAAAATAATAATAATATGGTCGCTCAATCCACCACTGTTTGTAGTACATTGCTGTGCGCAATTGGCTGCTGCATTTTGCCTTCAAAACATACAGTCAATTCATTTTACACTATATTCTGTGAAGCGCTTTGAGATGTCGCGCGACATCTCACATGCAAGGATTATTGTTGTTGTTATTACAATTGCGTGTTTACATGAAGCGATCAGAGCTTTGAAGAGTGGCTGGTGTATTACCGCTTACTGACCTGTGTGTGAATCCTCAGGAGTACATCGTAAACAAGGTTAAGAAAACTCAGAAACGCCGTGAGAAGATTGGCGATAAAACTATTCTGAAAAAGCAACTGATGCAACACCAGGATTTACTGCAGGGTATGTCAGGTTATCCCTATAAAAAAATTATATTATTTTATTATATTATCTTATCGTTGTGCGGAAAATCTTGCCAGACAGCAATATCACCTGGTTTTACCTGGTCAGACTCCAGCAGTTACTCGAACGCACACTCTGGGCTCCCCCAAGCTTTGCTTTTTACCAACCTGCACCTAATACTTTACGGAATGAAGTAAGCAGGCTGCGACCCTCCAGGGAGAGGGAGCGCGTATTCCATTCCAACAATCTCTCTGGGATTTCCACGTGGAGGTCGGATCATTGGGATTCTCCGATTGGTTTTAAGCGTGGTGATGGATTGCCTCATGGCAACCTGTTTTTTAGTGGATCGGCAGATCACTTTCCCTTCAAAAATATATTTGGGTCACTCAATCCACGACTCGGCGCAATTGGTTGCTGCGTTTCGCCCACAAAATACGCAGTCACTTTACTACACACTGTCAAGTGCTTTGAAACATCTCAATGACGTGATAAGGCACTATATTAAATGCAATGATTATTAATAATTTAATGAATGCTTTTGGTTGCGTTAATGCCTGTCCTTGTTGTGGATGTTGTAGATGTTGGGTTAGAGCACTTCATGAAGAAGGTGGAGGCGACGCACTGCGTGGCCTGTGATCTGTTTGTCCCTATGCAATTCACCCATCTCATGCGGCACCTCAGGACACCGCAGCATTGCAGGAACCGCAAAGTAAGTCATCAGTTATTCCTATTTGACCTGCTACAAATAACAATTACGGAGCGCATTTCACGTTGGGAAGATGTCTCAAGGCCCTGGACAGTCAGGGATTTGGACCTGAGTTGGTGGGGGTGGGGGAGCTTTGAGATCAGGGGGGCAGGGAGGGTAGGGTTAGGAGGGTGGCCGAAGGCGCGCGGTCAAAGTGGAGGGTCTTGAAGGAAGGAGGGAGCGAGCGAGGCGAAGGGATGGAGTTCCAAAGGGTGGGACAGAGAGGTTGAAGGACCGACCGCCGATGGTAGGGCAAGCCTGGCTGGGCGGGGAGCGGGCAGGAGCCTGGCTGGGCGGGGAGCGGGCAGGAGCCTGGCTGGGCGGGGAGCGGGCAGGAGCCTGGCTGGGCGGGGAGCGGGCAGGAGCCTGGCTGGGCGGGGAGCGGGCAGGAGCCTGGCTGGGCGGGGAGCGGGCAGGAGCCTGGCTGGGCGGGGAGCGGGCAGGAGCCTGGCTGGGCGGGGAGCGGGCAGGAGTCTGGCTGGGCGGGGAAGCGGACAGGTTGCTATGGCAATATACAGTAAAACTCACAAAAGTCTGATCTGTATAAATCGTATAATCGCCTAAGTCGTACATCTGCCCAAGTCCCGTTGAATTGCCCATTAAATCCACTTCAATTTATCTATATGTGTCATATTAATAATCGTGCAACTTGTAACATCCGCAATTGCCGTTAATTCATATAAAATCTGACTTGTGCATTACTTCACATAAGTCATATATGGTACAACACGTCATGTATGATACAAACTGATACGACTTGCACGTATTGTCCATAACGCTATCAAAATTTGTGCATGATATGTATATATAATAATTTAGTAAACGCATCTGTTATTCGCTTGTACATAAATCGCGATCTGTTGAAGGCAAATTAAATTGGGAGTTTTATTTTGAAAGGGCTGTTTTTAAACGCAGACGTGCTTCTAATCTCTTGTCTTCCTTACCAGGGAATGCTTGAGCGAGCCAAGAAAGGCAGCCTTGTTGTGGCTAAGAGCATCTTGAATAACCGCAACATTTCCACAATGCTGGAGAAGTACAACAAGGTAACAGGGAACCGAGGGAAGGTCCTGTAGGATGCGCGCGCTGCCACAAACAAATTACATTTAAGCAACGCCTTTCACGTCGGCAGGACATTCCACGGCGCTGGACAGTCAGGGATTTGGACCCGAGCTGGGGGTTGAGATCAGGAAGAGTTGGGTGACCAGAGGAGGGTCTTGAGACGTGCCTTGAAGGAGGCGCGGGGGGCGCGGGGGCGAGGCGAAGGTACTCTGGGATGTAGTTCTAAAGAGTGGCAGCAGAGGATAACCCACAATCGGTGGTCAAAAAAGTCAATCCAACCAGCAATTCAGCAAAACAGTATAATAATAACAATCCTTATAATAAATAATAATAATTTGGTCACTTCAAACCACGACTGTCTGCGGGACACTGCTGTGCGCAATCGCCTGCCGTGTTTCACCCACAAAATATACAATAAATTTTTACATTATATCCCGTGAAGCCAGTTGCCTCGAAGGCGTGGTAAGGCGCTGTTTCAAATTCAAGGATTATTATTATTGTCGTTAGAAGCTTTGAGGAGCGGTTGCCTCTGCTGATCCCACTTTTCCTCCTCAGGGTGAGAATCCCTTCACTGATGACGATCCAGAGAAAGAGGACGATGAAGACGGTGACGGAGCTGGCGAAGGGGGTGAAGGTGCCGGGGAGGGTGCAGAGGGAGGTGGGGAGGTCGAGGGGGCCGGAGAGGGGGCTGACGACGATGGAGAGGCCGAGGGCGTTGCCAAAGAGGGCGATGGAGAGGTGAAAGAGGCCACCCCGACTGACCAGGGCGAGAAGCAAGAGGAAGCGGCCGAAGGCAATGCTTCCGACGCAGAAGCGGAGACGGCAGAAGCCGAAGGGGAATTAGCTGAGGTGCAGGGGGGGGAGGGAGATTCGCCAGCGGAGCCAGCGGTGGGGGGAAAGGGAGCGGGAGCCCAGCCAGAGATGGGCAAAGAGCCCGCCGAGGAATCTCTGACAGACGAGGAGGACGAGGAGCTGTTGGAGGGAGGAGATGAGGAAGATTTGGAGTAACTTAGTTAAAAAAAACTGTCCCTGAAATTGTGCTGAAACCATTTGATTTTGTTTCTCGGCTCCCGCCCACCCAGTAAGTACCAGCTATCTATATCCCTGAGGTTTATACTAGTTTAATGACAAGTTTTGTGTGTTGTTTAACTTGCCGGTAGGTTTGCGTTACCTACTGCACTGCAGGCTCTCACCTGATTGTGGCTTTTTTCCCCCCCTTCGCCGAGTCCATTTTTCCCCCTCCTGATGTAGAACTTTTTTTTTAAAAAGAGAAATAAATAAAACTTGTTTTGTGTAATTGTGATTTAAAATGGTCGTCAATTGACCCCCTCTCTTAGCTTTCTTTACAAGGACTGGCAGCGTTGTTTGTTCACAGTAACTGGGGCCTGTAACTGATCTTCATAAACCCCATGAATCTGATGGGAAGGGGAGGGGAGGAAAGGCAATCTGGGATCCCCCGAGTCCAGAATTGTTTTCAGATCAGATCAAATGAACATTATCATTTGCCCTGCAACTGTTTTTTGTGTAATAAGACAGGCTATAAATAAACAGTAGGATTCAGATAACCACAAGCCTTTTGTTGTATTCATTGGTGTTTTACTTTGGATGCATGAAATAACAAATACTATCCCCCCCTCCCCCTCCTTACACCACAATCTTCCTTATAAGTCAGGACTATTGTAACTGAGAATTCATTAACCAGGGTTGGGTGTCTATAGGAACAGGAGGCCATTCAGCCCCTCGAGCCCGTTCCGCCATTCTATAAGATCACGGCTGATCTGTACCTGAACTCCAATTACCCGCCTTCGCCCGGTCGGTATCCCTTGATCTCCTGACCTACCAAACATCCGCCTACTTCAGTCTGGACCGTGTGAATGGATCCAGACAGAACCAACAGCCTTTTAGGAAGGGGAAGTTCCAGATTTCCACTTCCCTTTGGTGGGAAAGAAATGCTTCCTGATCTCACTCTTGGAACGTCTCGGCTCCAATTTACAAGATGACCTGAAGGTCCCTCGTTCTGGATTTCCCCACCCGCCAGTTATGGATGTTGTGAAAATCATAGGATCCTAATGCAGTATTCCCAGTACGTTGCGGACAGGCTGTGCGATAGTGAAGGCTGACTGACTAGATTCTGAAAATATATTATATTCCTGTGTTCACAAGCCTAGTGATTTATTAGCTGCGTGAAGTAAATCTGTTTGGGAACCATTGAGACGTCTCGGGCGCTATACCAAATGCAACGATTATTATTACAGATCAAATGAGTTCAGCGACTTACAGCGAGCGACGCTATGCCTCGATCCAGAGGTTTCTCAGTTGAGTGGGAACGCAGTGCTCTGAGCTCCCACGGAACAGCTTCAATTTTCGCCCACAAAACACCAGAGTCGATTCACTTTACAATATATCCCGTGAAGCGCTTTTGAGACATTTCGAAGACGTGACGAGGCGCTCTTATCAAACGCACGGATCATTATTAAAAAAAATTTATTACCTTCTGCGTTTCCGAGCCTTTCTGCCCTGCGATAGCGATTTTTATTTGAACTTCGGGCTGTTTAGATAACATCTGCCGTGGACTCGGAACTCGAACGCTTTCAATTTTTATGCGGGATTTGCGAGCGAGTTCATAGCAGTGTCAAACCATCTGCAGTCTCGCTTATCGTTGTTGAAAGGCTGTAGAGATCTTGAACCAACATCGATGCCCCTTCACCCGGACTGCGGGTGACGGGGGCGAAGGGGAGGAGATGGAGTGTGACGTTTTTGAACTAATTGTACTTGATTTAATTTGTTCACAGTAATTGGGAGCGGTACCTGATCTTAACAATATTTGTTAGGTCGGGGTATTAAGGGATACGAGGCACAGGTGGGCGGTTAATTGCCCTGGGCCAGGTGTGGGGGGCGGGGGGTGTGAATCCCTTCCAAAAATAATGATAAATTATTAATCCATGACTGTTTGTAGATCACTGCTGTGCTCAATTGGCTGACGTGTTTCTCCCACGAAACAATTGCCCCCGCAACGGTTTCCGTGCAATAGACGAGGAGACCAGTGCGGAGGTTCAGACCCCAGACGTGTAAGATCCTTCCCGTGAGCGACCGATTAAGAAAGGCTCACGTCGTCGGGACGTCCTGAGGTGCCGGACAGTTGAGAAACGGGGGTTGGGGATCAGCAGTGGGGTGGACGGACGGCAGCTGATGAGTTAATTATCATTGATCTTTTCTGATGGGGGTGACGCACGCAATCACATTCACTCTGCGCCGGGAAACCATCCAACTCGAGAGACCAATTATAGCCGAAAGGCTCGTTTTCTTTATTTATTTGGAGTAAATGGAACACATAAGCCTTCAGTCACATGTACAGCAGTAACAGTTCATTGCTTTTGGAGGCAGAAGCTTCCAGTTTTGTGTTGCATTGGTAACCTTCAACAGTTTATTCGACAGNAAAAAAAAAGACACAAAACAAGTTAGTGTGGAAAGTTTAGTCAAAATGGGCTGTATACACAACTGTTTCTCGAAGTTATTCCTTATACTAAATTTATAAACTTAACTCCAAGAGTACAAATATCAGTAAATAACAGCCTAGTTGTCAATACAATCAAGTGTACATATATAAAAACAAAAGATTATTGTAAACTATAAAATGCAGTGTATCTGTAAATTACAAATGTGCTCCACTGATGCCAGCGAGGCCTCCTGGGGTCAGGGCCGATCAGAGGATTGAGCAGCAGAACACAGAACAAAGTCCTGGATCGGAACCGAAGGGAAAGGGAAACGATACGCACATTCCCACCTTTAACCAGGGCGAGGATTTATTTGTACACCGACTCTGACATTGAACCATCAGGCAACGGAAATACTCGGGAGGATCTACTTTTAATCGGTTTTAATTTTAATTTGATCAGCTTCGACGGTTTTTGTTCCCTCTCTTTCGGAGACTCGGTTGCTACAGGTTTGCGAAGGGTAACTCGCACAGCTCAGCCTCTCTCCACGTTGTGCTTTCATTCTCCGCTTGATGTTAGTGGCTGTCTAACCCTCCGCCCTAACCCAGGTGCTCGGATTAATTGTAGCCTCGTAGCTGACCGAGCACAGGCTGGGATGAGAACCTGCCCCAAGCGACCTCAGGCCGTGCCTTTTCCTGGTTGGCGCTCGGGGGGGGGGGTGGTGGGGGGGGGGGGGGAAGTTCTGTTAACTAAAACAAGTCCCTCGTTAGAATGGTTTTACTGCTCTGTTGACTTAAGTTCAATCTGTTCAGATGTAGAAAAAGTAGAGATCATCAAAAAAAGCCAAGAAAAAAAGTACAGATCCGTATTAAGACCCCGACAGGTGGAATCAGACCTTCTCCAAGTAATGAATGGACTGGGGGGGAAGGGGATGCCCCTGTAGGGTGTATAATGTCATCACTGTTCAGGTACAGGTTGACACACACACACACACACACACACACGTTGACCCCGATATGAATTAGAAGCGAGATTTAGGACCTTGTTAAAGGACAGGTGTCTGGGCCACACAATGGTGACGTCGGGCTCGGCCATTGTTGAGCGCCCGGGGACGCTGCCCGCCGTAGGGGAGGAGAGCGTAGGGGCTCTCGGGAGTCAATGCAACCGGTTTCCCAATTTAGTTGGGTCTTCAGCTCCAGCTCACACAGTGGGAGGAGGAGATGTGAAGGAGGTAGAGTTGCCTTCATGTTACGAGACTATCCCAAGGTCTGATCCAATCCTGCCCTTGGGAGGGGAGCTGCAGATGGAAGGAAGAGCAGCCAAGTGTCCTGAATGGCCTTTCGAGGGCTGGAGATGTGCGTAAATGTCAGTCGTACTTGGTATGATATGGTGGTGGTTTCAGGCCAGGCTTTCAATCAATTTCATTCACGGTGCGGTCTTATTGTGGGGCAGAAAGAGACCAACAAATAGCCAATGTTTAACTGCACTTTGATGTGTTGAACTTAATAACACAAAGGGCGGAGATAGATAATGCCCATTTGTCCTCTCACACTATCTCCAGACCTCTTTGAACATTGCCTCTGATCTGAAATGGCCATTACTTGCACAGACAAACCCCCCCCCACCCAACCCCCAAACCAGCCCGGACCCTTCCATCATATCTCTTCACCAAGTGTAAACGAGTGGAACAATATTCAGTTGAGTTCACTAATAATGGTCGGGATTGGATTCCAGAGAGCAAAAGCACCAAAAGAAACATCGGAGAAAACAAACCAAAAAAAAATAGTGACAATTACAACCATCACAAGTTAATGCACAAACTTCAGGGGTTCTTGAAGTCATTCACGTGAGGGAAAGCGACACGTTTTCTTATCCTTTTCCATTCTGCCATCGATGCTTATATTAATTTAAAAAAAATTTAGATTTAAGGACTATGGGGGTAAGAGCGGGGAGCTGGGACTAGTCGGCAGCTCTTCCAAAGAGCCGGCACAGGCACGGTGGGCCGAATGGCCTCCTTCTGTGCTGTAAGATTCTGTGATTCTATAATTCCCTGCCTCCGTCCATCCGATAATATCTACCTCACATACGTCCGTTGCGACTGAGGTCAGTGGAGATATGCGCTTAAAACCATGGATTACGAGTGTAAAAGTGACTTTCGATCTACAAAAAAAGTCTATACAAAAGCAGGACCCGATAATCTCTTCAACAGGATCTTTTTTTTTTGTGTGTGTGTTATAAAGAAAGAATGGCGTTTCAGGGGCGGCCCTTTCCTGCCGTCGTACACACCTACAGAAATGCTACTACAGACCAATCCTCGTAAGAAAACAATCTATTTACATGCAGGTTACACTTCACAGTTCATTTCCCCCCCACCCCCCCCCCTCCCCACCCCCCGCACCCTCCCCACCCTCTAAATTTAGCATTCTTTATGAGACATAATAATTATGTACCCTTCCTCCCCCCTCCCTCCCCACCCCACGGAGAAAAAAAGGAACAACACAACCCCCCCCCCCCCCCACTTCTTCCTCCCACTGAGTAGAGACACGAGTTCAGACACCCCATCGGAGGATACCTTCGCCCCCCCCCCCCAAAAAAAAGCTATCAAATACCGCGTTACTGATTCTTCTCGCAAGTTGTAAGTTAATGGGAGTCTTTAACAAATAATAATAATAATCCTCGCGTTTAATATTCGACTGAACACGTCTTCGAGACGTCCTAACTATAAAGTGAATTGACCTGTGTGTTTTGTGGGCGTAATGAGACCAGTAATGATACTGGATATAAGGGATCAGTCTCTCTAAGGCATGCGCACAGACACACGCAGACACAGACACACGCACACGGGCACAGACACACACCCCATCTACATCGCCCTCCGATGCGCACAGCAGTCCACACCCGATGATCGTGGAAAGCCCTCTCTCGGTTCCCAATCGCTGACCGGAATCCTAACGAGCGATGACTGCCAGCGGCTCTGTGGGTGTAAAGGGAGAGGGCGCGCGAGAGGGAAGCGGAAAAATATCCCTCGCCGAGACTTTTAGAGACGTCTCAAAAGCGATTCACGTGTGGGACAGGCTCCCTCGGGACTGTGGGGATGGTGGCAGGCGAACAACAACAACTTGCATTTATAT